AGGTAAACATCTGTTTTGGTCTGAATTATGCAAATAGGAACCTGTTTGACGACAAGCAGGACGGTAAGAACGTTTTTAATAATATTTCAATATGGCCTGTAAGTAGGTTACAGTGAATATTAATTAAGATTTTACCTTCAGATTTTAGTTTTATTTCTAACACCTATTTTGCAGTCGATTGTAACTTTATGAAGGGTGACTTAAATGGGTCTTAAAAGTAAGGGTTCTAAAACCCGGTATAAAACATTGGTCACAAGAAGATTTCTTATTTTCAGTAAACCTTTTGTACTAACTCTTTGAATTGGTTAATAATATATCAAGATTAACACATTACTCGGTGGTACAGACCCCTTTTTATTGAATTATTAACATCCGCCTGAAACTTCGTAAATAGCTTCATATAATCGTAACCTACAACAATTTTATTTACGAAAACTCTTGGAATTGGAGCGTTTTCAATCTGGAGGGGAGCAAACTTTGTCTATTTAAGTAGGTACTAAAAACTCGTAAATATCCATTTGCTTTCTACTTGGATCTTAGAATAATTTCATCACAAAATCCATAAAAAAAGCGGTCTACAAAACTATATAACCTCGTTATTTTGAAAATTAGAGAGTATAGGTTACGCTAAACGGCTCAATATTTTTGAAGACCACATTTTTTCTCGATTTCGTGATTAAATTATCTTACGATTCAATTAGAAAGCAAATGAGTATTTACGAGTTTTTAGTACTCAATTAAATAGACTAAATAAATGTACGGTCAATGTTTAGTTGTGCCATCACCTGACACACAATTCCTGATTGGTGTAAATGTGTTCATATATCACTATAATAATTGTCCACGTGACGGATTATTATATTTCTAAGTAAAAAAAAAATTAAATAGACAAAGTTTGCCCCCCCCCTTCCAGATTGAAAATTGCTCCAATTCCAAGATTTTACGTAAATTAATTAGTTGTAGGTTACGATGAGATGGAACTATTTACGAAGTTCCAGGCGGATATTAATAATTTGATAAAAAGGTGTCCGGGCCACGGAATATATACGTTATCGGAACATATCTGAACTAAGCAATCCATTACCGTAAAAGCGGACCACTTTTCACTAATTTTTGTGGTAACCTACGTTTTTCATCTTCTTCGAGTAGTCAGAATAGTCTGGGTTTTGTACCTTAGAATATAAATGGAGGGGCAGTGATAAGTGAGAAAGGAGGGGAAAGAGTCCTCTCATTTATACTTGAAAACTTTATTTTTGTATTTTTAAAAGAGAAGCTTAAGGGTTGGGTGGGAGAATTCGCACCGCTTTCTAAAACTCATTAAAGACCCTGAGAATTGAAAAAAAATGTACAATTTAAACCTTTCTCTATAAAATATCATTTCCAATAATGCTGGAAGTTGAAAACATTTTACTGAGTGTCTCAAATTACTAGTGTGGAGTTACCAACAGTTACAACTTCAGATCTTAAATCAAAAACTTGTTTGGACGAAAACGACAAAGGAAGGGATTAATAACTAAGACTGATGGTTGCTCTATGACCACAGATAAAATTTAAACAACTCAGGGATCTTAGTCATTTTTATACTGACCATATAAAAATCCCAGAATATATCGCTGCTGTTAGTGCAGAAGGTCGCTCATAAAAATTTATCATTCTTATTCTATTTGTGCTAAAAATGACATTTAATAGTTTGCAACAGTTATAAGTAGTCTGCTTTTTGAAAAACCGTATAGAGAAATAAAATATGTAATTATACTAATTAATCTTAAAAAAAATAATCAGTTTTATTGTAAAGAAACATTCAGTTTGTATAATAAAAACTCAATTTCGACATACGACCTTTTGCACTAACGGTAGCGATATGCAACATATGCAATAACTACCTAGATATTTTATTGCTCACCTTTTTTTAAAAACTGAGTAAGCGAAGGTAAAATTAGAAAAATCGTAGATCATATTTAATTACACTTGCTGCGGTCTGTTTGCGGATTTTACCCTTGTATCCTTAGTATGAAACTTCATTCCGAAAATTCATAAACCCCCCAAAGTATACCCTCCTCAAAAAATGGTATGTCGCAGGTTGCGTCCTCAAACCCTCCTTTGGGCGCCTCTGGCGATATGTACTTCGTCTGATGGAGCATAAAATGAAGAGGAAGAAAAGAAAAAGATAGATTATATAATGTTACACGCATCAGTTTATTTATTTTTAACGAAATAATAGGTTATTTCTTAAATTCTAGTTTAGTTGTAGCTGAACCGCGTTTGGTCAGTGATACCTCACTCAATCTTTTTTTTTTTTTGTAAGATGGAAGCGATGGGAACTACCATATAATTAGTCGGTAAAGGTTAATATTCTTTTCCCTCTACTGGTTATGGCTTTAATGAACACCTGTCATCCTCCTAGGGCAGTCGAAACTTTCTTTTTTTCCACCACTTCCGATGGTGGCTGTTACTCCCTACTCTTAATTACTTACCTTGATTCCTATTGATTTATAAGATAGAAACCTAAGGCCCGGTTCTCTCATCCAGTCGAATTAATTTTTAGAAAAAAATAAAAGAAATTGCCTTCCAATCATTGTAAGGAAGATTGGTCTTCCTACTTTTAGCATATGTTTGAAGATTTCGCCGACGATATGCAATTATTAATAATTATGCTTGTTTGAAAAAATATTAAGTAATTGGAAGAATATGAATTTTATTCTCCTGTCATTACAATGGTTCATTATTGCAAAATAACAAACCTAAACTTGTTTACGTATTCCGGTAGACTGTATCTTAGCTAATAATGGTCTCGTTTCGATGTGTTTATTTATTTTGTTTTCCTATTGGAAAATTAAAAATCTTTCTAATTATCATGGGTTTAATCAATTATAATTACTGTTTTTTTATTTTATACAAGGCCTTAGCTAGACGCCATTAAGCAAAATTTTAGATATTATTTATTCCAAATGATTATTTAGCACCATTAACTATTATTATTATATTCTTACTTCATAATACAATATTATTATACTATAATAATACCATTATATTATTATTTAGCATCATATTTAATAATATTAACTAACTTTAATTTTTATAATGTAATGCCTGTGGAATTTACGAAGCGAGATAACGGTTCCAGAACAGAATTAGGGTTTGTTATTATATCAGTATAAGATGGATTGTCATTATCTATTAGAATTTTAATTTTATTGATGAATTTATATCTTTCTGCAGCATATTTAATCCATGACATTAATATAAGTTTCGTCTCGTCCTCAACTTCACATAATTCGCAATAATCTGTCTTTTTTTTTTTAATCATATGTAGGTAGGTAGGCACTAGTGGATTCAGGAATTAATTTTGAGAGGGGCATCAACCCGAAAGCTTTTTTTTCCTCTCTCTATATAACGATAATTACTTTGAAAGAAAGATAAATAAACTAACTACCTACAAGAAATGGTGTTTAAGTGATTTTTGAAGTCTTATTAACTGTAATTAAGGAATAATAATACTTTTTAGATATTTTTTTTTGGTAACGCATGAATATATTTCCACCATTTGGAGGAGGGCTTCAGCCCGAAAGCACCTCTCGTAGATCCGCCTATTGGTAGATACCTGATATAGCATAATTAATTCTCAATTTGCACATTGTTCTTATCCAAGATCTAGGAGCTTTGCTAATAGCAAACTGATTACTGTTTGTGTTATACGTAAGTAAAGTTTTCTCCCCTTTGTGAACTTATTCCTGTTTTTTTTCTCGAGAATGTGCTTATTTGTCGGTAGTGAAGGAGAAGCTAATCCACAAAATGATGGCTCAATCATGGAATTTGTCAAAATATTAACAAAGATATTGGATTCCGACAATGTTCATACAAACCTTTGGGAAATAATGTATGAAGATAAATTGTTCTTCTATTGCTTAACTTGCGAGAAGTCAGTTTCATAAAACTACAAACAATGATGGCAGTGAAAAACATAAAGATTAGCTGTGTTCCTTGTCTGTTATTTTGATTAAAACATTATGAAAATTGTAGAAATGGATATAGATCACTTACAAGGTGCCAATGGTTAAATAATTTCAATTGTTAATGGATCTTGAACATAAGACTTCGAATTGATACTTGGTTAACAACAAATTATTGAAAATGTAAAGTTTCCTTAAATATTATAATGCAATTGTTCAATTTCATTATACTATTCATGAATAGTTTTAGACTTGATAATGGGGAGGGTAAATTAAAATATGAAAAATATTAACTAAGTTACGTGTCTATAAGATAGATAGATAGTAATTTTATGTAATCATATAATTTATCAATTTGTTCGAAATCCTCCACTTGTAATACGCCGATGTAACTTGTCTTCTGCAAATCGCTCTATAACACTTATTTAATTTTTGAAGAGAAAACTTCTTTAGGCGCGTTTTGCACTTTTTTGTGAAGAGCGAATTAGATTGGGCCGTGAGATTTCCGATAAAGTCACGCTCACGAAGTCAGTGTAACGCTCAGATAAAGTCGGCAGAATTCGACATATTGAAGTGTTTTTGCATATGGATTAAAATATTTCAGAAACTAAAAATCTAATCTATATACTGCATACTGTAAGTGAAGGGAACGTTCATCATTTCATTCTCTTTATGATAAGTTATTATTTATAATTTATATTTCATATTATTAATCTCGCCTTGTTGATGTTTTCACTTCTATCGTGTGTTCTGAAGCAGATACCCTAGTTTTTTTTTTGTATGTCGAACTTGTGTAAATTTGTAATGATAATAATTCTGCAACACATATCTGCCTCCAGGTTTTGACTTTTAAGGTATTTTAATTTTATTAAGATGGCTATATTAGCTCATAGATTACTATTTACTGACACAAATTATTGCATTGTATGTATTACCAGTTAAGAATTAACTGATATTAATATAGACATTCTCCTTATGCGTCCTTAACTAAATAATGAGGTCCTCTAAAACATTCATCATTCCTATATATATTTTTTTTTTCTGTTTCAGCAAAATATTTCATTTTGGTTTGCTACTGGAGGTGCTGGGTTCTGCCTGAGCCGTGCACTGGCGTTGAAAATGATGCCCATTGCGAGGTAAGTGTTGTAAGCTATGTTTAAATTTTTCAATACAATTATATCAATATTTGTATATATAAATATACACACCCCATACGTTATCAATTCTTAAGTTCCTTATCTCAGGACGGTTGCTTTCCAAAGAGGTGTGTGACCGTGGACTATTATGCCGACTGCTCCGAGACCCCAGGTCAGCGCGGTTCCCCGCGGAGAGTTATTATAGCCATGTCTAAACAAGGCTGATATATTTCATACGGCTCATGGGTTGGGTTAATAGTCTCTCTTCATATCCTTTTTGAATTTCCATTTATATCGCCCTGGTATTTAATCTTTTCTTCGACAGGAAGTGGATCGCTTTCCTAAACGTCGTATTGAGTAACTCCATATCAAAAGCGGGCATCTGTAATTTTTAGAAAGTCGAGACAAGCCAATTTCTTTTTTTATGGTTTCTATGTATCAATAGCTTCAATTCAAACCAATTCTGATTATTTTTTTTTAAACAATATTTAAGTTGAATTGCCAGTTCTGCATGTACTGACTTGTCCCAGATTAGACTTCAGACGTTAGGACCAAAGCCAAGACTGAAGGGGAAATTAACTGGGCTGTTAGACGTCGCGTGACCGAAAGAACTCAAGATGATCAAGGCATACGATAACAAAACAAGTTGAATTATAAACAAATCTGAATTTGTTTAAATTGATGCTATATCTAATTTTTTTTTTCCATTTTCTGGAAATGACAGATATCCCTCTTTGAGCTCAAACGAATACTGTAATCCATAAAACTTGTAGGAGGAAGTTATGGACGATGAATCAAAAAATTTAAAGATCGCTAGGAACGAATCAATATATTTTCATGACATATTGACTTTGCCTTCTTTACTGGAAGCTTTTTTTGATGTCTGTAATTTTTTATTTTAACTCATTTAATACAATCTATATTTTTTTTCTAGTAAATACAAAATTGTTGATATTGTAACTTTTTAGTAAACAGAATTATTAAAATTGTTTATTTACAATTACAATGGCTATGGATTATTCCATATTGCTTCTCCAACTATCCAAGGTAGTATTCGTACGAGAGGTTAAAAAAAGTTTGTGTTCAGAATCGAAATTTCCACTCGCGTTTTACGTTTCAAACATCAAGGATCAAATTTGGTTCGGTGTCTGTCTGTAGCCAAGCCGGTTTAACGATTTCATGAAATTTTCAGGGATTTTGCGAGTTGTTGCTTAGATGGTCCCATATCAATAATATCAACTTCCATCCAGCACTTTCGCCTACGCACCCGCAAACGTATTTTTTGTATATGCCAATATTTCAAAAACGGCTCATTTGATTTGCTTCAAAGTTATCCAAAGGTAGGTATTAGTGAAAAATAATGCAGTATCAATTTTATTGAATTCTGTCCACTACTTTTTCTTATATATGAGCAAACGTGTTTCCCTTGATACTTATAATCTCTAAGACTGCACGTTGCATTTGGCTCAAATTTGGAGAGAAGTTAGGGATTGATAAACAGATAATCACTTATGTATGGATTTTATCAAATTCTATCCACTACTGAAAGAAAAATACTTCCGCTTTCAGGTCGGGAAATGTATTATTTGACACACCTATAGTTTGAAAACTGCGCGTTCGATTTGACCCAAACTTGGAGGATTTGGAATAGTATAGACACTAAATTCTCATTGGGCGGGGTAGCCGAATGGGCTAACGCGTTGTGCAAAGCACCACCTGATATATGAAATGATATAAAATAGTCAAGAGTTCGCGTCCCGGTGCCAAGGAGTCTTTTAAATCCCTGCCCACACCCCCTGGCCCGGGAAAATCCCATATAGTCTTAACGGCGAGGAAGGGGAGGGCCAAAAAGAAAAAAACACCAAATTCTCGGCTCCGAACTAACAAAAAGTTGAATTTTTCTTCATCCATTTTACAAGTGAAGACATACCTATTATATACTTCATAGGTGTGTTTTAACTACTGTTTACCTGCAAAAGGTCATATGCAACCCGCGAATGTTGAACTATTAGTGTATTTCCGAAAACGCTTTCTCTCATTGATTTTATTCTCTTACCAAAAAATTTAGACCCTGTAATATAGATATTTTTTAGCCAATGAAAAGGGTGAGGAAGCTATACTGACCTTACATTTTTTTCTTGGTTTAAAAATTCCTCGAAAAAGTAGGATGCCCGCCAAAATTGCTGAATTCTGGGCAGGTGTGCCTACTAATCTCAAAAATACATAACCATATGGAAATATACTTCCCTCAAAAATTTTAATGGCACTACTTGCAATGCAAAAGTTTACTTCAATGGATAACCAGAATGGTTATACCTGATCCCAATAAGTGATGTTTTATACATATACTATGCATGACACCATCAGCAAATTCAAGATTGGGGCTTTGGGCATGCCCTAGTCTTAGAGACCATCAAATATCAAATTTTATAATACATGCAACTGAAATATTTAGTAAAGATCTCATATGATGTACGTAATATGTTATCCAAAATATCATATCATATCCTGACAATGGATTGAGATTTTAATTGTTTTTTTACAGCACTGATCTACATTTTTGATAGACTATCTCCTCCTTAATCGGTTTAATTTCTTCCTCAGGAACTATACTACCCAACAAACTGATATCAAATAGTTGTCTTTCATTGTAGAGGAGGGAGTGGTAAAATTAGGTTTGTCTCTCTGGAAAATATGTAATTTTGGTCCTGAGGTTAATATTTCCAAACATAAAATGATATAAATTATTATATTACTATGTCATCCTTATTAGTAGTCATTATCCAATATGATTTTTATGTTTCAGTGGTGGAAGATTCATGGGGATTGGTGAAAAAATTAGACTACCAGATGATGTTACAATGGGATATATAATAGGTATGTATATCATTTCTCCATTATATATTCTGTTTTTTATGTTTAATTATGATACCATAAATATGCCATGAAAATATTATGAAGTGGACTTTAGCCTGCACGCTTGTAGAATGCCAGTGATAGACATGATCATAACAAGTAATATTCACTAAAAATTTAATTACTGTTAATAGATAACATTTTTAATAAATGAAGGGTGATGCAAAAATATTTGTCACTCTTGAAATAAATAAAATGTTAGTAATGTAAATTTAATTCTTTTTAAATTTATATGAAAAAATTCTTAATTTAACCGATTCAGTTTTTAAAAAATAATATTCATGTAAGAAGAATCACATCTGATAGATGGTGAACCTACCTTTTTCTTATAAGCATAACAAATTTCTTTAATCTAAGAATAATAATCTAATTCCTTTAAAAAAAACAAAAAAAAAAACACTGCTTCATGAAATGTAAGGGGAAAAAAAAAAAGAAATGTAAAAGTTGAATAAATAACTAAGAAGCACAATAAAGACCTAGCTTATTTATTATTCATAAGAGACATTTGTCCCCTCAAAATTCTCCTATATTTCACCTAAATTTCTCTTTCTACTTGAGTATGACCCAGTATAGATGGAAAAGGTCTTGTTCCCTTCAACAAAAGATTTTAAAAACAGTATGACAATCAATGATTGGAAAGTGAAAAACAAATTTTTAAAGAAAAATGACATCCAAATAAACAAATGTGGATTAAAATTTATAAGTACGGTGTGTAGCACTGAAAGCTTCTTGAACTGATATAATAAACTTGACTGATTTGAAGGGTAATATTCTCTTAGAAGAATAAATTATTCAGTCTACCTATTTTATATAAGTAACACTTTTTTGTACCACAACTTTAAGAGCAATGTTTAAAAAGAACAAGGGGTATATACCACTACTTATAAAAAATAAAAGTAATTGTTTCATATCATGAGTTCTCATGTTAATACATTTTTTTTTTCCAGAATATTTGTTAAAAAAGCCATTGACAGTAGTTGACCAATTTCATTCTCACCTTGAACCTATGAAATTTATACATCAAGACACCTTTCAAGAACAAGTAAGTGTAGTAAATCACTACCAGTTATTTTATTTATTGTTTATAATGTATCAAAATTTGATTAAATCATCACATTTATAATTATAATTTATTTGAAATTTCAATAGCCTTGAAAAAGATATTTATTTAATATTGAATAAGATATTATATATCAAACTTAAAAATTTTAATCAAATATTTTAATTTTGTTTTTTTCTTTTTTAAAGATCACATTCAGTTACTCAAAATACAGCAAAGATGAAATGAATGTAGTGAGGATAGATGGATTTGATACTAGGATAGATCCAACCAGGTAATACTTTAAATAAGTCTATGAAGTATATATATATACTAGGTTAAAATCTTGTTTACAAAAGATGCCAAAAATGTAATCTTATTCTTTTTGTAATCACTACCTTCCTTGAGAATCAGCTCTAATATTAATAGGATAATAATAAATATAATAATATCACTAGAAAAGTGAATGTTTCCATATCTGCTTTTCTTGTTAATTCATCTTAAACCAAATAAATGTATTTTATTTATAATTGTTCATATAAATTTATTTGTGGATGTCAATTATTGTTTTAGTTTTTTTTACATGTTACATTTTTTTGTTACAGGTTTTTATCTCTTCACTGCTATCTCTTCCCACATTTTAAGTCATGCCCCAGATGACAGTAAATAATATTTTTTAAGCTTTGTGCAATAATTACCTGGATTAATCATGAAATTGTAAACACACAGTGCCATCGATTGCAATCTCAAGATGGATATATTAATGCAACTAGTTTTATGTCTTAAAGGGGAATGTGTCAATGTGATGTACATAGAATGTTAAATGTTTATGAGTGTATATAAAACAATGACTGTGATATGGATATTCTATAAATGTAGTAAAATTTAGTATTAAATCAAAGGTTTTAATATGATCTTTAATTTTAAAAATTAAAATTATTTTTTAAATGACTGATGTGTATATTGTTAAATTTAAACAAAATAAAAATACAGATATGAAATGTTAAGATGCAGCATTGACTTTCTTTCTACCTTGATCTGAAATGAGACCAAGTGTCAATAAAAATCAGATTCAAACATTTAGATAATGACTGTATATAGTTCATTGTTTCTTTTGTATCCATCCCAAAAAATATGTAACACCCTGAAATATTCAACAATGGAATATATTCAATTTTAATGAATAAACTACCTCCTCGGGTTGTTAATTTATTGTTGATAAAAGAGTACCTATTAGAAAAATGACAATTTCACCTGTTTCCATTAATATAGTATTAATATTGCAACTATTTACAATTTTGTAAAGTGATTTTTTATGAACTCACAAATACATATGTACACGTACATACATGTTCACAAGCCACAAACACAGTAATAGAGAAATCAGGCAAAAAAATAAATTCATAAAAATTTATTAGAATTATCAAATTTGAAACTGATTACTTACAAAATATATTTGTTTGTAATTGTCAGTATCACTTAAAGCTAATTAATCACTGAAGGTAGCTTTTCGAAATTTGTACCAAGTTTCCACGACAGGACCTCTCTTATTCCATACATAAGCTGAGCCGTAAGCTGACCAAAATCTGGAGAGAAAAAAACAAAGGATTACTGTGAAAGATTGATACAGTAAATGTAAAGAAACATTTTGCAGTGACAAAATAAAAATAGTTCAGTCAAATTGTATTTTGATGAAACTTCTGGTATGATTGTTTTCAGAGCCTTACTTTGTTTTGTTTTTTTGGAATGCTGAACATGAGTATGAAGTTGTCCAATAAAATCTTTTTAGGAAAATTATCAAAAATTCATTAAGAATCACAATGTTTCTTTACTATCCTTAAAGCATGAAAGTTACCTTTATACTAAAAAAAAAAGTTGCCCTACATTAAAATAAATATGATAAAAGTACCTAAAATTTTTACTTGCATTGTTTTTTTAACAACTTATGGTTTCAGTTATTTGAAAAAAAAAAATAGCAAATGAGTGCCCTAAACACATCATCACATCATTACTAATCCAAGGTGAATCTTGGAAATTTTGATATCTCAGAATGATTTCCACCTAATAATAGTCCCACTGTTCAACATCCTATATAAATATATATATACAATAATAAACATTGACTGTCTCAACATAATGAATATTGCCTTTCTCCAACAAATTAATAAAGAGAATGTGATAAACGAATCACTAAAGAAAGTTAACATACACCTAATTTCTATCACACTTCTCAACTCTCCCATTTTATGAGGAGATACTTACACACCAAACAATGCTCCTCCCAAATGTGCTGCATGATCGAAAAATCTCCATCCAAGCAGAATGCCCAACGCATCAATACCCATTATAAATTTAATAGCCTGAAAAAAAAAATGATTTTAGTTGATAATGAATTAATGAAAGGAAATAACTTTATTATTCTGAGACTAGTGCCCCTTAAGAACAAATTGTAAATACAGAATATAAATAAACATGTAACAAAAAAACTAAATATTTACAAATAATTGGTAATATAAAATAAAAATACAGGTGATATAAAAAGCTTTACATAAATGTAAAAAAAACTAAGGCATGTACTTTAGACCACAGAATAGAAGTGAAAACATCAACAAGGCAAAATCGATAATATGAAATATAAATTATAAATAATAGCTTATTATAAAGAGAATGAAATGCTGATCATTTCTCTCACTTACAGTATGCAGATTCGATTTTTAGTTTCTGAAATATTTTAATTCATATGTTCAACTAAACTTGTTATCATTTGGTTTTTGACACTATTTTTTCCTTTTCACCTCCCTAACACAGCATCCCATTAAGATACAATTTTGAATTATAGCTTATTACAGAGAGGATGGAATGCTGAACATTTCTCTCGCTTACGGTATGCAGATTCGATTTTTAGTTTCTGAAATATTTTAATCGATAAGTAAAAATATTTCATTTAGTCAACTCTAGCCGACTTTACCTGAGCGTTAACACTTCGGAAATGTGACGGATCAGTCTAATTCACTCTCCACAAAAAAGTGCAAAACACACCTAAAGAAGTTTTTACTTCAATAAACAGAGAAATATAAAATAATACACAAAATAGTATCTGGGGTACTTTGAGATGATGTGGTTGAAAACATAAAAATAAAGCTAAAAAAATCTGTAGGATGTCGTTATAATGCAAATAAAATTATAGTATATAATAATTATTATGATAATCATTGTATAGTGCATAAAACAAGTAGTGTCAAAGCATCTGAAGAAAGACTTAAAGTAAAGAGTGATTTAGGATAGAATGGGCAGTTTACAAAATATTTTAGGGACTTCTCCAAAGGTACCCACTATACCTGGGCCAATAGTGTAAAAGCGTAATAGAGGAAGATGTTTAATTAAAAAAAGAAACCTTAACAGCGAGAATTTTCCATGCTCTTATCTGATCAAATTTCATGAATATTTTAAAATATCATATTGAATATTTAATAGTTGAACGTTGCATTATAAATGAAGGAGATGGTCCAGGAGATGGGGTGGCAGTTATAAAAAGGCTAAATAGTGGCAAAACTATTTTTTTATGACCGCCACCCCGGACCATCTCTTTCCTTTAAAATATCATAATTTTTAGCTGAAGTTTTTAAAAATATTGTAATTCATGTATATAATTCTCTTAAGTTGTTTTGATTTCTATGCTCTTCATTTCTCTTATCTTGTCAAAAACTTTCAGATTTCTACAAGTTATTCATTTATATCTTGTAGGCCAGCTGTGACTGCATTGGTACTATGAGAAACTAACTCATCAGATTTGTCTTGTTCTTGATTTAGTCATATGGCTCACTCTCAGAGGGCTTAGGTTAGAACTGTTTCATATTTGTATGAGGTGATTCTACACCTTGTGTTGAGCAACACACAGCTGATGGCCTTAAATATTATGGATGTGATAAATACTGAAATAAGTTTATTAGTAAATAGTTTAAATAAATTAATAAATATTACTGAAAACTAGAAATAAAAAAAGAACTAACAATGCATTTAAAAATTATACGGATGAAATAACAATAGAAATACTTACGGCACTTGCTTTGAAAACAAAGAAAGGTAAGAAAATTATATTTAGTTCCAGATCAGGAAACCTCGTACAGCAATACCCTAACACGCCCATTATGGCTCCACTCTAAAAATTCAAGTAAATAAATCCTATAAATAAGATTTCAGAAATAGTCCTTTCATTAAAAGTAATGATTTGTGTTTTAAGTAAAATAATACATGTAAATTATTATCTTTCTCAGATTTGTTTGCCTCATCATCAGCACAAAACAGCTGAATTGATCACAATGAAATTTTGAATCTATTGTTAAATTTCACAATTTTTTATATCAAAAATATATAATAGCAAGAAAAAAATCTTTTGATTACAAAAAAAGCATAGTTAATCCTTTCATCCTTTTTTACTCTTTTCAGAGTAAAAATATAATATACATATTTAGTTTTTCATTTTCCATGAAAATCCGGTCAATAATAATTACCATTATTTTTTAAATAGCAATATATATTACTTAATAAATGCATTATTTCTATTGGGATAAACAGGTAGCATGCCATTGAATTTTATTTTTTAATTAGATAATAGTTTTTTTAAGAGATTATTTATTTGAATATATTTCAGTGGTTTATTGGGAAAAGTTAAACCAGAACATTTTATAAAAATAAATTAAGATATGTGATGAATTCTTCCTCAATAAATCAGATCATTGTGCACTTAGTGAAATTAATTTGGACAATCATAGTGTTTGTATTTTTTGATGCACTTAATGAGCTTCACATTGATCAATATGATTGAAATTCACAAATACTTGACTCATAAACTATCATAAGTGTAATTAGCAATTTATTGCAAAAAATCCATTATATATCTTGGCAATACATCTTTTATTGACATTTAATGTAATAATTAAATATCTTATATACGTATATAACACATACACATGTAATAATTATTTCAAAGAATATTTTTTAAATTATATCTTGAGGCTGCGATGCCACAATTGTCTCAGAACTCACACTTCAGAGCATTGCATGTTCGATTCTCACCTGAGACAATTATTAATTATTTTGTGGCAGTCAAGCAAAAGGACCTTCACATTTCCACACTGATACATAGAACACCAACCTCTGAAGAGCCACCAGGATTGGCAAAAATGAATGATAACTCCCTGCTACTAGTAACAATATCTTTATAAAAGTGGAGTTTGGCAAGAAATGAATTCTATGAAGAAATTAAGTATCTCCTCATAATTAGTTTGAAAATACTCTCTAAGGGTTCTAATTGATACAAAAAAAACTTGATTCTGTAAATATGATAAAAATATTAAATACGAACCGCACCAAGAGACAATCCAGGCCTGTTAATTAGAACTTTATGTACATAGCTGGCAAAGGAAGCTATGGCACCAGCAGCTAAATAAAATCCAAGAAACTGTTCTTTGCCCATATTAGAAACACAACCTTTAACATAGAATAAGTAATGATAATAAAAAATAATAATAAATATCTGAAGTTTTCTTATTTTTTATATTTATATTATAGTTTTATTTTAAATTTATTAAGAATAAAATTTTCAAAAGATAATATTCATACTTGTGCACTGAAGAAATATGAAGATTAAGATTTAAAAAATAAATAAAATAAAATAAAAACCTAGTAACTGAAAATATCAAATGGTTCAACATTACGAACGAAAAGTATTAGTATCAACGAAAAGTCATTTAAGTTACCCATTAGTTTTATCATACACTCAAAGAATGATCAAAATTACCAATCAACACTTTCTCATTGAAATTTCCTGGAAGATTGAACCAAAACCACCAGTTTTTAAAATTTATATTCATTTAGCAATGGATGGCTATAAATCAGACATAATGCTTTTGCAAGTTTGCTTAGATAAATCATCAAACATATAAGGTTATTGAATAAGATTTAATCACATCATTACAGAAGTTTTAAATCACTAAATAAATCTTTTTTTTACAATTGTGTAGTTCTAGAGAAACAACCAAACCTATTCTAACCAGAATGTGAAGGTCGAGACTTATTCCGTGGTTATGCCACAAAATAAATTTAAACCTGTCAAGCCCAGATTCGAACTGGCATCATTAGACTCGAGAATGTTAAAGCAGAAAATCTTTTAACACACTCGACCATCATTCTGAGTTATCCATGACCGGTCCAACAATATCAACGCTGCTTTATAACCCGTACAATTTCATCATCTCTTGAAACATTATACAGCTCCCTATTCTTTCTTTTCCTTTCTTAGTCTTCACTCACTGAAACATATATATTTTTTTTTTTCTCTCTTACAGCTCCAAAAATTCTCCTTAGCACTTCTTGAGTAGGTCTTTCAAATATAAGTTTTCTGTTTTAATCCATTTTGGTGGTTCTCCTTACATCTGATCTATCCACCTGCTGACCTCTTATGATATATTGTTCCAAGATCTCAGGTACACAAAAGTCTCCTCTCTTAATAGTTAATAATAGGGTTCAATTTCCAAGAATGCATAATGGTCTCCATCACCACCGACTCGCATATAGTTAGGTTTTGTTCATTTGTTGTGAGACCGAATTCCCTGGCTGGCAGCTGTTTCAAAATAAGTGAATGCCTCTTTCAATAACTGTTTTGACTTTGCCACAATATCAATGTCATCAGTGTACCATAACAGCTGTACAAGTCAGTTAAAGCTGGTGCCTGTTGAAAGTATATTTTATTTTTGGACAGCCGTTTCGCATGCCATATTGAATAGGAGACAAGCAAGGGCATCTCCTTGTCTTACTCCACTACTCCTTTCAAATGCTTTGGAAAGTTGATCCCATATGGATTGCACATTATGAATTTCTCATGTTCATCTCTACTAGTTGTGTGAGTTTTCCTGTGACTTCAAGCCTATTCAGAGCCTTGTACAGCTCCATCTCCTAATACATGTACTTTAGGATGTCATGATAATATTTTTTTGTGACAATAAATTCTTGTGTCCCCTCTCTTGGTTCATGTCATTATCTGCAATCATTATTGATCATAAGTATTAAAATATTGCAACATTTTTTAATTTTTGTCTACCACCTTGGATGATTGGACCAGTCTGACATGTGTAAGTAATAATAAAAAGAAAACCGGTACCATTACAAACCATGAAGGGTCTTGGGTTCAGTACTTTGTAAAGTACTGTTTCTTGGTCAAGGATTTGAACCACAAGGATATGGAAAGGAACTGATTTGAATAATATCATGCTCAACTGGCAAATTTTTCCTCTTAATTAATTGTTTAAGTAAAAATTATCTGCTACACAGGCTAGATATGACCCATGAGTGTCTTCTCCCCTCTACAGTCGATGTAATGGAATAAATGATTACCTGGAAAAGTCAAACTCTAATCCAGAGCCCTGAGCAGTGGAGCACAGTGCCAAACTCACTTAGCTACCTAACTCCTTCAGCAATTATAAAAAATACAATAATTTAATTTTTAGTAGCTAGGAAAATATCACTAGGTTACCAGGTCCGAGCACCCAGAGTCTGGATACCTTTAATATGAGAAATCTTATTCCCAGCAAAGTTTAAACTACTTAATTCTACGTAAACCCAATTCAGAGCCGAGACAGTAGCAACTATCTTTGAAAATAATTATTAGACAAATTTGAAAATTTTTGAATTTGTATTGTAAACACTCAATTGAGAATAAAATCAACTTGGACCTCTTTGATTCTGATCCCATCAATTATGATGTTTTTAGTAATTAATTTGACAGTGAGGTAATTACCTGATGAAAAACTGTGTAGAACATACATGTTGGCAAATATATGCATTGCCGAATAATGGCTAAATGTAGAAAGAACCATAGGCCAACATACATTTTCTAAAACAAATAAAATGACATCAGATAATGATATAAATTATGTGAAGAGATAAATAAGAGAGGATTAAACCTACTTGCAGCTGGATTTGAGCAAAAATATTTCACCATTAGGGGCTGAAATGCTGGTAACTTCCATGCCAAAAACACAATTATGTTAAGTAAACAGAGAGGAGCAAATATTCTCTCACCTTCTGTGAGATTATTCCACCATTTATTAACGTCACTTCTCATTGATCCCTGTCAAAAAATATAAATTATAAGAAACCAAATCATCCAATTTTATCTAGGTTTTATTAATTCTAGTTTTTTAATTAAAAATTAATTCATTTAACTATATCTAATATTAAGTGTCAAGAAGATTTAGTGCTTTTAATATTTATTCCTTCCATTCCCACAAATTCAAACTTTGGTTCATAACCGAGTTGATAGAGGGGCCACTGAGGATACATGTTGGCCAGAACAAAGATGATTTTAATTAAGTTTAAAAAAAAACTGAATTAATTTTAACTCAAAATTAAAAAAATATTTCTCATCACAGACATCCACTTGACCCTTCATATGTATCCTGATAAGGACCTAGTCATGGATTGTTGAGTAGAACTACTTTATTTAATTTTTAACAAAAGTTATAAAAACTAAAATAATATGAAGTAAGTTACCTACATATTTTCTTCTTGAATGGTGCAACCAGTCCTTTATTTGCCTTCTTTTCTTATGTATGTTTTCAAACTCCCAAATTGCTGCAGTAGCAAGACTTGTTGTGCTGAACTGAAACGAACATATTAATTCTGGAATATGCATTTATTGTTCAATCATTTAAGTTTAAAGCTAAAATACAAAATAAGAATGAAACAAACATTATATTCATTAATATGTGGTAAATCATAGGAAAGAAAAAGTTATTCCGGTGATTTACAATGCAGAATTAGTTTCTCAAGTACCTTAAGTTGAAAATAGGTAATTAGAAGCACAAATAAGGATTAATATCCTAAGCCAAGAGGAGGTAAGGAATATTCTCTATTAAGAATTGACCAGGATAACAGAATAATAATAAAAAATAAAAAAACAATCAATCTGTTAGAAATAGATTCCTTTGTTAGAGAAGGTGACTTCATTGTGAGTCAGACTTCTATTTATAACACCCACATCTAAAAAGATTAGTGAGAAGAAATACTAGTAACTTCAAACAGCCGTACGACAATCTATTATAGACGTAGGCATACACAAGAAACTTACAAAAATGAGGCTAATGAAGACTATCTGTCAAGTGAAACTTGCAATTTCGCTATCGGAAGAATTTGAGGTGGATAATAGATTTGAGACTTTATCTCCCCTTATTTTTAATCTATCCCTGGAAGTGGCTATTCATTCTATTTAAAAAAATCCAGGAGAAAATATCTACAATTGTCTGTCTCAACATCTGCCATATGGCGATGATATTGCCATTATTTCTAATACCTATGCAGCATTATCAGGAACTTTCCAGGAATTCGAAGATGCAGCGGCTAAACTGGGCCTTACAGTTAATGGAAATAAGACAGTGTACATGAAAAGTTCAAAAATGGAAAAAGGAAGTGAATACGGAAATAGCTTTAGGTCTGTTGACCAGTTCAAGTATCTTGGAAGCCTGGTCACATGCAATAATAAAATAGAGAGTGAAATAAAGGCCATAGGATATAGATGCTATATCTCACTGCAAAGAGACTTGAAATTCAGATCACTCTCTAATAGAATCAAAATCCTCATCTACAAAACTATTGTAAGGTTAGTGGTTATGTATGGGTGGGAGAATCGGACCATAAAGAAAAATAATTATAACAAGAAATAATAAATTTTCTTCTTTTGATTCTATTTTATTATTCTTTGGCATTGAAATTTTCCTATATAGCCAGTCATTACATTATGAATTTGAATTCTTATTCTCTACTATTTCCAAAAGTTGTTGTTAAATCAAGTAAATATTTTATTGAGCAGCTCAAAGATCGCTGACACATATCTCTGAAATAAGACCTTATATGTTTCACATGTTAACCCTACTATCTATATTTCCCTACGGATTTATGATATGGTAGTAATTTTGTTTTGGTTTTCTTAGAATAGATTACATTAAATGCATACATAAATATTATACATAATAATAAGTAAATATATTTGCTTATACAAAGAGTTAAAAGAATGAAACAACAAAACCTAATAGAAAATATATACACGAATACATTACTTTTATTTGTAAGAATGTATTAATTATAGAATCATAGCATTCCTTTCTGTAGCCTACTACAAGATGACCAAAATCCTGCAAGACCAAATATATCTGAAATACATAATATGACAGGTGACCACCAATATGGATTTAGAAGAGGGAAGAACATACTAGACCAGAACTTCATTCTAGAACAAGTGTTTCAAAAAATATGAGAAGCAGCTCAGGATGATCATGCTTTATTTGTAGAATTCAAGTACGCCTATGATTTTTTGTACAGAATCTGTTTTTGAGATATCATCACTGAACTGGGACTTGATGACATTGATAAAGGCGTGTACAAATAATCCTCAATGTTGAGCTCTAATACCAGGAGAAATATCTGAATCCATCCGAATTCGAACTGACTTGCAAAAGAATGATGGACTATCGCTGATAGTGTTCAACTTAGCAATAGGGAGTTAATGTTGATCAACAGTCAAAAATATATCAGAGTAAAACAAGAGTATATACAGTTTTCTTCTCAATCTCAATTTAAGGGTTTACAATGTTATGACAAAGCCAGTTTTGATATGAGGCAGAGAGATCAGGGCACTAAACAGCACCATAGAAAGAAAAATTGAAAGATGTGAGAGAGAAATCCTCCGCACAATTAACTGGAGCGATCTGGGATCAGAGTACTAAGGACTAATAAAGAACTGCTTACAGAAACTGGTCAGTAAATATCTCATGATAAAAGGCAAGGAGGTTAAGATGGGAGGAGGGATATATGGAACCTTCATCTTGCTGTTGAGAAGCAGAGAATCGATACGAGCTCTAGAACTTGACGGAATTGACATTGTGATCCTTAAATCAAAAAGGAACTCCTCGAAATTCTCAACAAATGTACATGATTATACCTTAGACTGATTCTCAGTTCAGCGAGCCACCCACAGAAATTTGGCTCAACCTGTGATAAGGGAACCAATGAGTGCATATAGTGAGAGTGTATATAGAAGTATTAGAGAGGGCGGGGAAGTATTATTTTATTTTATTTATTGAAATCCAAATTTGCCTTTCAGGCATTCCAGATGTTTGCAGTAGTAAGATGTTATACCTCTCTACATAGCATATCACTGCTTACTCACTACTACTACTCGAGAAAAGCTTAATCATTTGTTCTAGATATCTTAATGATCTTGATCCATTAGGCTGGAGTCAAAGTATTTTTCTATCAGATGGTCTTCCATATTAGGTCCTCCTTTTCTTGTTATATTGAAGTGGGGCAGGGCCACCCAAAGACTTATACAACAATATTGCATGAGGCAGCAAAGGTGTTGGTCAGAGCAATTTCTCCCAATCACGTCCTCAGGGAGCATGCCCTGTAGTATGATGTTAATGAGAGGCTAGTAGCACTTCCCGAAGGACTAAGACAAAAGGTCAGCAAGATTCCCAACCAGTGGAAGAAAATTGTTTGGGAGAACTCTATAGAAGAATGGAATGGACAGTAGGTTGCTTGCCAGAAGGGCAAAACATTGAGAAAGTTCTTCCCATGGTCCACTGAAGATTTAAGGCTAAATGGGTTCTTCCAGACAATTGGTTCTCGCAGATCATGAAAGAACATACAGGATTCCAGGAGATATGTGAATATTGAAACCCAGTGCCTCACCTGTGGAATTCCTAAGAGAATAATGTTGCGATATCATACGCTGCCAACAAAGAAAACTGTGCCAGGTTGTCAGGAAGGGCAGGTATCTTCGTCCTCGTTGGAACCTACCTTTCCCAACTCATGAAGGAGACACACTACGTTTTCTTCAGATCGTCTAGAGATAAAAGGAAGCAGTGGTGGGGCCTTCATACTGCACACTTTGTGGAGCCCTGCCATCCGATTTTGATGAGCCACCATCTTGTGAGGATAAAGCAAAAAGATGGCGGAAAATTTCTAACAATTACGTGTTTTAATTTTACTTTGTAAGCTCTTTTATTCAATATATGCATCTATTCAGATTATAATTTCTCATTTAAGTGCCAAAAAACTATTTCTTAAATATTAAACATTGATGAAACAAGAAAATAACTAAACTAAAGTAAGAAATGGTTGGGAAGTTTGTTAGGTTAGCAATCATAGAGAAAATAATAAAATTGTATTATATGAAAATGTTTCAGAACTTCATCAGGAATGAGTTAAGACAAGGTAATAACCTAACAAAAAATATTACAAACATTAGCAAGAAAATAATAAGTTATGAGCCAATTAAATATTTTTCTTTGCAATTCCAAGTGCCATATTATTCAGTCAAAACTATTTCCCCACCATTAAAAAAAAAAAAGAAAAAAAAAGAAATAGAAACAAGATATTTCTTAGGACAAAGCAAAATTAGAACTGATGTAATATTATAGACACTTATGAGAGACACCTTCAATATAGATTTTCTTAAGTGGGCTCAAAACAGATTATAAACAAATATGTAAGCAACAACCTAAAATTTTAATATATAATTATGATCTGCAAATAAAATAATGTTAGATTTTAAGATTGTTTCATATTTTACAATGTAGCTAAATTTAATTTTAATCTTTATTTGTTTTTAGAAAAGAACTCTATACAAATAGAGTCAATTTTTATATAACAAACTTATTATACAATGTAATTAGTTATCTATTCATACACAAAATAGGGCAATAAGGACTTACTACAGCAGTGAATATAAAAGGTTTCCATAACTTTGACCCATCTAGACTTGAAGTATCAATAATTAGACCATCAATTTGAGGTTCAAATGAATCAAGTTTACGTTTCGCACCTTGTATTTTAGACCTAACTTGTTTGATAGGGGAGGTGGAAAACTTTTGAAAAGTGATCCTGGCATTTCTTGACAAGTTACTGCCAGACCTGGAAATATTTATAGCATTATAAAAACAGATATGACAATTATACTTTTTAAAAGAAAAAACCTAACCATTTTGATAAAGAATGATGACATGTTAACAAAGTTTTCATAAAAATCATATTTCACTTCCCAAACCAAAATAACAAATTACAATTTAAATCTTCCTTCACATTTGAAAATTCCATATCATGAACAATAACCCATGTCAAAATTACTAATAAATTAGTGTTTCAATGAGGAATCGATTCTAACGATACAAGGATATCGACCTGAACAGAGAGGATCACGAATGTTGCCAATCGAATGAGTGAATACCCAAACTTCTATAATTAGTTCGAGAAAGGCATACATTTTGCAAATGCTAGATTTTAATGAGTTTCATTATATCGTTTATGTGTTTCATTATGCAAAAATAGTAAAAAAAATTATATATTATAATGTAGAGGGTCCGGTTTAGGAATGTGGGGACCCTAATCTCGAGGTAAAGCATCAAATAGCAACTGCAAATAAATGTTTGGGCCTATTTAAACAAATTAATACTTGGTCCTCAAGCGTTAAACAATTTCGAGGTAGGACGTTTATCAATTAAGGGGGGAAATGAAATTACATCTAAGAGTTTGTAAAGCCGAATACCGAATACAGTTGCCAAACAATGGATAGATCCCAAAGAGTAACAAGGCATGGTAAAGGGTTTTTTTTCCTATGCCGAAGTCGTTGGTCATAGGACCATCCGACATCTTGTTGCCCAGTATAAATTAGAATTTTTTGTATATTCATTTAAAAATATCTTTTTTCTCATGTCCGTCCAAGCGGGGCATGTGTCTAGGTGGTCTGCATTCATTCCTTGATAGTTTACACATAGGATCCTCAGCCAGGTCCATCAAGTGGCGATGACTTTGTAGATAGTCGTGACCAGTGGCCAGGCGGCCAGCATCCGCCTGGCCGCTGGTCACGACTACTGCACCTTTTCTTGGTAGGTAAGCTGGGATTGGGTTTTCCATCAAGCATCTCTATAATGTCACCCTTCCACCTTTTCTCTGTGTATTTTTTATATCTCCTCCCTCACTGCCATCCTCACCATTTGCCGAATGAAGTCGTAAGATTTTGGATGGACTGGTTGAGGCGATTCTGTTGCTCTCTTGGCAACAATATCTGCTTTCTCATTTCCTGAAATCCCACAATGGCTCGAAATTCACTGAAGGACCACATTAGTGTCTCGGAGTGTTATTTGCACGAAGTAGGGATTTGCACTCCAAGATAGCACTCAACAGGCATCCATTCACACTAATAACAGCGAGAATCGCTGCTTGAGAGTCGGAGAAGAGAAGAGCGCTCTGTACTTGCCTTCCAGATAGTTTCTTAGGACTATGATGATCGCCGCTATCTCACCGTCGAGATTCGTACCAACCTCACCCATCGCAGCAATGAACTGAAACTCCCCCGAGTAAACCCCTGCCCCAGCATTTTTGACGACTGATTCAGCTAATACATCAGTATAAATGTTCTATTCCTTTTAACTCATAGTCTGATGTTTCTTTTTTATCCACATTATTGAGGGATGTCAGCTCTACCTTGCTTGCGCGATTGTGGATTGGGAACTGTGCCTGTATAAATGCTTCCCGTTCTTCAAGAAAAGCCTTCGCCTTTATCGCAAAGCCTGAATGACGTTTGTGTCTTTAGCCGTTGAATTGGGATTTGGTATTTTTTCCAAAATTCTGGATCCATTATTCTTATCCGCTCGTGGAGCAGATCGCTCACGCCCTTTCGAAAGGGGTTCTGCTGTGGTCTGCAGTTCAATAGTTGCCACAAGAGTTGAGCGCGGTGCGCCCAAAATTAAACGCAGTGCTTTGTTATGCAGGCTGTCCAGTATTTTTAGGTATGCATCAGCCGCCGTACAGATGACCTCAGAACCGTATTCCAGTAGTGGACGTACATAAGTTTTGTGTACTACCGTTTAGTTATTTGTCAATCATTTTTCCCCCTGCTTTGCCTTCAGGCAATACTGGTTGTAGCAGCAGTGGGGTATTACGTAGGGTATATGCATAAGCCACTGCTGGCAGTACAGGTCTATTTTATTAAAATTTGTTAAACATTTATTATTTATAATTGTTATTGTGGGAACTGAGGTGAAGACTTGTGACAGCTGTGCCTAAGCCTAAGCCTTGTGACAGCAGGCCTTTCCTTTTCTCCATTCTTCCACCTGAAGTCGGTCCTCGAAGCAGCTGCAGCTTGTCTTAAGTTCCTTCTCATCTTCCCAGAATAACATGTGTAGGACCTACAGCATCTTTCCACCCGTAACTCTCTCTGCTTATTAGTTAGGGGAAGATGCTCTCTGTCAGCGTATACATCATCGTCTCTCTCAGAAGCTTAGCTCTTAGTGCGTTATAGGCAGTACATTCGACGACCACGCGTTAGGCGGTCTCCGGAACATTGCAGTTGGGGCATAGCGGGTCAATATTCTTCTCGTGTTTAACGAACTTCGTTCGGAAGCCCCCATGTCCCGTGAGAAATTAATACACCAGATAATCCGGGAGGACCCAGCTTGCATCTAATCGTGACGACCGTGGAGCACGGGCGGATCTACGGAGGAGGGCTTTGGGGCTGAAGACCCCCCCAAAATGGTAAAATATAACCATTTTTTATGGAAAAAACATAAAACAATTATCTCTTAAAGTATTATTGTTCGTGTAATTACATTTAAATGACTTTAGAAATCACTTTAACACCATTTCACATAGGTAGTTAGTTTCTTCCTTTCTTTTCCAAAGTAATTATCGTTATTTTCATTTAAAAAAAGCTTTAAAAGCTTTTGGGCTGAAGCCCCTCCAAAATTAAATCCTGGATCCGTTAGTGCCGTAGAGAAGTACTTCCTTAGGATATCCTCCTTCGGAGTTGCCATCCATCGCCGGTTCCATTCACCAACTGTGTCCTCCCTGATAGTTCTTTTTCATCTTGTTAGGTCTTCATCAATTCTCATCTTTATATGTTTCGGTAGATCCGCCAACCTTCTATTTTCATTTTAAAGAAATTATAGTCTTCTCGCAGGAGGAGATCGAGAGGTATCCCCACTGCTAGTAATTGCACAGCCTCATGAAACACCGTTCTATAGGTTTTAGTGACCCGAAGTAAAGCCAATCTCTGAAGCGATGTTAGCCTACTCTTCTGTCGGTGCGAGAGGTTTAGGTTCCAGACTAGGGACGCATATCTCAGAATAACTAAAAGTACCCCTTTATAAATAGTCATTATAGTTGGGTATCTGGGACTCCCGAATGAGCCCCAGAGTCCATTTAGGGCCACTGTAACTCTAGTTCTCATATAGTTCAGGTGAGGAGTCACGTTGAACATTGGACCAATTCTTATGCCAAGGTAGGTGACAAACTCATTTGGACATATCCTTTCTGCTTCTATATTCAACATAATATGATGAGTCCTGTCAGCCGTGCCTCTCAAGAAAACTGCCTGGATCTTTGTGGCAGCCATCTTCAACTTCTTTCTCTCGCACCATCTTCCTACCAAGCTGGCGTATTGTTCAGCTTCTGCTTTCAGAACGGCTATACTGTCTGAGACCACCACGGCGGCCAAATCGGCAACATAGGCCGTGGTAGGGAACCGCTTTTCTTCGAGCTTATATAACAACTCGTCAAAAACTTGCTTCCACAAAGCGGGACACAGAAGAGAGCCCTGCGGTCAGCCCCTCTCGACGGTGTCTTCTACTTCAAAGAATCTTGTGCGTAATTTTTAATGCCCGGTCCTGGAGGTAGCTTCTCACTAGATCATACCAGTTACTAGGACTTTCATATTTCTGGAATTGCTGTAGAGCACTTGACCACCTTATAGGCAGCTGTCATGGCAATCATAATGAAGTAGGGCTACAGCGGGAGGGGATAATCCTTAAGAGCACCACAGCGAGATCCTATCACTACAAAAGCTAATGCAAGACTCCGATTTCTAATTACATTGTTACGATCATAGACAGTATTGAATTTTTTCTGTAATATAAACTTAGTAATTGTGTTATTTGTAAAATTTATTTTGTTCTTGTACATTAAAACGTTCATTTTTTCAAATTGGTTCTCTTTTTGGTTCCCATACCAACAAAGGGATTGTAGATCGCCGTGACTCATTCCGATCTTTTTGCTCGAGTTTTTAAGAAATGAATTTGTTATGAAAATAATCAGTTATTATTAAATAATAAACAGAAGTTAACTTTTTATACAAAAACCAAAACAAAAATTTGATATTAACTAGTACGATTGACGTAAATAAATTTGATGCAATGTAATCCTTACAGAGTCAATGTATTTACAAAGTTCGATATATACCGTGTAAGGGCTCCTTTAAGTGACTAGATGGAAGTGTAACTAATATCTGAAAGTCTACTAGACCTCAGTAATGGGAAGAAAGCTTATCCATGATGGAACCAAAAGGTCTAGACTCGTTGAGACCAGAATCTTTTAAGTAACGTAGTCCATTGAAGTAAAGGAATACTAATACCAAAGAGCTAAAAAAATATGAAATTAGAACTTATTGAAGGAAGTTTATCGGCTGTTCTACACATCATGGGTGGTAAATATTTAGGACGCAGTCATTATAAATAAAACTAAATAAACAAACACTTTATAATGACTGCGTGCTGAATATTTATCATTCATGAAATTAGAACTAACTAAGATATTTCTTACTCGATACATCGATATATTACAACCGCTTAGATTGAAAACAATCGTTTGTTTATGTGTAAACATTGTCAATTTTAAGTTGTAGAAGATGACATATGATAACTTTTACCTAACATTTTTAATGTGATTATATTAGCTCCAAGGCTGAGCATTATTGATCATGCTTCCTTCCAGATTTAAAGCTTTAAATTCAGATACATCTGAAGAAAGTGACACTAGTGAAACTCCTGCAGTGACCAAAGAAGCTTTGGTAGTTATTATTATTTTTTTAATAACAACCATTTAACTGTACTTGATTTATAATTGATATATTTATTCTTAGGAACAAAAAGCTATAGCCCAGTATCAAATAGCACTTCAACTAGAACAGAAAGGAGAATGGGAACAGACCGAGAAGTTATTGAGGGAACTTTTAAAAACCGATATAATTTCTCAGGTAAGTTGTTTAACCTTATTTACATTCACTTTCGAGCCAAGGTATATAAATTCCGAGACATCTTCAAAAGTCATACCTCCGATTTCTACATTTGCCTCTCTGTGGCCTCCATCCTTCGGGTCAGCCTGCATAAACTTTGTTTTCTTCTCATTGACCTTTAAGCCGATTCTCGCTGCTGCTCCTTAAAGTGCTAAGAAAGCATCATTTATAGCTGCCCGTGTTCTTCCAACCAATGCAATGTCATCGGCAAACCCTAATAATTGCACTGAATGATTAAAGACTGTTCCACTAATCTGAATTTGGGATCTTCTAATGGCACATTTGAGAACAATATTAAATAGGAGACACGCTAAGCAGTCTCCTTGGTGCAGTCCTTTCTGCATTTCAAAATGTAGTCAGACATATCGCCTTGGATTTTGACAGTGCATTGCACATCCTTCATAGTCACTTGTTTCAGTCACACAAGTTTAGGTAGGACACCCCGGCCCAAATATCATAGTAGAGCTCATTTCTTAGGATGCTATCATAAGCTCTGTCAAAGTCTACGAAGAAGTAGTGTGTGCTTATATTATAATCTCTTGCCCTCTAAGATTTTTATAGACATAGATCTTCCTCACATGAATTCAGCCTGATATATTCCTATTTCTCTCTCAGCGAGCGGAAGTAGTTGTGGAAAGAGGATTCTTGAGTGAATTTTATATGCACACAATACCAGAGATATTTGTGACAATCCAAGATATCACCTTTCTTATGGATCGTGCAGATGATTGTTTTGTACCAATCATCTGGTAATACTTCTTCCACCCTTGTTTCCATGATAACACTATGCATTAATCTTGTGAGCTCTTCCCCTCCATATTTCAACAGTTCCAAGGGTATCCATCCCAGGGGTTTTATTGTTCTTCAGAAATCCTATGGCATCTTCCTCATCTTCCATGTCGGAAACCTCCAGATCGCCAACTGGTAGTTCCTGCCTCTCCACTCCACAGCAGGGAATATTGTCATTTAAGAGCCTTTGGAAATAGCTTTTCCATTGCTCCATTATTTTGTTCTTATCAGTGACTAAGTTCCCCTCTGCGTCCTTGCAAGCACTGGTCTGGGGTTTGAAAGTTCTTCGGCTCTGGTTGATACAGTTATAGAATTTCCTTATTTCGTTTTGGCTCCTTATGTTCTCAATCTCTTCCAGTTGTTTCCTTTCCAGGTCCTTTTCTTCCTCTGAAAGAGTATTTTCTCTTCCCTTCTTTGGGCTCGGTACTCTTCTACAGAAGTTCTTGTGGGCCATCTGCCGATAACCTTTATTCTTAATAATAGTGATCCTCTGACACTCCTCATCGTACCATCCTGCTTTCCATGTAACTTCTTGATATCCTATTGTTTCATTTGCGACTTCCACTATTGCCTCCATGCAACTACTCCATTGTAGGTTTAAGTCTCCGGATTCACTAAGGTTTCTTATCTTATGATTCATATGCCTAGATAAGCTTTCTCTCTTCTCATAATCTTTGAGCACCTCCACGTTAAACCTGGCTTGTTGCGTTCTTCGCTGGACTCGCACCATTGAAATTCGCGGTCTGATCTGGGCGATTATAAGGTAGTGATCAGAGTCGATATTTGCCCCTCTGTAAACTCTGATATCCTGTAGACTTCAAATGTAGAGGACATTAATGAATGGTTTATCTGGTTGCAAGTGACACCGTCGATAGAGTGCTAAATTGCCAGATGAATCCTTTTATGGGAAAATCTCGTGCTTCCAACCGCCTAATCTTTTGAGGCTGCAAAGTTAATGGTTCTCTGACCATTTTCATTTGTGATATTATGAATGCCGTATAGACCTGTTGTGGGTCTGTATTGAGGTTCTTTTCCTATTTGGGTATTGAAGTCTCCAATCACAATCTTGACATCAGCTCTCGGACAACTATCAATGCATCTTTCAAGATCTTGGTAAAAACGATCCTTTTCATCTCCTGATGGCTCCGTTGGTGCATGGATGCTCATAATGTTGGAATTATGGAATTTACCTCTCATTCGGAGGTAGCATATTCGGGGAGAAATAGCATTAATTCCAACACGTTGAGCCAGCTTCTTATTGATGATGACCCAGATTCATAGGTATGCAGATGACCATGACAGCTGTAATAGATAGCCTGATTTTTATTGTTAAATGTTCCTTGGCCTGTCCACCTTATTTCTTGGATTGCAGCTATGTCTATTTTATATCTTTCCAATTGTGTTAGGGGCTGCTCTAGAGCTCCCGGTCGGTATAGTGATAGAGTGTTTCATGTTCCAAGTTTAAAATCCATTAGACAGGTGCCATGTCATTGCCTTAGGTTCTTGTTAGGGTCTTGTCTCTGTATGGGCTTCACAATAATTAAATTTAAGGGGAGGGTATTATCAGCCCAAACACTGCAGTCAGGTGAAGGGGCTGCCTCCTTAGAGCATCACACACTCCACTCCCCCGTCTGGGGCGGCTACCTAGAGAATGTGACCCTAAGGTGTGTACTGTTAATGACCTTTGAATATTAATGTGTGGTATATGTAGTGTGCTGTATATTGTGTACTGTCTGAGTGTCAGAGTTATTGTTCCCCCTACCTGGAAGACCAGTGGCTGATTGCAGTCACGTGACTGGGCGATGGGGTTGCCACTTCCATACGCCAGGGTTATTTGAGAGGTACAAATACACATTCTAAATTATATAGTTAAGAAATTTTAATTATCCAGGGTTACATCCAGCATACATTACATGCATCAACTGCAAAAGACTCCCTGAATTCCATCAATGAATTTAGTAAAGGTCTGAAGGATTTCTGATAAATAAAAAAAATCAGTAGCATAGATACTATCCTTTCAAAAGCAGATCAAGACAAGTGAGGGTCTTAACTATATCGGATATTATTTTTTACCATTTATATTGTCTATAAATCATTTTTTTTTTTATCTAATCTAAAATTTTTTTTATCTAAAGAATGTAAAAAAAAATGTTGGTATATGTATACACACACTTAACAACCATAAAGATACACCCACAAATTAGTACAATTATTTTAGGATTTATTGTTTTTTGCAGATTACTGGGAAGATGTCTGGTTCTGGAATTGTTCAAAGCTCTCTTGTCCATTTAAAATACTGTATAACGTTGAATCTTGGGCATTGTCTCGCCCAGCAAAAAAAGATGGAGAAAGCTTTAAAGTTTTATATAAAGGTATGTGTATTCTAAAGATTTGTCTCTTTTAAATTTCCTGGGAAGTATATATATTTTTTGTTTCTAGTTGATTTAATTATTAAAAGATGGTTGATATACCATATTTAGAATTTATTTATGTAAAAGTGGTACTATCCACTCAATGGATACTTCTATGTTTCATATTTTTATACTTAACAGTTTTTTTCTATATTTAATTTTTTATGGAAGGATTATCATTTTATATTTTCACTAAATTTGAATATTCTTATTTTTTAAATAATACACAGTCTCCTGCTTTCTCTATTACTATCTTATTGTTTTCTTCTTTTTCATTATTTTAAAACATTAAGATGATATTTATTTTCTATTCCATGATCCCTATCATATTATGTTATCCCGAAATGTTTTATGATGTACATCCTTCCTTCCTATTACCATGTGATTAACTTATATCCTGCCATATAAACTCCCAATCCTTTCTTGTACATTTTTATTATTTCCTCCAGTTCTACCTCCATAACTTTTATTATTTAATATCCCTCTCAGAAACCTGTGTTATGCCAATTATTTCTTCCTCTTCCACAACTATCCCGGGAGAAATCTAGACTCTTTATCATCCGAAACAATTAACTCTATATTCAACTCATTATCATATCTATTAAAGAATAGAATCCCAAAAGTGTTGCAGAGAGAATAGAAATATTCTCCCTGCAACACTTTTGGAGACAGCCCTGCTGAAGGCCTGAACTTCAGGTCGAAACGTCGGCATATGTAAAAATAAATATTATCATTTATTTTTGCCTTCTTTTCTGACTGACCACCCCAACTATTCTTCTCTTCATTATCCATGACAGTCAACCATTTACCAATTACATATCTATTAAACATTTCTATTCCTCTCGTTCTATTGACGAGATGGTGGAATGCTTCTCTTCTAACCTTTTTACTTTCCTAATTCAACTTGGGCTTCTCCAAACCTCTGATGGAGACTACAACGGCATATTGTATTATAAACAACCATAATTAACATTCTTATCTAAACTCTTTCTCGGCTATAGTTGTACTGTTTTTTGTTGTTTTTTTTTCCTTCTGTGAATGCAGTGGAAATTTTATTTTATTTTGTTGAAATTGAGGAATGAATTTGTTTGACTTCATTCTTTGATTAGTAGACATACTTTAGCTTTTCATTGTTAAAATTTAATCGATGTTGATTTAAAGTTTGGTGAAATTTCTTCTTATTAAAGTTGGTCATATGAAATTCAAAATTGGCTAAATAAATAAGGTATATCAAGCCCCTTTTATATTAAGTAGTAATTAATTTATATATTATTAATATATGCTACAAAAAAGATTCAGAATAATTACTCTTCCAACTCAGTAACGTACTATTTAGGAATTACATTAATAAATATTTATTGATTGTTTGTACCTGATTCTCTCACAATTTTAATTTTTTTTCATTTATATTTGCTAATAGTTTATAAATTTTGTTTATAAAATATATTTTATTTTTATTTGTGTTTCTTAGCATTATTTAAAAAAAAGTAATTTTTTTTAGGCCACGAAACTGGACAATAGTGATCTTAATTTATGGTATCGAATGGGAAAACTAGCAATGTCAATTCCTGACTTACATTTGGCTGTGTCATCATTTGAAGAGGTATCATATTTTTAAGTATATATATATTTATACAATTTAGTTAAAAATTGTAATGATTTTTGGTTCTTTTAGGGTTTAAAATGTAGTCCTAAACATTGGCCTTGTATAGATAATCTTGTGACTATTACTTTTGCTCTTGGTGATTATATGGCGTGCCTTTATTATATATCAAAAGGTTTAAATATGGATGTTGGTTTTTTAAAAGGCCATTTTTTCAAGGAGAAAATATTTAATTTATTTCCTAGTTTGATTAAGGGATTCAGCATGTATTATCCAAATTGGTAAGTAGTTTTTTATATATTTATTAACAATAATTATCCAATTCCTAATTTCATATATATTTTCTTATAAGATATATTATCAGAATAGTCTCTTCATTCTTATTGGTCTAATTATTTTCCAGTTTCTTTCTTACCAATGTCATCTCTACCATATATTTATAAGCGCGACTCAGTATAAACCAGAATACAATATAATAGTTTTGCCATTCTTGTATACCTAGATTATAGCAGCTTATTACGCGAGACATAGAATTTGTTGAACAAGAGGTTTTACTTGATGTTATTATAAAATATAACATAAAATCATTATGTAACCTTTTAGAAAATTAAATTAGTGAATAATTTGATAAATTTTCCCTCTGCGATATTCCAACAGAAACCACTTACAATTAGTGTGATAACTTTTGACCTGTCTATGACAGACAATGCAAATATCTTAATTCCATTTTAATAAACAGTTTAATAACTAATAGTCGTACAACCCATTATCAACGGATCGAGCAATCCATAATCAACGAATCGTACAATCAATAATCAACCGGTGATGTAATAAATTGGACTTTTGTTATGTTAATAGTATTTATGATTTGTTAGGTGCAATCTTTTAGCTTCAGCTCAGCTAAGAATGCAATTCCAAAATTTTGTAATAGCCCAACATGGCCAGAAAATAATTTCTATTCAAAGTTGAGCGGTAAGTGAAAGTTGTTTGTTGCGCGCACCAGATTTTATTGATATTATCTTGGTTGATTCACTAATGAAAATTAGCATTAGGTAGTATCTCAATAATGATGTACATAATGGGTTTCAGCTACTGGAATCTCAAATGACCCTTTCTCCAGTACCTGACAGTCCTGTTAATTATTGCACAACTTCTTTAAGAACATTATTTCTTCTATTTAACTGTTTTATTTCTTTATATAGGTTTACCACTGAATACTATTTTCAATGTAGATTATATATTCCAATAGCTGACAGGGGGTGTCAAGTACTGGAACAAGATATGTCAGCTATTGGAACAACATTTGATTTCTGCTTGTTGTTTCTTCCAGCTTATTTTCTAAGGCTGAGATATAAAAAAAAAAAAATTAAATATGCTCAGGAAGACTTGGAAAAAGCTCTTCACGATGTTTGTAAGGAAATGTCCATATTGGCTGCCTCACTTATAAATGAAATCACGCATATAACACTCTCTTATAAAGTCATAGGAAAATACACAATTCAGTGTAAAAAGGGACCATCCATTATTTTATCTAGTGAATAAGAAAATGTATTAGTTATTTGTATTAAATACATGGAAAAATAGATTTTCCTGTTTCTAAAAATCAGGTTATTGACAGTGAAAAATTTATATTGGGAAAATCCCTTCAAAGACTCCTGGTCTGGTCGTAAATGATTTAATCTTTTTATTAAACAGAACTAGAGGTTATGCTATAGGACACCTAAAAACCTTGCCGAGCCTCTGTGACTCTGAAAAATTGGAAAATATGTATTCGAATGTCCAGTCGCACTTTAAAGAAAGAATCCTTTTACATTTCCTGGATAATGCACGTCGTGTGTTTAAAGCTGATAAAAGTGCATTTTTTCTTAATCCCAAGGAAACAAAGTTTTAGCTGAAAAAGTAAATAAGAATGTAACACAGACGAAAAGAAATGCCTGAGTGTTTTTTTGTCAGCTAGTGCTTCACTTGTATTTTCCCTACTTTCTATTGTCTTCAAATATGAAATGATACCTTCAGATATTGCATTCAGCACCCCTGAAACATCGGGTGGTTTATAGCCCTGAAGTATGAGGCGATTTGTTTTTTAATTAAGTTAGATAATAGCCTAATTTTGATCAAAGAACAGAATCTTAGTTTTATCATAAGTTTAAGATTAATTGTGTTTGGCATCTATTATAAAATAAATAAGAAAATAATGTTTTAACAAATTATTTTGTGTGATTACTTTGTTACCTACATCTCGGTCAATTATAGGAACATCCCTACTCCAAGAGTATCAGCTATAGTTGCAACGAAAATTTTTTATCAATTCCCATTTTTTTTTTTTTACTTTAGATGACCGTTTCTTACATTTTAATAGCTAGTTTACAAGCTGAGGAGTACTTCTATTAGAAAAATCCAAGAATATCATAATTACAATATTATCATAATTCAAATTGTACTAACTTAAAAATTCAAAGGAATTTCTTTCCTTAAGCATATCAGATACTTTTTTAACTAGCTACAGCTTTTACCCTAAATAGGAATCCAGGTTTTGCCTCACAGTTTCTCGATATTATTTTTCCAATTAGCCCCGTAATCGTTCTATGTGTTGGGTATGGATCCCACTTGAAGGATCAAGAAAGTTATACTGGTGATTCACCTTAAAATGGTTGTAGTTTGCTTCATTTAGTTGTTGGATCTTTTCCAAAAATCAGAACATATAGTGGTTCTCTCTTCTATATCATTTTTATTACATTCTAATAGAGTTGTTGCTTTTCTCTCTTTTATTTTTACTATGAAACACTAGTCTGTTTCCCTATTTCATGAAATTCTTCACACAATTTCACCTTTGGAACTATCCCATCTGAAAGTATTTGATAGCTTATTCTTCCGAAGACGGCAATTCTCAAAGTGTTATTATATCCATTTTAAACTGAAAATAACAAAATTAACAACAACAAAACAACTTGAAAACAATTGAGTAACATACAAGTAACGGAAAGATAACAATAGGTTACACAAGATAAGAGGGGAGATTCTGTGGTGACCGGTTACATCACAAGTACCAATATCTGTTTCAGGCTCTGGTTCATATTAATTTGTTAATGGGTAATTTTGGCTATTTGCCGACTAAAGCTGTAATATGTCACTATGTATTCCAATGGTAATATCTTTAGAGATTACCAAGCTAAGTATTATCTTTTCCATTTGCTGGTGAGAAATACAAATCCCCATTCTAGATTATTGGACTGCAGCTGTTAGTAAGATGCAGAAGCTGATATTTTTCCACTAAATAGTGGAACAATGCCAGCAGAAGACATTGGTTAGTGCTTAGCACCATGTCAGCAATAGCAATGATTAATATAAGCTTTCGCATCATAACCAATGTCAGTCCAAATCTCGATGAGTATATTAATACGGCACTGTAAGGCCACTGACAATAAAAATTATGACCATGGAATAAGTCTCTGTATGTAGAAGATTACTAGTGTATAAGTATATCATGTACAAGTTTTACCAATCTCTTTTGCAGAAAAGATTCTTAACATATCAGACCAACTTGGAAACTAGTAGAGATCAGAGATGAGAAAATTTATATTCAAAAATACAAATACGAATACCATTTATATTTATGGCACTTATGAATATATTTGATTTATATTCATAAAAAGAAATATGAATTCAGATTATACATATTCACCATTGTAAAAGTGAATATGACTGTATTTACCCTTGTAAAAGTAAATATGGCTGTATTCATGTTTATTAAAATGAATATACTTAAATATACAGAAGTAAATGGAAATATTTTCACACAACCTTATGAATAAATACTCCTATTTATTAAATAAATATTAATTTTTAGTCATATCCAATTTCACTCTCCTAGGATGTATAGTTTGTTGTTTTCCGAAATAAAACAAAAAAGTAGTCAAAAATTAAAATAAAGTTCTGGACAGTAAGGGGTTTATTGAATTGTATCAATCTCTTAAAAAATATTGGAATTATGTGTTTGGAATGGAAGTTGGTGTTTGCTAACTCGAAATGATGTATACATAAATGTTTAATTTTGCTAAGTATTCAATTATAGTTGTGAATATTTTAAAATCTCAGGAGGTTTCTAGACATAGCTGCAGACTTTGGGGGAGGCGAGAGGGATCGCCTCTCTCCCTCCCCCCAATAAAAATTCAGAGAGGGCCAGAATATCGTTTTGCACCTCTCCCCATAATATTTTGATGAACAAAAATAAAATCAAAATCAATAGCAGTTAATCTACACTAATGAATAAATTATGTAAACTAAAGTCAATTAAGAAAATGGGAAAATTCGACTAGCTAAGGCCATGATTAGCTCAGAAAAATAGGCTGTCCATAACCTCAGGAAAACTGGCCTTCCGAAATTTATATCCCCTCAGAGGAAGGGTGGCCGGGCTATAACCCCCGGAACTAGAGACCTGTTTCCTGTTTGTCCACAGGTCCTTATTCATTATATTCAGACCTACCCTCCTAGGAGGGACCCCTCAATCCGCAAACCAGAGGCAGATAAATTGCTAATGGCAATAAAGATAAATTTAATGGAAGGTGAGGGCATGTACACCTGTCAGAACAATAACCTGGAAATTTCAGGGTGGAACACGTGTACATGGCAGCCTTAGGGTGAAGCAAGGGTTTTATTTTGCAACGTTGTTTTATTTATAAAATACCAAACTATACATCCAAAGAGAGTGAAATTGGGCCTGACTGAAAATTTATCTTATTTATTAAATAAGAGTTATTTATCTTATTAATTAAATATTCATAAGGTTGTGTGAAAATATTTCCATTCACTTCTGTAAATTTAAATTATTCATTTTAATAAACATGAATACATCTGTATTCACTTTCACGAATGTAAATACAGCCATATTCACTTTTACAATGTTTAATACGGCCGTATTTATATTTACAGCTGTGGATACATATCATCTGTATTCATATTTCTTTTTATAAATATAAATATGACCATCTCTGGTTGAGAATAGGGAAGAGTTCCAATCATTAGTAAGCATTCTAAATGCGTGGTGGGACGAAAATATTTGTTTTGAGCTTAGGGTCAAAATAAATGTTTGCATATTACTCATAGGAAATAATTTTATTTTTATAATTTAATAACCTAAAACCTGTGCCATGTTATAATTAATTTTTGCCCTAACATCTTTTTTATAGCCATTTCCCTCAGAAACCTGATTCAATCAACCTTGATTCAGACAAAGCAAACAATTTATTTAAACAAGCAGAACTTTTAAGAGATAAGGAAAGTGAAAAATGGCAAACAAAAGATATTGAATCTAAGGATATTTTGAGACCTGTATTTAAAGTAAAATCAGATAGTTGGATTGATGTTTCCAAGTTACTATTGTATCTGTATGATATCACTGATCAAAACACACCTCAAAAGGTATTTTTCATTTATTTATTTGTTGTTTTCTATTTTAATTTATGCAATTCAACCATTTTATAATCATCAGATTCTACAATACTTTTAATGTGACCAAATATCCCACTTTAGTTAATTTGCATAGGACACTTAAACATTCTGCTTTGTATGGTGCATTGGAACTCCAAATCCCTAGATTCCTAGATTCATAGTTAGAAATAACAGATTTATACTTACAACTAATTCTTGTGAGTTGAATCTCCAAAATAAGTTTTTAAGTGATTATTATGATATCCTCCACCAACTTTGACATACAGATGAAATATCCATTTATAAAAGTGAAAAAAGAAATATGAGAAGGAGTTGATCCGGTCAAATGAGTGCGGTCAAATTAATACTAAATTAAACAAGTAGAATTATTTAATTTTTGCCGACATTTCAACCCTCTTTGCATGTCTTCATCAGGGCGTAGGATGTAGTGGGCAGGGTGATCGAAAGGGCTAACGCGTTGTGCACAGCACCACCGTTGCCCGGCAACCTGATATATGATCATTGATACAAAAATAGTCATGAGTTCGCGTCCCGGTGCCAAAGCGTCTTTTAAATCCACCCCCTGGCCCGGGAAAACCCCGTATAGGCTTAACTTAACGGCGAGGAAGACATTTTTTGGGGCGGGATGGCCGAATGGGCTAAAGCTTGTGCACAAGCACCGCGAGTTGCCCGGAAACCAGATTATATGAAGTTTTAAGAGACAAAAATAAGTACGAGTTCGCGTCCCGGTGCCGGAGGGGATTTTAAATTCCCCGCCCTCAACCTCCGGCCCGGGGAAATCCCATATAGCCTAAATGGCGAGGTAGGGAAGAACAAAAAAAAAAAATGCGTAGGATGTAGTACTACGGGAGGCAGTTGAAACACTGAGTGTGTTTCAACTGCCTCCCGCCGTATTACATCCTACGCCCTGATGAAGACCTGCAAAGTGGGTCGAAACATCAGCAAAAATTAAATAATTCTACTTGTTTAATTTAGTTTAAATTTGACCGCACTCCCCGATCAACTCCTTCTCATATTACATCAACGGTCAACCATCTCTACATCATTATGAAAAAAGAAATAGTGATGTATGTAAAAGATATTGTACAGGGTTGTGTGGAGTGACCATATTAATAAATATTTGTAATGGTTTTGTAGATTGCTTTTAGTCCCTTTAAGTTCACTCCTGTTGGTGACAATGGAGAAACACCAATGGAGATTGATGATGTTGAAAGTGATGATGATATTGAAGAAATTGATGAAAAAGTTCAGCAACCACCAGAAGTTGATGAAGAAGAACCAGGTATGAGTTTATCATTATTTAAAGTATAAATTTATATAAAAGTATTGAAAGTGATGTATACAGTCTAAATTTTATCATAATAATAATATTTGATCCTGTTCAGTTCTAGTAATATAATTTTTTTTTTTTTTTTTTTGTTTATTTAATGAAATTTACAACTGTATACAAATACAACAAGTAAATATGCGCAAATATAAATAATGGCATGTACAGGCTTGAAGAGTTACTACCCAGTGGTAGCACTCTCTAAATAATTTTAAGTAAGAAGATCACGAGGCCATCTCCTTTTCAGACGCCTAGGAGGATTATCAGGAATCGAGAAAGAAGCAAGAGTGGAAACAAGTGGATTTGGATGGGACTGAAGTTTATCATGAAAGGATAGATATCTGGCTCGAGCTAAATCAGCGACATATGGTACATTAAGGTCTTTATGAATGGTTTTATTTGTGACAAAGTATGGAGCATTAAGGATTTTACGGAGGATTTTGGATTGTAAGGATTGGATACGATAGGAATTCGATGGTTTGGTGGAGCCCAAAGCTCAACTCCGTATGTCCATATAGGTCTTATTATAGTTATGTAGATAAGTCTTTTGTAATTAATAGAAAGTTTGGAGCGTTTGTCTAGTAAGTGTTGGAGCAGTCGGAAACGTCGAGCAGTTTCTTGTCGTTTCAGTCTAGTATGAGGATTCCAAGTAAGACGTTTATCCAAATGGAGTCCTAAGTAGCGGATTTGCTCAACAGGAATAAGTGGAGTATTATTGAAAGTGACTGTAGGACAAGACGTCATAGGTTTACGACGGAGGGTAAAGGTGATTTGATGGAATTTGTTGGAATTTATTTTTATTCTCCAATTTTTACACCATTCTTCAAGGCTTGTGATATGTGATTGAAGAGTTTGGGATGCAATTAAAGGATCGTTATTAACAGATAGCAAACATGTGTCATCGGCGTAAGTGGTGATGACAGTGTCAGGATGGGTTGGGATGTCAGCTGTATAAACTGTGTAGAGGATGGGACCGAGGATACTACCTTGTGGAACGCCTGCAGATTGAGCAAAGAGGGATGAGAAGACATTATTTTGGTTTACTTTGAAGTATCTATCAGTAAGATAGGAGCGGATAATGAGGAAGTATGTAGGGGGTAGGACTTTTCGGAGTTTGTACAGAAGACCCGGGTGCCAGACTCGATCAAACGCCTGTTCAACGTCGAGAAAGACTCCCGTGCAGCACATACCGCGCTCCAATGCAGAGGAGACTACATCAACCACGCAGTGACATTGTTGGATAGTGGAATGAGATGTGCGGAATCCAAATTGGTGATCAGGGATAATATGATTAGAGTCTAGGATGGGATACAGGCGTTTTAGGATGAGTTTTTCAGGATTTTGCCCATGATAGGTAACAGAGAAATAGGACGGAATGAGGATGGGCGTTCGGTTGGTTTTTTAGGTTTGTGTAACATTTTGACAATAGATATTTTCCAAGAATCAGGGAAATATGTGGATCGGAGCACAGCATTGTATAGTAATATAATTTGATACTGAACTTTTCATTTTTGTAAATAATGTTTTCAATTATCAAGCCTCCTTGAGTAACATCATTATTTATTGTAATACTATTCTCACTTGGTTAGATTAGGCATGGAAAGGTTATCATTTTCAAATTACAACACCGATAAAGGTGCATCTTTTTTATTTAATCATAATATGTTGATATATACTTACAAATACACACACAAAAAAAAAAATTAAATTGTAAAATTAATATTATTAAAAGAAACTTTATTTCAAATTATTTGAAAATAATCGTTGTTTTATTTTATTTTTTAAAGGTAAGTCTGGAAGATCTAATGGAAATTTAATAGAAAAATTAGCATCCAGCCAAAAACGAAGATCTGCTCGTGTTAGGAGTACAGTAAGGAGAGAAGAGCCTAGCCTGGCTGAAGCTTTCAGGAAACTTATCCCTAGTCATCTATTGTTAGTATATTTTGAAAAACTATTGTTCCCTTAACAATTTTTTTTTTCTTTTCGGACTTGGTAAATCCTTAAAGCCATATAAATGATAAAGTTTTTAATTTAATTTAATGTTAAGGTTCTGATTCTACTTTAATGATATAGAGTGAGGGGGGCCCATCCCCTCAAGGTCGATGGCGCAAGAACCTACCCTCCCCCCTTCCTCCCGAGATATTTTATTGCTTATGTTTCCTTAAAAACAATAGAATTAGAAAAATCATTAGAAAAATTGCTAAGGTAGAATTAGAAAAATCGTAGATCATATATAATTACAGTATGTTCCATGCTTTCCCCCTTGTTCCTTTGTCCGAAAATTCATAATCCCGTCGAAATTTGCCCTCCTCAAAAATTCAAAAACCCATCAAAATATGCTCCTCTAAAAATTTTTATTGTGTAACTTGTGCCATGAAATCCCCTTCTGGGCACCCCTGTGTAGGCTGAATCTGAAGCTTTTCTCTCTTAATGAATACCTGAGAGTATAAGCAGTTTTCTAGGAAATAATGGGGAGATGGATATAGTTTTTTGTTCCTATCAATTTTTTTGTGTTTAAACAGTCTAGCATCTGAGGCTATCTATTTATTTCTTTTAATAGCAATACAGGTTTTTTGTTGATTCATTAATTATTAGCCTATGTTAATGGTATAAGGCATAAGTTCTTAGTGTAGATTCTGCAAAATAGTTTTGACATTCATTTTTACAAATTTAACTTAATTAAAGAGGTTTATTTATTAACTTAACTCAAGGGGGATAGCTCAGAGGGTAAGGCCTTGACTTCTGAATCTGGCTTATGGCACGTAATTATTTTTACTGTTTTATCATCTGTGGATCGACCCTGGAGTCAGTACACCCTCCTGGGGCACATTAGCTTCTAATTAACTAAGGAGATAACCTGTCGACCAGCACCTCCCTGCATAACCGTTAGCCTTGAATCTGTACTTCCTTACAAAGTATTGAATCCAAGACCCTTCTTTTGTTGTAGTGGTACACATGTTTTATTTTTTTAAACAAAGTCTATAAAAATAAAATTTAAAAATCTTGCAAACAGATGGAATTTTTAAATAAATTTGAATTTATTATAATTAGTTTGTTATCATTTTTAGAAATCTTCACTAAGTTGGTACCTAAAATAGTAAAAACTTTTAAATGAGAAATTTTAGATAGACTTCCTATAGGTAAAAAATTGTTATTTATAATGACTATTCCTTTATTTTTCATTTGTCTGGTCATATGGTACTAAATACTTCTCAATTTCCCCAATAAGTTGTTTGATATATGACACAATCCACCTATGACACAATCCGAGATTGTAACAGTTTCCAACCAAAAAGCCTGTCCTGGCTTTGATTCAGTGAAGTGATGTGTGAGTTGCTGCTTTTGTTTGCATGAGGCTATTCTTCCATCAACATTAGGTCTAAGTAAGGCTCAGGCTCATTGCGGACGTTTGTCTCCCTGACCTTACAGGATATTATCCTGTAGTACCCTAATCTGTTACACTGTTGCCTTGGGTAAGTAGAACTGTTTCTCAGATAGTGCGGCTATCTAAAGTAGGTAACCCTGTGGTGTCAGTATACTTTAGTCTGTCTAGTACTTCAGTCTGTGCCAGAAACTGCCCGTCTGTACTTCCGTAACTATGAGGAAGGTAGCTGACTGGTCAAGTGGAATAGGTACTCCCACAAATCAGCCATATTACTAATTGTTTACCTTTTTTAGAGATTAAATGTATCATTCGATGTTGTAATGTTAGGTTAAGGACTTAATACATTTAGTTGACTAATGTAAACTTTTTTTTCTATATTTCAGGCCTGCAGATACTAAACGAGAAGGAGAATGTCTCTCAGATGAATTGGATACAATGGACTTATACAAACTGTTAGAATTAAAGGAAAGTAGTGAAACAAATAAAGTTGAAAAGTCAAATGAGAAAGAAAGGACTGAGTGAGTTATATTCATTTTCTTTGAAATTACTTTCAAGCACAAATTCTGATTGGTCATGTGTTTAAAAATTTAAGAACTTTTTTTAAGTTTGAAAGATTATTTAAAATTATTGGTTTATATAAAACACAATTGAGATACTAATGTTTTTGTTATACTGTTTGTGTTTGTTTTGTTTTTTAAATAATATTTTTGCATTAAAATATTTTAGGCGTTTGTTGGAAGAGGGTTATTTTGGAACAGAAAATGAAAAAACGGATGTAGCTTTATTTATTGAAGAAATCGAAAAATCTGAAAAAAATATAGTAGATACAATGTACTTGTTACTAATCAGATTATCCGAGAAGTGGAAGCTTCATTGGCCACAACTTTTAGGAAATTATTTTGTACAAATAAACTTAATTGTTCAGTAAGTTTGAGAAAGATTAAATCATTCTAATGATAGCAAAGTTTCATTTTTAATTACTTTATTTCTCCCTTAATTTATTTTAGACACTATTTTCCTGTTGCCATTCAGCCAAAGGAGGTGCCTTTAAATTTTTATGAAGATGTTAATATATTGTTATTCGGTGAGCTATTACTGCAAGAATGGATTAGTAAAGGAAAACGAAAAGGTCTACCCAGTCCTTTAGGTTTTAAGTAAGTACTAAGCTTTCTAAATTTATTTTTGAGTGATTTCCTTACTATTATCATATTCCTTAATCTCAATGTGAATATTTGGGGTAGGTAGATTGAAGATTTAAAGAACACTTGATATAATATAGATCAGAGGACAGAGAACTTGATGGCGTGCATGTTGAGATATGGGTTCATTTCCCATCTGGGTCCATTAATATTTATTTCTTGGCATCCCCAAGAAATGAATCTTAACACTCCCACGCCGGTAAGGATATGGCTGCAATCATAAGGTAACCACAAGGGCTACTTGTCAGACTGGTTCCCATACCAGTAAGATTAACAATAATAGGTCAGAGGTGGGGAACTTTTCTATCATAAGAAGCAACCTTTAAGTCAAGCTGTAATCAAAAAAGGTTGCTATAATTTTTAAAGTTATTCTTATTTGTTCAAGCATTCTATTAGTTTTCAAATTGTTCTAATATGTTTATAACTAAAATTGATTAATACAATGTTAGGTTATAATTTTGAAAAATCTAACCATACAGCCTATCGGTCTCTAAAATGTAGGGAAAGATAAAATAACCCACTAATGTTTTGCCAATTCAGGCATCAAGAATAGAAAAAAAAATCCAAGATCATATTACTCCATAACATCCAAACACATCACTATAAAATAAAATACTAATATAATAATAAATAAATAATAAATAGAATAAAAACTGTTCATTATGATAATAAGGCGAGGTAACACAGCTGAGTTTATAATCAAGCAGTTGATCACCAAAAAAGGAACAGATGTAAAAATGTCTTACGGCCAACAAAAATGAAAATAATAAAAAGAAAATACAAATAATAAGTACAAAAGAAATTTTAAAAAAATTGAAATTGCTCATCAAAGAAAAGTTATCATAAATAATTGCTTATTACACTGATAAAGTTAAAAAAGCAAATTAGATAGATTAATGGGACTTATCCAAGATGTTTAACATTTTAGAATAAAAATTATTCAAATTCCTGCCAGTCCTATTAATTAAAAGGATTATATAACTTCTGTGCAATAGTCTCAAATATCTTTCTTTTAAAGCTATTTTTCTCTTTATGGAACAGTTAAACATAATCAAAAGCAAATTCATGTTCAAATATGTACTAAGGTAAAATGGTATTAGGCTCTCTAATCTAATCTTGCCTTCCTTTAATATTAACAGTAAATCACCCACATATTTCATAAGTAACCTAGGTTTTATGTTAGTTGTATTTATCATATCTTTTAGCAACCTATTCATCACTACTCCACCTAAAGCAACAGACAAAACTCAACCCAGTGGCATGCCCGTAATTATTGTCGGTAAAATTTGTTATTCAATTTGAAGCCTTTTCCTTATTATTTACGCCTGTATATGGCCGAACTTGTTCCCATTCATCAGAAATAATCACTAGCACAAGTGCCAACTTTACTAAAGTAAACAAAGGAACCACATCAAAAATTTATCATTACCACCAATACTTTTCTATTCCTCAAAAGTATATTTAATCACAATAACATTTTTTATACCATCTGGGTTGTTAGGTTAGTATTAATTAATATAAGAACTATATACATGTAGGCTGCATAAAAACCTCACAGATGCCGCATGATTCTCATTCTGCATTAAACTGTTCATTATGTTGTTTGTATTTCATGTTTATAATAGATTAATGCAATCATTTCTTGTGTAATAAATAATACTTATCATTATATTTATCTTTATTTCAGTTCATATGTGGGTGACTTTTCCCCTTTGAATTTAGGAAAATTGAATCATCAAGCAGCATTAACAGATGATATAGATTTTATTGCAAGGTCTTATTGGTTGGAAGTTTTGCTTTTTCTACATTGCGAAGATAGAGAAGCTTCTGTCAGAGCTTTACAACAGGTGTTTGTTATTTTATTAAATAAATTGATAATTTGTAAAAAATAGTTGTATGAATGGTTAGACATATGTAACCAAATTACAGAAATTATTTAAGCTATCTTGAATATATTTGTTATTAGATCTTATTCTTCCATATACAAACTCACTTGCACACATGCAGATATACATATACACAGACACACTTATGTTAACGGTGAATGAGTAACATGGCATTCTGGTATCATAGGTACCAAAAAAACTGACGAATTAGCCAGTCTTTGAATACATTCCCATCACTCTTGAACTAGTTAGTGGTATAAATTTCAGATATACTGAAAGTTGAATCAGTTAAATCTGGTATGATCTTGTAGCCAAACAATACTGGCATGGTTAGGAACAGCTCCACTCAATGTTGTTTCTTGTGATCCCTGTTAAAGAAGAAACACAGCTCTCTGCAATCTAAACTGTCATTGGTTTCAGTAAACTTAGTCTGACAGAGCTCCCTTTATGCAGGTTCTGTCACAGAGAGGATGAAACTACCTATCATATTATCTCTTGGTGAGATAGGTTCGCCAGACTTAGGTTAAAGTTGTTTCGAATGAATCATTTAGTGAAATCTAAGGATTGAGGGCATATTCTGGCCCCTTAAAGTTAGCTGATGGTAATTTATGATGAAATGTGTGGTATGCAATAATACTGATAATGACACAGGTGAAAAAAAAAAAAATTGGTCTAGAAACAGTATTTCTTTTCAAGTATTCAACTCAAAAACCTTCTCCATATGTTATTGTGGTAGTGTTTTTCTTAGTTTAATAGAATTTTAGAAATGATTTTAGCTGTCTTGAAATCTCTTTCTCAAATCTTTCAGCTCCTCAAAAAGCTGGATATAAACCAGTATTTTTCAGTATTTATAAAACAGTAACCAGTTTTTCATGTGGAAGTGATATTGCCTTTTATTTTCTAGTTTTCGAATCCTTTTTTTGCAGTTTTTCCTCAGTTTTCACTATTGTTTTGGCCCAATATAAGTGAGATTCTTCCCATATTCACTTATTGAAGATTTCCTTAAATGTCACTATAGTATTGAAAGTATGGTAATAAAAGTAGGAAATTAAAATTTTAATTCATTAATTTATTTTATTTAAATTTTAATTTATTTATGAGTTGTTTAATATGACCTATTTGATGAATACTATACTATGATATATATATATATATATATATAAAATGTAACGTTCCCTTTGTCAACCAAAACAAACAACGAGTTTACTTTTTGAATATATTATTTATTTTAACACATAACATTAATCTCAAGTTGGGTTCTGACAACTGAACACTCATTCACATTTAATAAATACAATGTACACTAATTACTAAATACATATAAAGAAACGAGATACATACATTAAGAAATTATACATTCAAAAACCTTAATTGTCCCAGTCTAAACTTTGTGGCTCTTTCTATTTTCTCAACTTGCTGGCTAGTACCTTCTCTCTTGACAGCTTGTCACATTTTCTCTTGGCCGCTATCACCTTTTCCCTTGGCGGCCCGTCGCAGTCTGAGTTACATGAGGCTTGCTTCCCCCACTTCCTCCCTGTAGTTCATGGTCTTGCCACTTTCGTGCCACTATTCATATACCATGTAATATTGACATTACAATATATATATTAGAAATAGACCAATATCGAAATTTTGGCTAATACCGATATTTCAAAGGCCACAATATGCCGATAAATCGGCCATATCGGCCTTTTATTCCCCTTTCTGTCAAAGTTTCTATAGTTTTACATGGAATATCCTACTTATTGCTAAATAAAAGAATAAATAAACACTACGCATCGCCATATACATAAATTTTGACCAGTAAAAGAACGATAAACCTATATTTCAGCATATCGGCCATTCATTTCCTTATGCCTAGTTCAGTACAACATTGCATAGAAAATTCTAGTAATTGCTGAATGAAAGTGTCAATCAATCATCAAGATTTTTTACCTGATAACTTCATTTTACCTAGATTGGTACAGTTAGACCATTTTTTTAAATTTATTTATATTATAATTTTTTTTTTATCCTCTCCCCTAAATTTGAGCAGATATCGATATTCTAAATACTGATATATCAGCCTTATGGCATCAATCTATCCTGATTCATTCAGTGTGACTTGGAATAAATATTATTTTTATTCCTAATAAATGTGTCATACGGTCTCCAAGGAATTGACATAAACATAAATTTGAGTGAAGATTGATAAATCGGCCTCACGACTTTATTTTATCGAGATTGGTAGAACTTGACTATTTTTTTTCCTTTACATATTTATTTATTATGAATATATTTTTATTAGACTGATATATTGGCTGTAAGATTTCATTTTATCAAGACTGGAAGAGTTTGATATTTGATACGGTAATTGATTGACGCATTTATTAGCAATAAAAATATTATTTAATTCAATTCAAAGTGAAAGAGACCAATATATCGGTTGAATGACATGACCAGAAAATTTCGAAGAAGTTAAAAAAAAAAAGTGAAAGAAAAACAATAGCCAATCTCTACTTATTTTAATAGAATAAGGCCAATATATTGGTCTTTTAAATATGATGATCTGTTCAAATCAGGATAAGGGGAGGACCAGAAAAAAATTCAGTAATAATTTGTCCAACTCAACCAATCTGAATCAAATAAGATCACAAGGCCAATATATCGGTCTTTGCTCAAAATAATAGTCAAAGTGAAATTTTCTTTAATCTCAATAAAATAAATTTAAGATGCTTCAGTTTTTTTTTAACTACCAGTATATATTTATGGTTTCATTATTGGTAAATGACATTTATTATTTTCAGATAATTGATGATGAGAGATGTGGAAAAATTGAAATCAAAATCCCTAACGTTACTTACAATTCTCTAATTAGTTCAAAAATTGCTACAACTCTTTTAAAAGCCTTAAAACGGTATGCATTTAGTTTTATTCAACTTTCTATAATATAATTCCTATGAATAACTAAGAAATAACCTTCGTTATTGTCTGTTTTTTTAATTACAATTTTTAAACCTTTAAAGCTTTTTCGTAGTGTCAAAGATATGCACATTACATTGTGAAGATTTACATTTTTCACTAGACTGGCTAAAAGTAAAGCCTGGTTCCCCTAGTCGTGATGTCACGCCAGTGGAGCCAAAGCATTGCTGGTTAAAGATTCCTGCTTTTGCCACATCTAGGTCAATCAAAATATTTCTTATTTCAACATTCAATCATTATATCCTTGTTTTTCGCTTATTATTTTCTTTTCCTTATTCTTACAACTTAAAACCAATTTTATATTACTAACAATGTTCTAAATATTCAATAACAGAACTTGTTGAATTTAAAGTCTTTTTCTCTGAAACTAAGTAAAAAATATAATAAAATAATATTTCGGGTTTAGTTACCTGTAACACAGTTTTCAATAATTGCATCACATCAATTATATTTTTAAAAAGTAACATCAAGTTCAATATTTTATGGTTATTTTCATATAAGTGTGTGTAACACTAAATGTTCTTATAAGGTAGCAAATATATTGTTTCACCTTTTTTTGTTGTTTTTTTTATGTCATGGTAACTATTTACATTCTTAACTTTTTATTTTCTCCTCACTTCTTGCCCATAAGTCTAATTTATATGACTTATCCTATACTAGGGCAAAATATATGTCGAGGAAGGGGACAAAGTATCCCTGAAACGTATAAATAAAAATAATAAAGAATAACACTATAAATTAAGAATGTTTGTTTATTAAATTAGATCTATATGCATGAAGTAAGGAGAAAATAATTACTGAAGAAAGGTAAACTAATACTTAACTTTTTTTTGTATTTAATTACTGTATTATGTTTTGATCAAAATGATTACTTTTTCTGTACACTTTTATTGTTTTGGAGACTTAATTCCAGAATAAAGTTGTTTTTTCTACTCAATTCAATTCTATTGTGAGGAAAAATTTCATATTCATAGGGAAAAAATGATCTTTAAGTAAATAATTTTAGCATCAATAAAAAGTGTTTTTTTTTTGTTTTTTTTTAATTTTAGGATGATGTGGCAATGTTATCTCTTTCTAATTTAGAGTTATAGCTTTGTAATATATTTGTGAAAGTTCTAATTATTGTTTTGATTATATCTGGCTCACAATCACATTTCTCATCCTTAACATTGCAATAAGTCACTTAAGCTGAGATAGCGGCTAAAGAAATTTTAATAAATGTCATTCGTTTTTTTTAAATATTTTTTCATGATGCTAATTAATAATAATTTAGAAAAGTTTATTTCTTATTCTTCTTTTCATTTCCCATCCTTAATGTTGCAATAAGTCATTTAAGCTGAGATAGCAGCTTAAGAAATTTTAATAAATGTTATTCGTTTTTTAAAAATGCTTTTTCATGATGCTAACTGATAATATGGGTGACAAATATTCAGGACACAGTCTTTTTTAAAATTTTATTTTTATTTTTTATTTATGCTGACATTTCAACCCAAACATGTGGGTCATCTTCAGGGCATGGTTTGAGCACTGAGGGTGTTCAAGTTTTGAATACTCGAACACCCTCAGTGCTCCAACCACGCTCTGAAGATGACCCACATGTTTGGGTTGAAACGTCAGCATCAATAAAAAATAAAAAAAATTTTTAAAAAGGACTACGTCCTGAATATTTGTCACCCTTGATATGTAGAACAGTCGACTAACTTCCTTCAAGACTAACTGATAATAATTTAGAAAAGTTTATATATGATATCAAGTATGCTTAGTATAAAAACTTAGACTCCATGTATTATAGCATAGCGATGATCTAAGTTTTAGTTGTAGTATGCTTAATTGAAGTATTTCCCACTATTGTGTTGGTGTTCATATTAAATTCTTATGGGTGAGCAAGTCTTTTCTGAAATTTTATGTTTTATTTTAATATTATAACGTGTTAGTGGTTGCTTTTGATGACATTATTTTTCGTGAATCATAGTGTTACTGTTTCTTTTTTAAATTTTAATCCCGCTGTATTAATGCAACCTATTTTTAATATTATCATTTGTTGCCTGAGAGATTGAAGAACTGATTTTATTTCAATATCTAAATGACAGGATGGAATGAAGGGGTAAGCGTACTCAGTTTTTATAACAGCTATTTCAGTGGAGATGTTTAGGCAATTTTATTTTAGCAATTATTAGTTTTCCAATCATTCTTTATTATTATTATGGGTGGGATGGCCAAACGGGTTATGTGTGTGCACAGTACTGCCGTTTCCCAGTAACCTGATATATAAGACAAATTGATAAAAAGTAATCATGAGTTCGTGTCCCGTGCTGGATAAGTCTTTTAAATCCCCGCCGTCACTCCCTGGCCCGGGACAACACTGTATAGCCTTATAGGTGAGGAAGGGGAGGACCTCCCAAAAAAATTCTTTATTATTAAATTGGGAATTGGTTATCTGAGCGGGTCAACGTGTGTCTCAAACACGCTTTGCTCAGCAACCTGACAGACCGGAGTTTAGAATGATTAATAGTTTCAAGTTCGCGTCCTGGTAGCAGAGGGCCTTTTAACTCTGGTATTAATCTCTTGACCTCTCCCGTGGCTGGGGGAAATCCTGTAAAGCCAAAAAGATATAGGAAGGGATAATCATAAAAAAGTCTTTATTATTCGCCCTAAGCAGTTTGTCATTAAATTATTTTTTTTTTTTCATAGGAATAAAAGTTTATCGCAAGTTTTGGATTTGTATAATTCTGGATATTTTATTGAAGTCACTGATATACTTAGTGATTCATTATCAGTGGATCCTGATAACACTGCTACTTGTGACACAATTTCTCGCTCCATGCAGTATGCTATTATCTTGGATTCCTTTTGGAAACTTGCAAAGTTTAAGGTAAGAGTTATCTGGATCGTTGTTTGTTAATCAAATCATTTAAGCAAGTTTTCTTTTAGTGTAAAGACATAAATATATGTATATTTATTTATTTATTTTTTATGAAATCAGTTGAGGATTAAAATATTTGATCCTCCAATATGTGACAGTATTAATAACAGTAAATATCCAATATGTGATATTTATTTATATTATGTTGTGACATAGTGAATAATTTTGAGACTGTCATTGTCAAAGAAAAAATATTTGGGTGTCCATCAGTTGTTTAATACATTATGTTGTTTTATTTGTGCTAATTTTTCTCTCACAATTTAAAGATATTTTTGAGGATTATAAATAAAGATCTGGAATGTAAAAAAAAAATAAATTATAATTTATAATCTGTTGTTATTCCATTTCTAATAATTAAGATATAGCTAAGTGTATACAAGAACATGCTAACACTTATTAAGTGATGCTGCTGTCATCTCCTGGCAGGCTATGGAAGCAAAGTCCAGCTAAGTAGGAGAAAGATAACTCCTTCTATATGGACCGGATATGGAAAAAACTGGAATCATTCATCTCTCCCTGAGAGATGAGCACTAGAAGTATCTAGCCCTTGAAATATGAGGAGTTGTGTTTGGTTTTCTACTGAAAATTACGAGAGAACATGGAACAGAGACCTTAGATTGCCAGCTAGCAAACTGGAGGAGAGGAAGAAATATGAGTCTGGGAGGAAGGAAAAATATGAAGCCACAATGATTGCAAGTAAAATCAGCCATTGACCAGCCTCATTCAAATACAAATGTAATAGTTATATTAAGACCAGTTCAAAATCAATTTAACTAACACATTAACACCATTATAATAAATTTGGCCTCAATAAAACAACCTGCATTATAATTTAATTTAAAATTAGAGCAATCAGTTTAATATATCATATTTTAGCCTGTAATAAATTAAACATGGTCCTTTTTAGTTCTTCTATATTTAATAGATACAGTCAGTCACATACCAAAGAATCAAAGTAATAGCAAAATTATTATGGTGATATCTGCGATATATTAGAAGGGAATAAACTAAACAATTATTCTTAAATTTGATTTTGATGAGCATATAATCCTGATTCCTTCAACACATCAAGTGCTAATATCAAAAATGGATTACATTTAATCCATCACTTCTAGGTAAATTATGTTTGATTTGAGTAATTTCTGTCTTGATGATGCCTGAATTCACTTAACATTGATGGAGGAGTTATTTATCTGTCTTTTAGTTTTGGAATCTCCCAATTATACATAATTAACAATTTTTTATATAAGTTGATCTCATGAAACTGTGTAATTAATTTTATAAAATATTGATTTATTTTAATGAATATATTGTTTGTAGGAATGTCTTTATTGGACTGAATGTTGTTTACATGAATCATTAAATCATTATAGGAATGCTTCTGATGAAGAAGAAAGGCAAGATTATGCTAAACTAATTGTCGATACATTAAAGGGCATTTTAAATTTGATTGAAAATCAAGGTTATGAAATTTGTAAGTTTTATCTATTTGTTTTTATAAATTTTTACCTAACCATGAAAATAAATTACATATTATTAATATTTACAATTTTCCTCATCTTAAATCATAATTTGTTTATTTATAACAAAATCTTGAATGCTATCATTATGAATAATCATTATTCATTTAATCAATTAACTGTGGAAAATAATAAGAGGGCAGAAATAAAACAAAAAAAAAAAACAAGATTATGAGAAATTAAAATTAATAAGGAAAATAATTATTTATTTTTAGTTCTACAAATAGTACAATGCATTACAGTGCACTGCAATTATGCACTATTTCAACTGCCTCCCGCAGTGCTACATCCTACGCTCTGATGAAGACCTGCAAAGTGGGTCGAAACATCGGCAAAAATTAAATAGTTCTACTTGTTTAATTTAGTATTAATTTGACCGCACTCCTCACCAATCAACTCCTCATACAATGCATTACAGTTGTAGACATAATTCATAGATGAATAGATGCCAAAGTTTATATCTGATATTTTAATTTAATATCTAACTACTCTTGGAATTTAAATTACTTAAAATATTATAATAGTTGTTATTGCTTAACTATTTTTTGTGACATAATCATTTATTTACTAGTGAATGATTCTATACTAACGTAGGGAGGTTCTGAATTAAATCATTGTTTTTGGATGGAAATATTAGTCCTCACTTTTGTTCAAATCTCTAAATAAAACTGTTTATATATATAATGTAAATTGATTCTGTATGAATCAATTCAAGCATTATTTATAAACTTAAAAATACATTAAATAACTAACTGTGCAAATTATTTGCTTAAGTATGTGTATAAACATTGATCTCAATAAAAATAAATATCAAATTTTTCCCGGTCTTGACAGCAATAAAAATTAAATATTTAAAAAGCAAGGTAAAAGCCATTTGTTATTTAAAAGACTCAAGAAGGGGAACATTGTTCTGTCAATGGTCAGACCAAAATCTCTTCTATTCTTGATTTTTAATTCAGCCAAGATTTTCTCTTTTAATTTATGATACAGTTCTTTTCTCGCATACATTAGTCAAAAATAATAAATCATTATATTAAGATCTTGTCAGACTTAATTTTTATCAATTAGTTCAATAATTTATTGCCTAATTGAAAATATATAAATCATTATTTATAAATATATTAACGTTCATATATATTTTTGATTCTAGTCCAAACCCTGGTTAGTGATAAGTTGTCAAGATTAGTTCAAACTTTAAGCTCTATCATCAATCATCAAATGGAAGCTCCTGATAATTCTTCTGAAATGCCAATAGAAAGTGTTTCACCTTGGATTATCCTCCATTATATTATTAAGTAGTAAGTTTTGAATGAAAATTTGTCAAATGTTATAATTTTTGTTTTAACTTGGTTAAATTATTTAAACTAATAGTCTTAATCATTTATAAATTCTCCTATTAGTTGGTATTGTTAGAGAAATATTTATATATATAAGATTTAAAAAAAAAAAAAAATGCAGTGTGTCCCACACAATAGAAGTGAAAACATCAACAAGGCGAGATTTATAATATAAAATATAAATTTGTTTTTGTTCTATATTCACAAAGTAATAATGTTAATAATATATACAATTATAGCTGTGTAGAAACTTTTTTTTGTTCTATATTCACTATATAATAACATTTACAGTGATGAACATTTTCCTCACTTAAACTATGCAGGTTGGTGATGACTTCCAGCAAACAAAGTATCATTTAGAGGCTTGACAACAGGTTCCAAAATATCGTCCTGATAGTTTGTACCTGCTGTTTTAACTCCTTTTTCACCAAAATGGAGCTTTATGGTGCCATCAAAGCCAATTCCCCACCAAACCATCACTGAGAAAGGGTGATGACCTCTTTCCACTCTTCCAATGACTTCCTGGGCTTCTTTAGAGCTGTGTGTGTACACACAATCATTTTGTCGATTAGATTTTTCTTCAATTGTAAACATTTTTTCATCCCTAAACAAAATCTTTCAATGAAGACCATTGGTGTAACAGCCAAGGAACACTTTGGATCTGTCCACTCTAATTTTTTTAGGGAAGTGGTTAGCCTTTGTCTAGTCATTCTTCGAAATACATCCATCCTAAGGTCACTTTTTATTATGTGAGTCATTGATCTGACAGAGATTCCTATTGTCTGAGACATGATTTGTTTTTTTCGAATGGGATTTCTTCTGATTTGAGCAGCCACTGTTCTCACTACATTTGCCATTCTCATAGTGTGGGGACGGCCCAGTCGAGGTCTGTCACATACAGATAGGGTCTCATTATATCTATTTATTGTGCGGTATACAAACATACGGCGGATATCCAAAAGTTTCAGTGTTGAAAATCTCTGACCTACATTTTCCAACTTTGTGTAAGGTGATTGCTATTTATATCACCCCACTCCATGTTAACTGAGCAAAAGAAAAGTACAAACTAATTGGGATTATTATCCTGACATGTAAAGAAAATAATAGAGGTAATGATTATCTAAATAATAATTAAACCCAAGGATGTAAACAAAGTTCAACTTTTGTAACAGTATTTATGGCAGAAATAGGTATTAATCTGAATATCGGAGCTGAACTTTTTGAATAATTCTAACTCCATCATTCTGGTTAATATAACTTGCAGTTATAAGGATTTTTTATAATTATTAATTATTTAATTATTATGAAAAGTTAGAAATAAAATCATTACAAAGTTACAAGATAATTTCAGTAATGTTAATATTTTTTTCTCTTGTAGTCATGAAGGGTTGTCAACACAAAACATCAGAATGTTGAAGGAAGATGAAGAAGAAGAGTTGCTAGCTTCTATTCAAATACTTTTTGTTGGGCATGAATATCTAGGGAGGTAAAACATTTTTTTTTAAATTATATTATACGACTGTTCCCTATTGTAACATATCTAGTTTTCATTTTTATTTTGAGATTTTGGATGTTTGGAGATTGTTAAAAAAGAGTTTTATAAAATGTACTTTTTTTTTTATTATTCATAATAAGAACTAGTTATGTTAGAAATAAATATAGTAAGTGGTGAGATAGATTAAATCTTATATTTTGAAAATTTAATGTTGTCTAATTTAGGAAGACTAGGAGTTAGGAAGGATTTTAGAGTTTACTACCTGTTTACTCATCCTTCATACACGAATGATAATGCTGCTTATAGAGTTTTCCAAAATTTATTTTGACTTTCATATGGACCTTTTATCATTTTTATGACCATTCATTTCCTTTTTTATATTTTTTATTTCGTTGAACTGATTTTTTGTAATAAGTACTGACCAATATTTGTCTTAGCATAAGTTGGGTTATCATTTCTACGTTGCTTTTAAAAACAAATTGTTGGATTCCTGAAGCTTGTAGAAATCCTTGTACGAGAAAAGCATCTTAACACACTGAATTCTGCGGAAATTGATGTAAAAATTAAATGAAGTTAATCAAGAAGTGTTAACCACATCTATCTATTCTGATTGTTCTGGGTACTAGAAGTCATTAAAACTTAGTAAAGAAATTCAGATTGATTGCCAAGTCTGTCCAAAAGCAGATGGATGCCACTGATCCCCCACCTATACCTTTCTTTAGATGCCTTTTCACAGGAGTACTAGTTCTGCTCTGAATTTACCAACAATCTTAATTCATCAATAAATTTAATCCTATTAAAGTTTTTTTTAAAAATTCAAAAATTATGAGGGAGAACAACTACTAATTAAACAAAAAAAACATATATTTGCTTGTTTTTTTTGTTGTTATTAATGTTATTAAAGTTATTAATGGACAGTCTCGATGTACTCCCTTTCCGTCCCCTCCATACAAAGTATAGTATTTCGTTTAATTTAAAATCATATTAACAAACAATATAACATTGTTGTTTTTCAAAAATAAATCATATGATTTATTTGTTAAGGATGGTCTATATAAATAATATATTTTCGTATTATTTAGCATTACACACTCCCCAAATGACGCTCCGAAGAATTCGAGATATCGCCTAAAAAATCAGGAACGTCTCATAAATTTGGGACAACTAAATCACCTTTGTTTCAAATTCAAGCAAAACAGACACATTGACAGGGTACTCTGATGCCATTAAAAATAACAAAAAGGTCAACAATTGTTTATGATTTTTTTTGCTAAATATTATATTTTTATTCCTTCTGCCTTTTTACTAAAATATAAAATTTTACATAATTGTAATGCTTATTCGTTTACATCAACAATTAAGAACATTTTAAAAACCAAGAAGTCAAGACATTTTATCAATGTTATAACGATTTTAATAATTTTATCATGACTCTGATCAACATGAGAAGCACTAGTGTTTGTTAGAATTTTATATATATATTTTAAAACTATTAAAAATCCTAGATAACTAACTTTTTTGATGAAGTGAATTTTTGAGTGGTGGAGGGAGTTTTATCTACGACATTTCTCAGAAGGATCTAATGATCCAAATAAATATGCTGCAGAAAATTATATTCTGGAGAACTCTGATGTCATTGATAAAGATGAGGTAAAATATCCATTGAAAAAATTAAAATAGATAAAGCAGCAGGAAGGGACGATATAGCTCCAGAATTGCTGAAATTCGTAGATCTAGAACTTACTAAATTTCTCCAACAATTACTTAAAAAAATATGGGAGTAGTATCATTTAGTATCATTGTCCCTATCAGTAAGAAAGATAGCTCCACTGATTGTGAAAATTACAAATAAGCTTACTTTTGGTGGCTTACAAACTGTAACTATTCACCTCAATCCTGAAAAGGAAACTAAGGACCCTAGTTGAGAATCATATAGAAGAAGAACAAGCAGGCTTTTATCCAAGAAGACAATCTCAAGATCACATCATCATACTGAGAAGCATCACAGGGAAAGCTTGGGACAGGGATAAGAACATGTTCATGGCATTCCTGGATCTTAAAGCAGCGCTCAGTCTCCAGAAAAGAAATATGGAATGCTTTGAAAGCAAAAAATGTTACAGGAAATCTTATCACAGCTATTAAATCGGATTATCAGGAAGCAAAAGGAGTTGTGAGAATCAGTGGAAGGGGGATCAGCCTCAGTTCCCTCTTATTCATCATATTTATGGGTAAAATCCATAAAATTTGTAAGCGCTGTACTGCATGGGCGATCATCGGTAAATGGAATATGAGGAATATAATGGTTTAAAGCCTATTGTTTGCCTATGACATCCTATAAATAGTAGATACGAGAAACAAGCTGCAGCAAGCACTTATGGAATGGCAGAAAGAGCTTGAATGACCATCAACACCTCCTAGAGCAAGATCTTAGTGCTTTAGAGAGGAACAAGTGGATGTCCAGCTGATCTGTAATGGTGAGGTAGGAATTTACCTATTTGGGGACAGTCATTAGCAATATGGGGAAGATTGACCCAGAAGTGGCAAATAGGAGTTCCAAAGCCAACCAGGTTTATTACTACATTTCCAATAAAAAGACATTGGTAAAGAAACTATATGGCATATTTACAAGTCTGTGCACCTACCAACCCTAACTTACAAAAGTAAAAGTTGGTTATGCTGAAAAAGCAGGCTAGCTGGGTGACAGGCGCTGGGTTGAAGTTTCTTCAGAGAGCTGCTGGAAAGAGCAGAAGGTACCAATTCAGGATATGGGAAGAGCTTGAGGTGGTGGAGCTAAAGACGACACTTGAAAATCGACAACTGAAATGGTATAGTCACATTTGTCGGATGGGGATGGAAAGAGAGACTCAGAAAGTGATGGAAGCTCGACAAACTGGGAAGAAACCGCGAGGCCATCCCAGAATTCCTTACCACGAGTATATACAGCAGATAGGAGGGAAGAGTGGAAAAACTCTCCAAGAAATGAGGCAGCTTATTCTGGACCAAGAGGCATGGCTGTATTGGATCGGGACTTCTCGACGCTAGGAATAGCACCAGAGATAGTCCAAGAAGAAAATGATGTGTGTTCGTTAAAGTTTTAGAACTACCTTCTTATTCTTTAAAGGTATCAGTGAGTTCCTTATGGATGGTACTTGCCTGCTTTCAAACAGACTTGGTGATCCAACAGAGATAAGTTTTCATCTAGAAGTCTTGTAGTATCTACTAGAGATAGGTAGAACTTTTTGAGAATAAACTGTAAAATTGCTTTGCCAACAGAGTTAATATTAGATAGCTTACTGCTCAATATTAACTCTAACTGTGTCCAATTTCAAGGTTTGTGTTTAAAGTTAATTTTCATGGGCTTATTATAACATGTAATACTGTATTGTTTAATCCAATTTAATGTAAATAACTAACTTCAACATTAAACAAAATGGAAGTTGCTATGTAATATTTGATAAACTTAATTTACTTATTCCAGCCTTAAAATCGATTTCCTTTTTATTTTCAGGCGTTCTTGGTGTTGTTTTGATGAAGGGGCTCTATTGTTTCACACTCTTGAAACTGTATACCCACTAACACAGACTCTTCCTTTAGAAAGTCAAAATTTAATTAATATCAATCAGCAGATAGACCAGATATTTTATTGTCTTTATGGAATTCAGAAGAAACATAAGGTATCGTCATAGTGTTATCTCATCTCATTTAATCTCTTGACCCATTTAAGTTCAATGTTGAGATAAAAAGGATAAGACCAAGATATTCAAAAACATCTCTGAATATTTTCCAAAATTTTTTCAACTTTCATGAAGCTGCTACAAATCAAAAATAAGAAAATAAAGAATCACAATACAGTTGCACACTTTTACAACTATTTAGTAATAACTAACACTAATTTTTCCCCTCTAAAAAATATTATTTTAATTAGGTAGTATTAGACAGTTTTATATTTGTTTAAATGTTCAAGTTGTATACCATTCCACAATCACAACAACATTTATATAAAAATTGTGTATTGTCATGCAAACTAACACCATCCCATCCGTTACTTTAGTTTTTACTCTTTCTATTTAAAAAAAAATCGATTCGTACATTGTTCATCTTCACGTTTCCATATATAAAATTGTTTACAGGTTGAAATTAGTAAGATTATAAAATGCTGCAGCTTAAAATTATGAAATAAATAAAAAATAATAATAATAAAATAAAATAATTATTTTACCGAAATAATACTTCTCTTATGGAATTGCGATATCTCTCTGCCGGACGCCATCAATTGTAAGTCTAAGGCTATCTACGGTCAAAAACATGAAAATCAACAATTGATATTAAAAAACTACTCGAGATTAAAATACTATAAAATTATTTATTAAACAATTGTGTTAATCAGAGTTTCCTTAGGTCAAGGCCAAAAGGTAAAACGTTACCAAAATTTAAAAGATAAAAAATATGCTTTTCATGATTTATTTTTTAATAGGACAATTAACAAGAAAGATAAGTAAGCCAGTAGGTTTATTAGGAATGATATAACATAGATAAGTGTAAAAAAATAGATTTATAATACAAATAGAAAATAATATGTTTTTGAAATTGAAGAAATATAATGCATAACATCTTAGAAAAAGTGTTTTTGAAAATATGAAGGTTGTTTTCCAAAGAATCCTAGTCATCATAGAGATACAAATATAATGGTTATGGGAAGTAATTAGATACTAAACTGCCTATCAGGTTCCTGTTTCCATGACAGAGCCTGGACAAGTACTGTAAAACGGGGAACTTTACACGTTACACCTTGGAGGGTAACATTATTCCAAAAGAAGATTCATTTCTTTATTTTCAACTTATAGAATCAAGTTTATGTTTCATAGAGAACTAACTTCCAGTTTCATTGCGAAATTATGTCTTCAATGAAATTATTCTACTTTATCCCCAAAATGTAGTTTCCCCATTTTAGGGTACATGAAATGCCTCTGTAAATAAATGGAAGCAGAGTAATTTTTCAAAAATATCTTTGCTACTATTATTCATTTTTCATGCTTTTCTTTTGAGGATTAAGCTTAATTGAAAGGTATATAAATAATTTAGACTTAGTGGGTTTTTCCTTCTTTTTTTTTTATGAAGACAAGACATATAGCGGAACATAATGTACTTGGACTTGCACTTACCTGGAATCGTGCACAGCAAATATTTATTTTTACTAGGCCTCGAGAACTGCCTTCTTACGATACTGTTGGGAAGTGCTGTATGTCAGCAGATAACGAAGCATTGTATTTGAAGCTTATTCAGCTGGTTCCAGATAACTGTAATCCAAGTGAGTATTATAAAGGAGAATTTAAAATTTTATTTATAGGTATTTATAACTTGTGGTTTCTGGGGCACCGAAAAAAGGTTTTAAATTTAATATAGATTTCATATAATGAAAATATTCATCTAATTCACAATCTCTACAACAGGCCATAGCATTAGCACTAGGTCCTGAGTTACTGGACCCTGTTTCAGCTATTATTTTACTTTTATTTTTTTTGTGTTCATATAACAGCCTAAGATCCAAGTAACCCCAAGTTATGATACTGTTTTGGATTATAATTTTCTTTTATTCCTGTTGAAACACCCAAATATCATTTAACCTATTCAGGCTATCATAAAAGAAATCATTTTACAAAATTTTTACTTATAATTGAGACATGCAATTCCAAAACCAGCTAAGTCCATTTTCCAATTATTATTTTCAATTAGCAAACTTGAAACTCAATTTTAATGAGATGAATGAATTTCTTGTTAAAGCAGTTAAATTAAATCTGATCTATGCTTAACAAACTACAATTTACGTTTGATGAAGCAATGGTGTTGTAAAGCAGATAGTCATAGGTAGTAATAGCAGATAGTCATTTTGAACTGTTTTAAGGAAACAATTCGGACCCCTTAATAAAAATTTCCCATTTTTACTTGCATATTTTAAAAATCATAAATTTTTTTGTGAATTGAAAAATGACGATTCCTTCGTTATGTAAAATATTTAATGGAATCCAAAGTTATTTTATTACATGCTATTATTACTATTGCTGTATCAGTTATTATCTAAACTAAACAGTTCGTGAATCAGTGAAATATATTTCATGATACACCCATTAATACATACTAAAGTTTCATCTGGAAACTTTGATACATTTTTTTCTATATCAACACATAGTTTTTTTTTATTTTATTGATCAATAAATTATTAACTTTATTCATGTTTCAGAACGTCTAATAGGAGAAATGAAGAAATATATAGATGGTGAAATAGAAGAAATACCGAGGAATGACTGTGCTCTTCCTGCAGAAGTGGCCGACATTTATTTTCTCCTTGCACATTTCTACTATAAATCAAAGTCTTGGGTATTTAGTTTTTCTTTCATCAATTCAATCATTTTGATCGGATAATAAATTTTATAGAATGTGATCAATTGTTCTGAACTTTATGATTAGTGAAGTTACCAAAAGATTTATGCATGAAGAATCAAAGAAAAATTATTCTTTTGATATACTTTGGTTCCTAAACTATTATTTTGGGTGATATTTTAAAAAACATATAATTTCAGCTTTTACTCATTAGCTTCCGTGTGGTGTGGTTCCTGATAATTTTCTGGTCTCGCTTGATCATAAATATAAAATGTTTTGAACGTTCAGTTTTGTTTTAATGAAAATTTTTTCAATTATGAAAATGAAATAATACTTTCCATGGGTGTCAGTCTGTTGTCAAATCAATTTAAATTTACATTATTCTTAATAGTTATTTTCTGTAACTACTATACTCCAAGTATTTATTTTTTAATTTTAGGCAAAAGTTTGGCATTATAATTTGTTGGATGTGTGTGCTAATCCAACCCGTCATGCGTCATGGGCTGGTTTAGCCTTGTCAAGAGGCACAGAAATAGAAACAACACTTAATTCAGTAAGCTTTATATCATTTCATTTATTATTAAAATATATGTTTTGCCAAAGCAGTATAGAAATAATGAAGTTTGTGTTCACCTATCCGTTTTTTCTTGACAGTAATCCTGTAAGGATAAATTGTAGTTAAAATAGTTTTATTATTTAAGATAATCCAGTCTTGGATTATCTCATCCAGTTTTGTCATAGCTCATTTTTTTTTAAAATCTGCTAAAACTTCAGTTTTTTAAATAACACTATTTAAAAACAGTGAGCTACATAAATTAAATAAACATATTGAAAATTTAATCATATTTTGTGAACTAGTCAATATCATTATAATTTTTAAGTTTTGATAATTAACGATTTATATTTTAGTGTGAGACAATAAAAAATGAAGGAAACTTATTGAATTCAGCAGCTACTGTTTGCAGATGTTACAAAAAATCTCTAGATTTAGATCCAGCTCAGAACACACTGTGGATTGAAAAAGGAACATTTTCATACACAATACACTCATTTTGCTCTAATGTTCTCAAGAAGGTATTACTTCATGTAACTTGTTTTATTATTTTGACAATTTAGTCAATAAATTTCTGCTTTTTGTTATGATTTAATTAAATAATCTATTCATTGAGGTTTTATGTTTGATTTATAATTATTAAAAATAACTCAAAAGGCATAACTAAAGGTAAACCTGTTTAATGTACTTGATTTTCGTAATGTGATCTACTAAAAATATTATCATACTGAAAAAAATTCCATATTACTCAAATTTTAAAAATTTGTTTTTAAATTTTTAATTGAATTTGTCTAACAAGAGGAGGCTACAGTCAGTGGATCACCAATTTCTACCAAATTTTTTCAGTGGTATTACATCGAAAAATATTTGACACACATCCGGAGATTGTTCCAAATGGGCTCTAGGAGCCAGACAAATTTTTTAAATATAATTTCAAACAAAATTAATATCATTTATTTTTGCCTTTGCTTTGTCCGGAAATTTAGGTTATTATACTTTATTTTCATATAAAATATAAAAGATTGCTACCCAATTATATTGGGTTGCCATATACACAGCATACTCGTTAATTCGTAGGACAATAAATGAACTTATATATAAATATACAGAAGTGGTTAGTTTATATTAGTAAAATAGATATATATATATATATACATTTTTTTTATATAATTAATGATAAATTTCAAAAACAAAAAATAGGCCAAGTAAATTTTTGTTATGAAAAAGCAAGTTATTCATTTTTAGTACCCTTTGAAACTCTTTAAAACCAATTTTTATACAAATAAAAAATTGCAAAATTTAATACTTGATTTTCTCAGAAATTTTTTGCTGAATTACTACTCTTCCTACCCTCACCAATAACTTTGAAATTTTATTTATTTTTAAACTAGAAATAAATAAAAACTTTTTAATAATTTTTATTTTATATCTTTAGTTCTAATTTTTTTATGGAGGTCGGTTTTCTACCATTTTGTGTTGCACATAGAGCCCTAAATCCCTTATGATTTTTGTCTGGATCAGTGGAGCTATTATGATGTTATCATAATATTTGTGGTTTTTCAATAAAATTTGGGAGGGTCCAGCCTTTCAAATTTAAAGGATTTTTGAGGTAAAAAAGACAAATATCAACTTTCTTTCTCACTAAAAAAATGTTTATTCTAGATACCAGACCGTTTTGAATTAATATTATATTTGGCAGATAGCTGCAATAAGGACACAATTTGGGCCAACCGATATAATGATGTGGGGGTACCGGGAGACGGGAAGCTAAGCTAGGAGGCCATTTGAGAGTGACAGGTTCAGCTGATAACTACTTCATTGCTATATAAACCCTCAGAAACCGCTTATAGATTTCAGTTGATACTTTTCATCGACTGCATATAGCTCGGGATGCGGCTGTCAGCAAGCAAACAGTGGGGAGAAGCTTGCTGAACTCAACATGCACACTAGGGTTCCCGCTTCTGGCTCTTTACTCACAGCAGCTCACCTCTACTTTTGTTGTGAACATACTGCCTCGACAGAAGATTTTTTGGCCTTTATTTTGTTTGAATGTGGTAATACCAGGTAAGAAATGTGCTCACTGCAATGTAGAGGGAAGATTGCAGTTCAGAGGAGGGTCAGCGATGGTTTGGGGTAGGATGTGTTTTGAGTCAAGGACAGACTTCCATGTGTTCCAAAGGCCGACGCTCAATGAACACATGTACATCACTTACATCGTCAAGGAATATATGATACTTTTTGGCCCGTTTATCTTCCTACATTGCCTTTGTAACCGGATAATGCTCGACCGCACATCGCAAATCTTGTATAGGACTACCTAGACGAGGTTAGTATCCGCAACGAGAAATGGCCAGCTCGCAGCCCGAACTTCAATCCTATTAAGAATCTTAAGATGTCCATTCATCGACTACAGAACCCTCCATGTGACGTCCAAGTATGCGAAAGGGATCAGATTCAGGATCAGCCAAAATCTGAGGACACTCCAGTCACAATCTGGAATTCCAGAAATACTGTAATAGATTGTTCTCTATATTGTTCAGGAGAAAGTCTTACCTTTACATAACTGTATCAGCCGCCTTTAGCACAATCATACATATTTTACAGTTTGTCTGTAAACACTGTCATTGTAATAACAATAACTAAACTATTTAAATTTCAGAAGTTATAACATTTTCGTCATGACTAATCAATCTTTTCTTCACAAATTCGTTGAATATAATATTAATTGTATATTTTATATTTAGGAACAAAATTTGAGTATTGAAATGTATCATACACTTGAAGAACAGAAAGAATCCATGCTAGCTACTGCTCTTCAGTGTTTTCTCTCTGCAAATAAGGTTTGTTACTATTATTTCTTACAGAATGTATTCATGATAAAATATCTTTTATAAAAACTATAGTAACCACTTAAAGAAAAATGTATCAAAAGAAACAGTGAACCAATAGAAGAATGTTTGGAAGAGTTCATAAAAATAAGATTACTTTGAATTCACCTTTCATTATAAATTATATTTTTACTTGGTGAAATAAAAGGTGGATGCTTTTGAGTTTTGTTGTTAAATTACAAATGTATTTATTAATTAAAATATTTCAGCTGTGGCATGACTTCGGTGGTCGAGATATACATGACGAGAGATGGTTACACCATTATATGTTTGGTAAAATTGCCAAAAAAAAAGATGAAGAACCTTCTGTTTATATTAACCATTATTTAAAGGTAATATTTTTAGAAATGCACAGTTATGAATTGTAGATTTTATTTATTACTTTTATCAATTATTTAATTGATACATATGTTTATATTACTTATATTTATATGATATACCAATCTCTATATAATAGAAAGATGCTTCATTGACTTCTTTATCACTGTATCCCAAAAATGACAATGGCTATGAAGGTGAAATTTTAATTTGTAGTTCTCCTTGTGCTCAACATTTGCAATAAGGCTGGTTTTGGAAAAAATGTCTACACTAAGTGGTTAAAAAAAAATTATTTAAGAAAAATAAGAATAAAAATTTTAAAATTTTGAATGTCATTTTATTATTTTAATACATAAGTGTTTCAAGTCTGTTAATATTATTAAAGCGTTAATTCTATTTTCATGTGTGTAAAAATATAATACTACAAAAATTAATAACTTCTTAAAAAATCCAAATGTGTAACTCATCAAGTTTTTGTTTTTTTCCAAAAAATAATGCTGGATTTTGAGTTTTGTTTAAAATACTCCTCTATATAACAAACTTTTTATGTTTACTAGATTATTCATTTGTATGAATTCCAACAATTGTTAATCTTCTTCCAAACGATACTGTTTGTTTACCTCTGCAGCTTCCACTGCTTAGAAATAATTCAGTATTTCCTGAGATATCAATCAATTTTGTTTTACCAGCTTAAACTCAGCAAAAATGGCAGAACCGAGATGGTCAGAAACATCAATCAAGTCTGGGACGAGAATAGCATTAATGAGTGCACTGTTCAACTACGGTTCAAAAAATTTCTGGAGGGAGACTTCAGCCTTGAAGGCAAAAAAGATCGTTGAAGGACTTCCTCTCTTGATGATGATGTTTTGTGGGCTTTGGTGGAAGAAAACCCCCAGAACAAGTGTTCTAGAACTTGCAGGAAAACTTAATCTTAGCAAATCGACCGTTGATGACTACCTGAAGACGATTGGAAAGATAAAAATGCTTGAAAGTTGGATTCCAGACACATTAAATAACCATAAAAAAAACCAGCGTTATGAAGTTTGTGCTGCACTTCTTTGCCGAAACAAAAATGACCCTTTCCTGTCCAGAATTGTTACTTGTAATGAAAAGTGGATACTTTACGTTAACAGTAGACGTTCTGGACAGTGGCTCGACAAAGAAGAAGCCCTCAACTCATCTAAAAAAGGTGATGGTTACTCTTTGGTCGGCTTCATTAGTTTGATACTCTACAACTTCTTAAATCTTGGAGAAACCATCAATGCTGATTTGTATTGTAACCATATCAATGCAATGCATCATTAATTGGCAATAATGAAGCCAACTTTGGTAAATCAGAAGGGGCCCATGTTGCATGACCACGCCTGGCCACATGTGACGTCACAAAAACTGTTGGAGCTTGGATATGAATGGATAGATTAAATGAAACTCTGCCACATCCACCCTACTCTCACCTATGGATTATCATTTTTTTAGACAACTGGGCCACTACTTACGTGACAAAAAATTTAATGGACAAAGGGAATTATAAAATGTGTTTTTGGAGTTTATCAATTCTAAAGAAGGGAAATTCTATTCCGAGGGAATGGAAAAGTTGCCAACACATTGGCAGAAATGTATTGATAGTAGTGGAGACTATTTTAATTAAATAAAACAGTTGTAAATCTTTCTGTTTAAACCAAATTCTGTATTATTTTTCGAACAACCCAATATTATGTGAATGAATGAATGAAGGCAAACCTTATTCTGGGGCACCTTGTTCCCTTAGAATAATGTAAATGTGATATTACTCTGGCTACAGATACTAATTAAGAAATGAACAAATTATAAAATAAAGAAATTAAAGGCAAGCATTAGCAAACAAATTAAAATATTGAAATTACACATGTTTACATGTTGGAACAATGAATTTTTAGATAGATTTAGATTAAAAATTATTACAAGGTTTCTAATGGGGATGATAAAAAAGGGAATTGAGGAGGTCCTTGGAACTAATGAGGATGGAACTACCCATGCTAAAATAAAATAATTTAAAATGAAAATGTTAGCCTTAAATTTAATGGTTTTCATTAGTATCGGAATGGAAGCAATAAATAAGATGGCGGAGTTTTGTCTAAAATGACTATTAAAAAATTGCATACATGATTACATTTATTTTCTTAAAAATCCGAATTTCTGAAAACATTTTAATAGTAATTAAAATTAATAATAGAAAAAATGATTACTTTAATTTTGGATTTTTTAAGAACTTACCATTTATTTATTGATTGTTGATTTTTATTTCCCTTTTATTATTATTATTTTTTTTTTTAGGCTGCAGCTTTGCTTCATGATATTGGAGCCCTATATCCGACTATAATAACATATAACAGTCCTCAGTATCTTGCAGTTGAAGCTCTGGAGGTAAGTAAAATTATTAATGATTGTTTTAATAAATTGATAGAATTGTGGCAGGATGGAATGAGGAAGACTGTTTGAGGAAAGAATTGTTAAGAGTGAGGATCCCTTTTATTTACTATTAATAAATCTCAGTTATTGAAAGTAACTTTAAATCTTACTTTTTCTTTAACTATGTTGGTATGAACTTAAATTTAAGTAATTTCTATATTTCTTATCTTGTAGCCACAAAAAAAGATCTATAAATGTGGGCAGAAAAGTCAGCATTCTTCAAATAATTTTTTACTTTATTTTTGATCACCTGCCCATCTTTTACATTTAGATTATAATACTGGATTTTTTAATATATCTTTATTTTTTGTTTGGTTAAAGATATTCTACAGAGTTCACACATGCATCTTAAAAACTCTTGAAGAAGCAGGAGACAAGCCCCTTCCTATTTCAACTATAGAAATATTTAAGCATGCGATAAATGTTTTGGCTCAAAGTCCATTTGTCACCCAAGCTAAAGAATATACAAGGTTCGTGCTGTAATATAATTTAACTGTATTAATAACCAAAAATATTTCTGCCACTTCTTTAACAACATTCTGTTTTAAAATAAACTATAACATGCTAATTATTTAACAAAGATAAAATTTTGATTAATTTCTAACCTTCTTATGATAATTTACTTTTCTATTTGCAGAAATGAGAAACCTAAGAAAAGCATTCAAAAAAAGACAGACAGCGGCAGTGATGATGTAAGAATAATATGATTTTACTTATTTTTATTACTTGAATTTACTAATACACTTATTCTGGATTTTTTTGTTGATTTAATACATATTACAATAAAAATATTCACTTAGTCTGTTGACTACAGACCCAGTGGATTAGAGCCGCCTTAAAAAATTTTTTCCACCCCATTCTGATCATGAGTGATTGGCTTAAAAATGAAAATTTGTTACCAATATGAATCATATTTTATTTCTTTAATATATGTTTGAAGAATAATATTTATTTAAACTATCAGTCACTTATTGACTCGATGAGATTTAAAATTTTAATTAAGTCCTTTTTTATCTGGTTCTAATTCAATTATGGTTCATAATTAAGTATTATAACTTATTTTTAAAAGTAACCTATTTTTATTTATTTAGGACTTGCCAGTTTCAAAAGATGTAAAAGATATGATACAAGATATTCTTGGCAAAGTGGAAAGTGATCACAGTTCATCTAATCCACTAAAAAGAAAGCTATTACCCATTAAGGAAGAACCGGAAAATATTCAACCAATGGAAGTATCTTCTGGAGAAGATCAAGTGGAATCTAGTGCTATTAGCAACATTGAGAAACCTACCAATTCAAGTTCTACTTCTGAAACGACCAAGGATACCAAACCGAAAGGTGAAGAAACGAGTGCTAGTTCCTCTTCTAGCTCATCGTCAAAATCGTCATCTTCCTCTTCAGATTCTTCCTCTAGTTCGAGTAATTCAAGTTCTGGAAGTTCAAGCTCATCTGATAGTAGTTCATCTGATTCTTCAAGTGATTCTTCTAGTGATTCTGTAAGTTATATATTATTTTTACATGAGAGATTTATTTTTAATTTATGATTTATTTCCTTATCTGTGATATCTCAACTAACTTTTACTTGTGTTAATAGAGATAGAGTTAATAAACCTTCCTCTTGATATCAATTACAGATTTATCTGATATAACCTCGAGTTACTGACTGTATATTAAGACCCATTGAAAGTTAACTTTTAATTCAGTTGGAGTTGGTCTTTCATGATAGTTGATCATAGCTAAAAAAAAAATCAGTTTTGAATATTAAAAAAGATAAAATTAAAACTGTACTAAGTAATATAAAAGTGTAACATAATTTTTTTTGTATTATTAATGTTATAAAGATTTATATTTTTTAGGATAGTGAATCAGACAACGAGCCTCCTGCTAAAAAAGTGAAATTGGAAATAGAAGGCTGGTCTCAAGGTAATAAATAATATAATATAATATATATATATATAATACATAACTGTTATCCCATTGGTGATTGCAGAGTGGACATCTGGGACAGGATACTTTCCTCATCTACTAATGTTTCCTTTATTTTGAATATATATAAATATAAGCAGTAGCCCAAGATAGGTAGAGGTGGAGAAGGCTTGTACAGGCGGGAAAGATCTACAAGGTCTGTAGAGCCAACAAAAAAAAAATATATATATAAACCTGTACCACTACAACTCATGACGGGTCTTGGGTTCAGTGCTTTGTAAGGAAGTACTGTTTCTTGGTCAACTGTTCGTGCAACGAGGTGATTTGACTGTGACCATCTTCAACTGCCGGGTTTTCTCCCTTAATCAATTATTTAATTAAGAGCAACCACTTCATCAAGGCTGGGTGTGCCGCATATATATATGTGTGTGTATAACTCAGCTTGTATCTTAATGTTCCATTTACATGCTTAATACTCCTGTACCTACTTAATATTCTTGGGAGTCAGAAAAGAGAATATATTGTGCTTTATTCCGGTGATTTTGACTCAATTACTGGCAGTTATTCTCCATGAACAGTCCTCCTTTTCCCGGGATCATTGAATTGTGAGAATATTTTGTTCTCGAATTGCAATTACATTGGATGGCCTCTCATAGCATAGCAACTTTTCCCCTCTATTATACCTTATTCTCCGAAAGACTATTGTTCCTATTTTTATCTCTCCTTTCTTATCTTTGATTTTCATCATTCTCCTTCTCTCTATCTCCTCCTTTACTTTCTCTCAGACTTTCTTTATCTCCATTCTATTATTAATGATTTCTATTTCCCGTTCCTCATTTGTTACCGTCTCCCTCTAGTCAGGTCTCTGTAACACCTTAACAGATGAGAACTCTGTAACCAAATGTATTGAATGATAAGCAGACCCTACACGTAATTCATGAATGAACGTCACAAGAAGTTCCAAGATTGCCCGCGATCGCTTTGATCATGAAGACCCTTACACGTTCAATCATTACTTATCGTTGCTGATACCAATTTAGCTCAGTTGTAAACAAAGAAACAGCATAGATATGGTTATTTGGACATTGTCATTTATAATATTGGGCATCAAGAGAAAAACGGAGATATAATAATTACTTCCTAGTGCCTAAAAATCGTTTAGATCAAAGTTAGTAAAATATAAGTCAACTACATACAAAAATCTAGGAAAAGTAGTAAAGTAGCTAAAAAGGTCTGTTATTGTGAACCATTGAAATTCTTTCAACGTGAATGTGTCAATTTGTATGTCATTTAATGGCATATCTCCCGTAGGTGTTTCCTCTTGTTTTCCTTGTGGGGAATGCCTATCGTACTTCGTGCATGCGCATACTTCGCATATCTCTATGGTTTCTACAATGATCTTTTTCATCCCCTCCCAGAAATACTTCCTGTATTGTTTCATATACTCCCCTTTTCCTTGATGGTTTGTCAGCATTATTTCTTTCTTCTGCCCCACATCCGTCACCATTTCTACCAAGTATTTACACCGGATTTAAGTCCTATGCACGCCGATTTCCTCTGATCTCAATTGTCAAATGAAAATGAATGGGTCGATTGTTGAGGATATGAGAACTTAACTGGTACAGATCATAATGGCATTCAACATTCAATCTCAGTTCTTTATTTACTGCCCTTCCAGTGATACTATCAAGATCTTGTAGCTTTTTGATTGACTCATGCATCATAATAGGATAGAATGAGGGATAAATTTGAAAAATAAATGGTAAAGTGGGTAATAAATGGATTCTGGAAGATAGTTAATGTAAATCAAGAAAAGAAATGAATCTCGATAAACACCTATTAGTTGAATGGGATAAGGAGAAAAATCACTTTAAAATATTATTAATTTACACAGGTTTTGGAATTCTAGGATTTTTATGGATTTTTTTTTTGACATAGTCTCATGACTATCAATCTCATGATTGATTCTTTAATTGTATTTAATAATGTTTTTGATGATGCAGTAATTTTATAACCAGTATAATAATATGGCATGTTGTTGTTTTTCTGTTGGCCTTGTTGATATTTTTCCTCCTTAACAAATCTACTCCATTTCTTATTTTATGTATTATGATATTTATTTTGTTTCCATCATCTCATTTTACACAAAACTGGTGAGTTAAAAAGCATAGAAAACCATTCAATTATTAACAAAAAAAAACCTACCTATTTACCTAAATTCTATTTAATTTTAATTTCATTATCTTTTTCATTTATTCACAAATTAACAAAAAAATTATACATACAGAAATCTTTATTTTTTTTTTATGTGGTTATTACATTTAGCTATATGTGATTATACTTAAAATTGAAACTAAATTTGATGAAAACCAGATAGACCTGCAGGTATTTGACAGGAGTCAAAGAATGTCCAAAAGGGTTTAACAGTTGAGAACAATCAGTGTTAGGCTTTTGAGTCATATCCTTTCCAGCTGCTGAAAAAGTTACAAAACATTCTCTTCCTCACCATTTAATGCTTCCAGAGCCCACCTGGATTGACTACTATCCCAGTCAACCATCGTCAAAGGGTTAAATACAGAAATGAGTTAATTTATTTTATTATATTAAAGATGAAATTAAAATAATTTGTTAATCAGTGAAAACTTTTTATATTTTTAGAACAACAATGGCTTGTTGAAAAATGTATTGGAGCACTTGAACTATGCAGAAAAAGATTTCCAGAACATTATAAATCAACTTACCATTTGGCTCATTTCTATTTTAAGACAAAACACTTTAAAAATATGGACAAAGTTAAGGAACTTTTACTTGGACAACATGGTCTTTTTGCTGAAAGAAAAGCAAGCAATTTCTTCAATGTAAGTTTATCATATTCTTAATAGTGGTTACTGGTCCATTAATTTTAATCTCCCAAAGTTTTCCAAAATACATATTTTTTGTTTTTTACTTCCTCCATTTCATCATATGTCTCATTAAAAAAATAAAATAAATAAAACCCTGATTCATTGCTTGGACACACACAAGTTGTAAAAGAATAATAAATCACAGTAATATATATATTCTTAACAGTCATACAATTTAAGATGTTTAAAAAACAGGCGTGTAGAACATCCTGTTAATATAATTAAAGTCATAGCATCAGTTTGATAAAAATAGATTTGTAAAGTTATGAGGTTAAGTATTGAAAGAATTTCAAAAAAGTTAATAAGTGTTGAGCCAGCAGTTAAACTTATGAGCGACAGACCAAAATGTGTGCAGAAGGATTATTAAAGCTCATTTGTGGACATGGGTGTGGATCGGTATATTAACAGCGATTGGATATATTGGCTTTGAACCTTCGGCTTTAATAAACTTTTAATTTAGTATTTAACAATCATACAAATTTTTATTTCAGGGAATTTGGAGAATACCCAATGGAGAAATAGACCGCCCAGGTAGTTTCGCATCTCATATGGGAAGGTGTACCTTGCTACTATTAGAGTTTTTGAGAGAAACGAAGGATTATAATATGTTGTTGGATTTAGCTATCCATCTAAAAATAGTCCCAGAAGCAGATAAGTAGGTTAAACATTATTAATTGTCACTTCTTTTTCTTCCTAATTACACATTTCAGATATATATTTTGAATTTGTGAAATGTTGTATTAATTATATATTTCTTTTCTTTGCTTCTATACCTAATTTTATAATTTTTTAAGTTTGAGCTTAAATATCCCTAACTAACTGAGTTATTGACAACTAAAATACACTGACAGGCAAAAAATTCCACCCACTTGATTTTTTCATGTTTTCATCTAAAAATATTTTTGCTTTGGATTGGTCTATTGTTTTTAATGAATAAATAGGTAATCTTTTTGTATGTTTTCAATTAGGAATGTTAATATAGAGGACAATAACCCTTAATCCGTAATTCAATGAGATGATTATAGATTCCAATGTTTACTTTCTATGGAATCAAAATGTTTATTCAGTATCATTAGTTCAGTGCCGTTTCTTGCAGCACATTTCTTAGTCTCCGGCTTTTAATTTTTTCAATATTAAGTTTAAAAATATCTCTTAGTGCTGAGGATGTTGCGGATGGTGTGCCACTTATTGATGATGGACGTTCCATTAGATATGCAGCTAATGCCATCAGAGTTCCATATGAAACTTTACGAGACGCCGTCAGGCGTTTTCGGTAAACTGGTTCTTATTGGTTCTGGACGGCCTAAGGTAACAGAACCACGGGATCACCGGTTTACGAAACCGGCACCTTACCATTGTTCAAGCGATTCATCAGCTCGAAGAAGTTCAAGGTGTGCAAATTTCTGAACATACCGTTCGGAGAAGATTAAATGAGTATGGATTAATGGCTTTTCGTCCAGTAAGAGGACCAAAGTTGACGAGAACTCACAAAGTAACACGGCTGGCTTTTGCTCAAGAACACAGCCATTGGACTATGGACGAATGGAGTGTTGTACTTTTTACAGATGAGTCAAGATTTGCTCTTCGATCTCCAGACGGGTGTGGAGAAGAAGAAACGAAAGATATGCAGCCTGTAATTTTTCCCAGAGCCATCCTTTCCAACGTGGTTCCTTAATGGGTAACAAGTGGGTGGAATTTTTTGCCTTTCAGTGTACAAATGTTATCAAATATTTTTTTTTTTCAAGCCATCCATATTGATTAAACTACTATGCAAGAAAGTAGTGTTTTAAGACCAATGGTTATGCAGGGAGGTGATTGGGTCAAGATCACACTCCATGGTCAGGTTTTCTCCCTTAATTAATTATTTTATTTTTAAAGTACCTAATTTATAGAGGATGGGTATGCCCCAAAATGATCTCTTGATTCCAGTGTCGAGCCCTGACTGATGTTACAGAATAAATAATTACCTGACACTGATAGACTCGAGCTTAGGAGTCCAGTGCCTTACTCAGTAAGCCACCCCGCTTCCATCATCATTGGTGTAATCAACCATAGATTGTATATTTTTAAATTGTATGCACAAATATAGTTTTCTTAATAACTTTTTTCCTTACTTTTCTGACAGTGGTATCTATTTTTCTTCAAAAACATGGCTCAATCATTGAATTTTATGTAGTATTAATGAAGATTTGAGACATCATCATAAAGACTTCTTTGACAATCATAGTTGATCAACTAAACTATTGTCGTTGGTTTTTTTATTCTTTGCTTTTATGATTTATTTTGTTAATTTTCACAGAAAATATTTGCGAGACAATGAGAGAGAGGAACTAAGTAAAGAAGCAGCTACTCTTTGCGTACAATCACTTAGAAAAAAAATGCAAGAATTAGACAAAGATAAACTTCAAAAGTTTATATTGGAATTGTATTATATTCATAAAAGAGCTAACAAAAGCAATCTTAAGGAACCAAGGTTTAGTTCGATTCTAAATGAAGTTTATCAGAAACTCATTGACAGCCAAGTATGTTTCTCTTTTATTAAAAAAAAAAATTGTAACTTATGTTTTTATTTGTATATATGCTTCTCATCTGTTGTAAGAAGAATATATTCAAATGTGTAATATTAGGTAAATATATTTCTTTATTATATATCCCTCATCAAATGGAACAATGATGCAACTGTAAATTTTGGAAATATTTTTTCAAATCATGATTGTCAGAAAGACGTGGTTATCAAATCAACTTCTAGTATAGTATAAGCAAAATTTAAATCAATAGAAGTTTTTATTGGTACGATCAATTTTTAAAATAGTTCTAATTACTATGCGTTACTATAAAATTGTATGATTTGCAGTTACATCTTCGTTCCACTGTATTAGCTATATTATAAAAGTTATTTTAGGTTTAAATTTGAGTTTTAAATCCAAATGTCAGAGAACGTGATGACCGATCATGTTGAAGAGGGTTACAGAGTGCCTGGTTCTGAATGTTGTTTGTTCGATTCATACCTGAGTCAGCTAATGTTTGTTTCTCAGTGGCCTCAAGAAATGAATCTTGATACTTCCTTTCTGGTTAGTACATGGCAGAAATCTCTAGGAAGCTGTTAGAGATCAGCAAAAAGGACCACCACCGCTTCCCTCACCTGTACCAGTACCAATCCCAGTCAGAACCACCCCTCTTGGTGGTAGCGAAAGAGAAGTCTCGAGACAAGGTAACCATAGACGTTTACTCCGAACCAGTGACGATTCTTGGTTTATTGAACCAAAAATACTACAGACTGGGTGGTAACTAAGGCCGTTGGCGGTTCATGGGGTTCATAAATCCTGATTGTGTTTTTGAAGCACCATAGTAAGGAGCAACCAGCTCTCTGGATCTATCCTGCTGTGGTGTAGAATCAAAGCTAGTAGGGTTCTAATTAATGTGGGCGAAATCAGCATTCACAGGACCCATAAAGGAAGGTCTTGTGAGTGTCCAAATGACAATTTGATAATGCCTTTACTAAAGGAGGAGCCACCTCAATAGAAGGAACCAATTGAGTGGTGAGTAATTCTTTAGGTACATACAATATGAATGGTAATTGATTTTATATGATCTTATAAAAATGACGGCCAGAGTGAATGAGTATTATAAATGCAAATTTAGAAAGTTCATTATATTTAATAATCCATTTTGCTCAATTTATGTGTTAAATTAAGCTTAAAATTATGATATCTCTAATAAAGCTATGCTCTTGGTTTCAATCTATTCTGCTTAGTTTCAATATATTCCAGTGTTACCCTAAAATGTATGGTATTTTTGGGGAGAGGGAATGGATTGTTCATAGATGCTTCATATAGTAAACCTCTATTATTTACGATGTATTAAAAATGATTAGAGAAGCAAAGCAATAACAGGTACACTGGTAAAAAAATAAGCCTATTACCAATATTTATAAAAATATAATAATGTTGATGTTATTATTCAAACAAATAGTTTCAATAATAAAGATTTATTATTTTTAGGGTGAAACTTCTTTGGAAAGCGCTGTTCGTTATTGCCAACAACAAATTCAATTGGAGAAGCAGGCTTTGGCCCCTCCCCCAGTGACTCCAACTGTTGCTGTATCGCAGGCTGCTCCCCAGGTCACCATACAACCTCAGGCCCAACATGCTACACAGCAGCCTTTACCATCAGCCAGTTCTAGTAGTCTGGTTTCTTCATCAATTTCAAGTCCTGCATCATCACAAGAGAGCTCCACTTCTTTATTTCAGGTTTGTTTGTTGATGATTTGTTGTCCAGTGATTAAATCTCATGCTAATTAAACTGGCTCAAATGACATTTCCTCTGTCTTATGCCTTAAAATTAGGCCTCTGAAATGGTTCCAGTTCTCCTTTACATCTACAACTTTTTCATATTGTATTACACAATCTTATATCAAAATTTTAAAAATGTACTACTTATGATAATTACTTATATATATATATATATATATATATATATTTTTTTTTTCGGTTGACGCTACAGACCTTGTAGATCTTTGACCACGAGATTGATTCCTTATTTAAGTACACAGGGGTAGTAGGGTCATCAGTCCTATAACCGGTCCGTATGAGTTGCCTCCAGTAGGCTGACGGGCCTCACAAACCGGGTTGGAGGGGGGTCTCGTGCAGCGTGGCTTTCCCTGGTGGACGGTCACCCATCCAAGTACTAACCACGCTCGGCGTTGCTTAACTTGGTTACCTAATGCAAGCGCCTTAGCCTGCACGGCTACCCTAGCTCCCACTTATATACATATAATCATAGTTTACTGATCTTGTCATGCCTTACTATTACATACAATACATATATATTTTAATCTATATTACACAAGATAATTTTAAATCACTTCTTAGAATTTATTTATTAGCAGATGACATATATATTTTTATAATAGTCTTATATTAATTTTTGTTTTGGTTGTTATTCGTTCTTTCCTAAGCCCTGAAATTTAAGCCAAAACATCGCCACATAAATATTGAATGTACCTGTTAAACAGTAATGTACATTGTATTTATTTATTTTTTTTAAATTTATAATTATATATTTATTATTTATTTATTTTACTTTATATTTGCAACTGTGTTTGAATACATCTAGCAAATGTGCTACCTGGGGAGCATCAAAGAAGATTAAAAAGACAGTGGCCTCAGGATTTGCTCACAATATGAATACATTTTTAAGAAATAACAGGCAGAACGAATGACAGCACATTTGCTAGATACATTTAAGCGTAGTTGCAAGTATAAAGTAAAATAAATAATAATTTATTTATTTTTTATGATTAAGACTTTTTCTTATCTATTAATTTTAATTTATCAAGGAAATTCATTTTATTTTAAGTGTTTACTATTCTTTATTTGATATAAGTTGTTTTTTTTTTGTAATTTAATGTTTTTAGCCAGAAATAATCTTTATTCTTCTGTACCCACCTGTTATTCTAAAAGGATATTTCATAGAATATTTTATGTTACATTTTCATCAATAAATATTAGATTATGAATTTTGGCAAAAATAATGATTTGTGACCTAATTGGCTTTGTTTCATCTTGCCCAATTGAATTGTAAGCATGCATATGTCAAATATATGTTTACAAATCATTTTTTAGGTTGAAATATGCTATAAATTATAAGAAGCTATGAAATCTATAAATTTTAACTCTTTTAAAATTAAGAGAATCGAATTAGGTGGTATTAGAAGTTTTGGCAAAATATAGTAAATAACTTTCATTATAAATGATACTATTTATTTTTGTTTAAATTTATTCACAATATACTTTTTATGTTTACAGAGCAATGTTAATATTGGTTTTGCACGGAGAGGAGCTCGTGGGACTACAGGTAGAAAACCACGTGGCCGACCGCCTGGTTCTGGATTAGGTTCTCGCCTTCCAAGAGGAATGTCTGTTTCACTTTTGGTATCTCAACAGACAGAATTGTTACGCCACTATGCTCAACAAAATGCTGAACTAACAAGACAGTTAGCTGCTCAAAATATAAATGTTAATTCCAACATGAGTAACCCAATGAATACAAACATGAGTAATCCAATGAATACTACCATGAGCAATACAATGAATACCAACATTTCAGCTGCTTTGAGTACCAGTATGAGCACTACGATGAATACCACTGGCCCTAATGGACAAGTGTTAAAGGATAGACCAAATTTATCTATCACCCCCTTGAAGCCATCTGTGCCTAGTCCATTGAAAAGTGCACCTACTAGTCCTAGTGTGAAACCGATTATACCATCTTCTTCTTTATCTGTTTCAGTAAGTAAGAAAAGTAGCCCACAATATAAAGCTCGGAAATCAAATCCTCCACTCCCACCAACTCCTTCAAGTTCATCGGTTCCATGGCCTACTGGAGATGCATTTAGGCCACTTGGTCTCAGCATACAGCCTATTCAGTCTACTCCACCTAAGAATCCAGTTCAAGAAGTAAGTTTGCAGCATAAAATACTTGGTGCTAAGAAAATCATTTCTACACCTGAGAAAAGTCAACCTAAAAAATTATCGGAACTACCTTTCCCATCGACTAGTGAACTTACTGTTAGACAAATAAGTCCTAAACCAAGACCTCCATTTATACCGAGGCCATCACCCCCAGTTCCTCGCAAAGATGTTGTAAACTCTATTAGTATTATTCCTACAACATCGAAAATAGAACCCCCAAAAAATGTTCTCCCGTCACCTCCTATTCAAGATGAAAAACCTAAGCCTGTAAATAAACCTCCAACTGTAATACCTAACATAGACAGTTCAGTAGCTGATGCGCTCCGAACATTTGGAAGTACTATAACAATTACCACAACAAATAATAAAAAACCAGTTAAGATCCATGATGAGATGTCTATTACTCCTGTTCAACAAAAAAAGACAAAAAACATTCAAGAGCCTTGTGAAGTAATAGTGTTGGATGATTGATTTTTTTGTTTGTATTATACCAATGCACAGCGATGTGTAATAGTTTTTCATTTATATTTATTTATTATAATGTTTTTAAAAAGTCATAAATCTTATATAGTATTTTTGTTTTGTCACCCTGTTTTTTTTTTGTTTTATAATTCTGATGAATTACCATTAATTTCATGTTTAGGGTTATAGAAGGACTAATCCGTTTCTGCCCAATGAATTAAAAAATTCAAGTATGTCTATTCCTTATTAAAAAAAAAAAGGAAAGTTGTTAGCACTGTAAATTTCATATAAGAATTTATTATTACATTAAAAGTACACCAGTTATAATTAAAAACCTGTTTTCATGACATTGAGCAGAGAAGAGTCAATGAGAATAGAACAGTTTTCATATAAGTCAGCCAGTATGGTCTCATTCCCCCACCACTTGGTTAGTACCTTCCCTGGCTGCTCATATCACTTCCTTAGGTTTCAATTTATCTTTTACTGTATTACATATAAGTCCTGAAATAAATTATCCTGTCGATAATTTTTTTTTAAATATTGGTCACTGGAGAATGTAAATAAAATGTTAAAGTTGAAATGTAAATGTATACATCAATCTATTTCTATTTACTGGCATTGATTTTATATTTTAAAGTCATCTGAATTTTTGTCTACTTCTGGATTTTAAATCTGAAAATTGTGGTAATGCATTTACTATGGTTTTTTTTTCTTCAAATTTAGTTTGCATGATGCAAAAAATAATTCAAATATTGAAAAAGCAATTTTTATTTAAAAGAATAAACCAATGAAGAATTTTAATTTCAATACAAAATATCCTAGAAATTAATTATTTCATTAAAAAAAAAAGAGAGAGAAATTGTAGGTAAATATAAGAAACTAAAAAATAAAATAAATAAACAAATTATCACTTTCCTTTGAAAAATATTACTTTTTAAAAGTTTTTGAATTTCAAGACCTTGATTTTGATCTTTTACATGCTTTCTTAACTAATTCTGAAATAAACCTTATAAATACATTCTATCAATCACTGCTTGTAATTAATTGACCTATGAAATAAGGTGCATATATAAATATTTATTTAAACAATACAAAAGTAATTAGTTTATATAAATTTCTGTCAATAACTTTATTTTTAAAAGTCTTGCTGAATTTTCGTTTCTTAATAATTGTAAAAGTTGGGGTAATATCTGAAGTCGGCTCAATCAGGCTTCCTCGATTTTTAGTTGAAAGTGAAGTTTAAATATTATCATCTGGCATCAGTTTAATAAAATCTTGGCAATTAATGACACTAATTTTATTTTGTAAATATTACTTTTATATTTTATAAATCTTTTTTTAGATACAGCTTTTATACTTGGAGTTTTTCTTGGGCAGGAAAAATATGCTGACTTAAAAGTCCTACCGGGCAATAGGATTTGAACTCCATCTCCAACTTTGGTTATCAGACTGCCAGGCAATCCATCCCCGGGGATTTTTTACGTCTATATATATCTATCTATCTTGGCTCTACAACTCTGTGCACCTGTCATCCAACTTCTGCCTTCCAGGATATTCCGTGCATCTCTTGCTCCACCATCTGAGTTTTTGTCTTCCCCTTCTTCTAATGTCATGGGGAGGTTCTGTCAGAATCATCTTAAGGATTCCTTGTTCATCCATCCTAGTCTCTGTAATTGAGTAAATTTCTATTTTTGTCCGCCTTCTCCAGCCTCCATCGATATGAATTCCTCCAAAAATTCTTTGAAGAATTTTCTTCTCAAAGACTAGATCTTGCTTAATTGTCTTACTAGTTCTCTGTGTTTCAAAACTTTTATATTTTTAAATTATGTGACTAGATTTTTATATTATGTGTGTTTTTTTATTTTTTTATTTATCTATTTACTTAAATTAATAAAATATATCAGTAGTTTAATGCACATCAACTATCAATACAAAAGTACATAAAAATAACAAAAATCCTATTATGTGTCAAGAAGTTATATGATATTTGATTTCACATTGGATGAATTCATCAAATCACTAAATGCTTTAATTTTCTAAAATTTTACTGAAGGACTGTTTCCATGAAATTGATAATGTATACATTTACTTTTAGTAAAATCAATTTAAATTTTTTATTAGAATTATAGGACAAAACAATTGAAAAATAACTCAATCGTCAGTTGACAAGGACATTTTTGTTTCTCAAATAAATAGTTTATCGCACTGGGGGGAAGCAGGGTAGATCAGTAAGGCACTGTGTTCCCGAGCTCAGGTTTGAGCCACAGCTGTAAGAGATAATTATTTATCTCTGCTATTATATCAACCCTAGGGTTGGAAAATTCTCTGAGTACACACCCTATCTCAATAAAATGGGTACTCTTGATTGGAGGAAAACCTGGTAAGGGGACCCTACACGGTCAATTGGAATTGCACTAATGACGTTCCGAATTGTCGTGTAAGGTAGTGAATGAAGTACTGATGGTGGTGCGCTGCGGATTTCCGAACATCCGGAAATCAAAGGTTCATTCACGAGAAGTGGAGGGGAGACCGACTAAACATATGGGCTGGGGAGACCAACCATACTGCTGGATAGGTTAGGTTACCTAGGCCTCACAACCATTATAAATTTCTGATTTTCATATGTAATATGTAATTAATATATGTAAATAGTTAAATAATTTTTCATATCCCTTGTTTATAATTTTAAACCATCTTCAACTATTTCTTTTAAATAGTCATGTGGGCAACAAATTAAAAAAAAAAAATGAGGAAACTTCACAATTTACTTGAAAGGAAAAAAAAAACTTTAACGTTGTGTATATTTATCAGTTCTTTTCCCATTTTCCTCAACAAATTTATTATTTTTGCAATACCTTTCCTCAATTTTTGTAAGTTGTAGACCTATATTTTACTAACTTTTGTCAAAACGATTTTCTATGAGACTAACCTAACTACTAGATAGGTTAGTTTACCTAGGTCTCGTTATTAAGTAAATAATTTCATAAAAGTAAATAGTTGTTTATATCCCTAGTCTATATTGTTATTAACCATTTTCAACTATTTTTTCTTTAAATAGTCAAGTAGGCAGTAAATTGGAGGGAAAAAAAAGTGGAAACTTCACAATTTACTTATAGAAAAAAAATCTTTAACTGTTGTGTTTATTTGCCATTAATTTTTCCATTTTTCTTAACAAATTGATTATTTTCGCAATACTTTTCATAGATTTCTGTATGTAGTTGACTTATATTTTGGACTAACTTTGGTCTAAACGATTTTCAGGCACTAGAAAGTATTTATTATATCTCCGTTTTTCTCTTGATGTCCAAATAAGCATATCTATGCTGTTTCTTTGTTTACAACTGCGCTAAATTGGTCAGCAACGATAAGTTATGATCAGTAATGAATGAATGTGTAAGGGTCTTCATGATCAAAGCGATAGCGGGCAATCTTGGAACTAATTGTGACGTTCATTCATGAATTACCGTGTATGGTCTGCTATATAGTACATAGGTTTCAGACATTAGTTGACTTCCATAGTGGAATATTTTCAAAATAGCTTTTTCCTCTTTATTAATAGTTAATTTTTATACAAAATTTGTGCAACTGCAAATATTATTAAGAAAGTCTCATTGGCATATTTAAAAAAACAGTTATGAGGATATATGCATACATTGAAAGAGGTAGAGAGTGGAATAACAATACATTCCAAAACCTAGTCTTAGTAGCCACAAACCAGAGTGCAGCTTCAACAAAAGCTAAATATTTTAGATATAAGGCAAAAGCAAAAAAAAGAAGTGAGATCAAATCACTAATTACATGAAAATATAAAAATCTGGTACATGTACATGCATCACACGACTCACTTCTCTCTTACTCTTCTTAGCAGAAATAAGTATTTTCAGACAAAGGGGAAGTGAAAGCAAAAATTATAGACGCTATATTTATTTACATTTCATTGTGGGTATTTTTATTTGTTTAAATACCTTATATAGACAAATTTTAATTGTAATATTGTCCTCTTCTATACAATGATCGCATTTATGAAAACCGCATCTGTATATGTACATAATATTGTCAGAGTCCGTATTATATTAAGCTCATGTTACGTATGGAAGCCTGTTGTACTCTTTCGGGTGAGCTCGGACGCGCCCGTGTTCCTTTGGTTTTTCCATCACATCTATTATCAGTTACGATCTATTATATCTTCTTTCGTCAATTTTTAAATTCTTTCATATTTTATATTTAACTATTTTTTGTATCAAAGATTATTGTGAAATGGTTTATTATTTCAAATAAAAAAATTTAAAGTACTTAGAGGAAACTAATATTGAAAATTAGCCATTTCAGCCCTGTTAGAAAACCTCAATGAGAATAAAACCTACATCATATTAAAAACCGCTTAATAATACACTGATATACTGAGTTTAATCAAAATTGTTAGAGCCATTTTTGAGAAAATTGTAAAAATGTGTTAAATCGATCATATAAAGTACCACTTCCAGTTTGCCGAAAATGTCGCTATAACATCCAAGAATTTCAAATACGCAATTTCAGTTTCGTAGGGCTTTTCATTTTTGAGCTAGGATTTTCACACACACACAGACCATTTTATGAGACTTAGTTATTTGGACTCAAGGGACCTCAAAACAGTTTAGTCCCTTTTTCTCAATCAATTTTCTTTCTTTTTTTTTTTGTATAGTAGCTATCGATGAGTTTTAATATTACCAATAAAAAATAAAATATTGGAAACCATATAAATAAAAATGTAAATGTTAGTTTGTTCAAAATCACTAATCTCCTAACGTTCTTCACTGATTACAATCAAATTCAGGAATGTTTTTATATGAATTTCATTACCATCTGGCCTCTCAATTTGAGATGGTAGCCAAAAAAACAAGAATCTCTATAATATAGAGCCAAAATGGCTGTAACGCTTTTAATGAGACTTGGCTAAAATCTTCTTGATCTTTTTTTTAATTTATGTTTGCAACATGCTTTCCCAAAAAGGCTGAACAAAATTAAAGACAAATTCATAATTTTATGTGTTAATAACGCACTAAGTTCAAACCTGTGAGTATTTGAAAACTTGCTGAATTCTCTACAAAATTTAGGGGGAAAAAAGATATTTTTATTGCATTTTTTCTGTCTATATTTTTTTAGGAGAGCTCTGTTATAATGAATTCTCATTTGGCATATTGCTATAGTATGAGGACAATGTTGAAATGAAACAAATTGAAACCGAAGGGACAAAATGGGTTCAAATATTTGTTCAAAGAGAAACCAAATTAAATTGGTATTTCACACTTGGAAAACCCTAATGAATCTTTTTTGTCTCAAATTTTCACCAAGCGAGCCAAATGAGTTTTTTAAAAAAAGTTACGATGGATTCACTTATTTATTTGCCAATAATTCAATAAGTACTGCACTGTTTTCATTTGTAAGTACATATATAAGTGAATGCACAAATATATAAGAATAGAGAAAAAAAAAAGTTGGAAATATGCAAATTTATTTATATTTTACTCAAAAGTCCAATAATAATGTTTGTCGAATTTCAAAAATTTGGCAAACACACTGAATCAATAAGCATTTCATTATAATTTTTAGTTTCATTCAAAGAATCATAAACTATGAAATTAATGCTTGTTTATAGATAACGGTGTATTTTAATATGAAGAAAAAATAACACCAGTAGTTTTTTTAATTAAAAAAAAAAATTAGATTACAGTGGATCAGATTAACTTAGATTGCTGAACAAAACAATCTAACGTCACTCGAAGACACAAAGAACTTCCATTGCTTCAAATCGTTCAAATAAAACTGTGCACCTTTAACTAAACATATCCTTAAAGCTTATATTATATAGTACTGTTAAAATCAAATAAGAGGTCCATTGCCTTCCACAAGCAGTCTTATCAATAAAAGGTATCACTTGTATTTATTATAAACAATTGTAAGCTGATTAATTATAAAACCATTCTGTGATAATATTATTTCATAACTTAAAAATACAATACTTTATTTTCTTATTGCATATAAAATAGTAATACAGGCAAAGAAATCACATTGAAAAATGTCACAAAGTGCATTTAGGCCTACTTAAAATGTAACATTTTTCAATTTAGTGCTATAAATATTTTAACCATACGCATTATATAACACCTTTTAATTAAGAATTTTATAATATTTTATTAAAATTTTACAAACATCATAAAACAATGTTTGTCATTACTAATAATATAAGTATTTACAATAAATTATAAATATTTTACAGATTATCTGTGACGATTTAACAATAACAATTGAAATAAAACAAAAAAAAAAATCAATTATTAATAAAAACATAAGTAATATTACATTTCGGTTTAATTATATTCAAATTCATTTAAAACTTATACTGTGTTTTATTTACAAGAGATCTTCTTTACTTTAATATACAATACAAGAATAAATTATCTAAGGATTAATAATTACCAAAGTAACGTAGGTAGTTGTTTTAAAAGGTATTTACAAAAGACCTCTAAATATTGCAATTTATGCTTTAGTCTGAAGAAATTCGCCTGTTTTAGTTAAAGCGTATCTAAGGTTATTATAAAGGCCTTCACAGAAAAATCCTTCTTTGGCAAGGGTTGTAAATCTGTAAGTGCGGAAGTTTTTATCTACATCAATGTAAGTAACAGCCGCCATTAATGGACATATTATTATTTTGGTGTGGTTCATAAAATTGATCTGAAACAAGAAAAAACAGATTATATACTATTTAAATTTTTAAAAATAATGAAAACTACAAAATATATACCTTGACATTATTTAAAAAAAAAAACCTAGTTACTGTGACTTCACAGGAAAAAATATCGTAAAGAGGATTAAAGTAAATTGGGTTTGTTAAGCCTCTTACAAGATGAAATGAAGTATAATGGACTGGCCTTAGCAGATTTTTCAGAAAAATTCATTAGGACCTTTCAGCTTTAAATTTAGCTATGATTGGAATCAGTAGACATAATAGCCATTCTTAATTGTATACATAAAAATTTATAAATACAATAAATAGCTTAAAAAATGATAAATCTGAGAGCATAAATTAAATGTATCAAAGACAATACAAGGCCTAGGTTTGAAAAGGTTCAACTGCATTTAATATAATTTTGAGGAACAGCTTAAAAGTTATAATATACTACAGAATGAATATTTTGTTACTTAACACTACAATTTTGTTAGTACCCTGAAGCTGTGAACTTAATTTTGCATTCATCAATGACTTAATTGTACCACTTATCAATATAATTTTGCCAAATTGAGCCATAGCAACACGAGGACGTGTAAAGGTAGTCAATACATAAATATTGTAAAATAATGAAATGGATAATCAATCACCTGGACGGTCCCATTGGTGAGCTGCATGAGGACTCCCGAAGATGATCTATGCCACATGTGTAAATATGGAATTCGACTAAGATTATCAGATTCCTGTACTTTGACAGAATCACCAGCTTTCATTAGGAACTCAGTCATGTATCTTCTAAAGTAAGAAAGGAGCTTCATCTTTTTCTCTAGATGAGGAGGAGTTTGTCCCATCAAATGATAATGTTCAGAACCATCTTTTTCAATATAGTGAACATTCCTAAAAAATAGTAAATTTCAAGCAATTAATGTATAAGCTAAACATTTCAGTTGATCTGTCAGTTATAATTAATATACGTTATGACATATTTTAAAATTAAAATATAATGTCATATATTTAAAATAAAGTTTTACTGAATTTTTTTCAATGAACAGGATGATTTTAAAATTGATGACAGCTATAGTAATTTTTTTTTATTGTTTAATTTTTAACAATCGAGAGATAAAATGATTATTTTAAAAAATATATCTGTATAAATTTATAGATTAATTATAGAAAAGCTTACATGTGATTTGGCAACAGAACCAATCTGGTAGAATCGTTAAACATAACACCCACACCATCATCACAAAGTTGATACCCAAAGCCATATTTATCTGAGTAATCAACCCATTTACTGATCCATACAAAAGGTTGTGCGGCAGGATCACTCATTTCTTCTGCAATACATACAAAACATAAATTTAAATTATTTAATTGAACACAAATAAGTCATATATTGGTGAATCGCGAACTAAACAAATCAATTTTAATACGAAAATACAGCTTTCCTTTCACCAATTAGTACAAAATATACCCATAATTTTATTAGCACTGATATTGAAAAACCTTTATGATTTCTTAAATTTTTCATATACAATACATAAAATTAATTACCTGCATGTCTATTAGTAAAAACAGGGGTTCTTTTTTTAAGAAGGTCGACCAGCTGATGGTGGAGCTGCCTTAGGTACTGGTTACACTGAGCCGCAGTTGCAGTAGTAACAGTCTGTGGCACGCTACAAGCACCAAAAACACTAATTCTAGGTTCTGGTTTTTTCGAACTACTGCGTACCATTTGTGGTTCATTTGCTAAAATATTTTCCAATTAATAAGTGGAAATTTATAAATAAGTTAAGAATAATGAACTATAAGTAAAATCTTACCATTAACTTCAATTAGTGGTTTCCTTATTGATACCTCAACATTATCGAATCTAGGCAACATTGTAAGACATGAAGGTGGTAATTTGTCAGGGCAATAACCTAAAAGATAAATAAAAAACAAATTAATTGTTTGAAAATTAAAATAACTTACATATTCAAAATAACAAAAAGTAATCATTTAATTGTTTTTAAATTGTAGGTTATAATTAACATAACATATAAGGTTGCAAATTTTTTGATAACATATTTATATTGGCTGGTTACTTTCAGCTTATTAATTAATTTGAAGGATTAGGCTAATATTGGATGATCACAAAACGAAACCTCATGTCTCTTATATAGTAGTTAATAACAAACCAGTCAAAGTTTCACCAATTCAGGCATCAGTACATGTTGAACTTTACAAATATGGTGCTATCTTTGATATGAGATAATGTGATTTTAGTTTTGATAATTAATGGCTATTGATGAGAATACAGACTTTCTTTTGGAATTTTACAACAATGATCTAGCTATAGTCTTTGACTACATTTAAATATTCATTGCTATTAATTAAAAGACAGATTATTTCTAAATACTTGCCATTTACTTATATTTGAACATTTCACTAAATTAAAAACTGACAGCTTACATACTTATTAATATCTCTTTATGGGCCATTTTACGTTGTACACAATTTTAGAGATTCAAATTCCACAAAAAAAAAAGTTTAAAAAAAAGGTGAGGTGTTAACATTTTTTTCACGACTCACTTCAAGATAGAATTCTCATGATGATGGTTAAAGATAACTTTATAGAACTCTGTCTAAATAGTAGCAACTTATCATAACTAAATTGAAAAGTAGGAATAAAATGCTAATCAGAAAAATGAATAGAAAATACTTGAATTCTAACCGATTAATTTCATTATAAATTAAAACAGAATCATAGAAGAGATCATTCAGTCGAGTAAAAAAGTAAGTTTTGAGAGTAAATATAAAACATTTAAGGGGTATAAAATAGTACTATTTTTTCACAAAAGTTTCAAATTATTTTATATTAACTGTATTACCAAGGTTTTGGTTTTATGAGGGAAATAGAAATTTGAAGTTTCATTAAGATTAAACCATCACCATACACACACCTCACAACAAAAACAAAAACTAAATAACACGAGCCAAATTTACCTTCAAGGAAAACTAACCATGTGAGCGTTAGAATAGTGAATGACAAGACACTAAAAATAGTAATAAAAATTAACTGAAGAACATTAAAACTGAAAGTAAATGTAAATCAGATTATTCTCAGTTTGATTGAATATATAAAGCTGGGAAAAGATTAGGTGAACTTTTCATAAACTGGAGTGTAAATAGATTCAAACAAATGAAACAGAGGAATTATTAATTTGTATTGATAACTGATCCCATTATTTCTTATAAAACTTAATAGCTCCTATTTCCAGAGTCTAATATATATAATTAAAAAAACAGTAACTTAATAATAGTGGAATTGAAATTTTATTTGCCATCAAAATTAACAATAGTGTTATAGGATATGTGAGGGAATTAGATCATGAGAATTTTAATTTAAATTTAACGGTGAAAACAAATTGATTGATTCCAAATATAAAAATGATTGTACTGAAAAGTATCTAGTTAAAACTGGTGTCAGTTGGCATAAAAACAATTTCAAACTGAAGCCATGACCTCCTTATGGCCCTTCTTATCCATATATAAAGGGTAAAATGGTTGTCAGATTCTTAGACTTATTCTACCAGAAGAAAAAAAATAGGTATTCGTATTATTTTGCAATATCTCTTTGAAATTAGAACAACTTTGAAAAATTAAGAATACTATAACAAAGCTGACGACTTTTTGAAAAATACCAAATAAAGCAAATTTTTGGAAACCACCAAGATCCTAGCATGAAAGTTCATTGCTTGAGTATTTCTAAAACTTATCTTTTTTGTTCATTTAGTTTGTGTTATTAAGTTACTTAGTTTGTATTGCTTGGACTGTTATGATCGCTTGACAGATCTATATTTTCTTGCAAATTGGTTGCTTTCAAATAGGAAATTCATTGTATAAATAGAGATGAATTGAGTTTCATTAGACAAATGGGGATTTTTTTTAAAGGAAAGAAAGGTTTTTTTTTTTTGAAAATCCATAGAAATATTATTCAACACCAATGGTTTGAAATAGAAAGGTGCGTTTGGTACTTCTGAACTACACTTTTGTATCTAATTATTTCACTCCTCCCTGGAACACTATATATAAAACTACCCTCGACTATAAGAAAAATAATATGTGCTTGTTTAAGGTGAAAATTTTTGAATATTATAAAATAAGGCTCTGTTTATTTTTTCACCGTATTTATTTTAATTTTCATAGCTACGTTTCGGCCTGTAAGCCATCCTCAAGCCATCTATAATAACACCATTAAATTTGTATTTTAATGTAATTCTGCACTCTATGAAGGTGGTATTAGTAATATTCAATTAAATATTCTATAAATTATAACTCTAATTAGGTTAAGTCAATTTTTTTTAAATGTTTGTAATAAACTCAGTCAGTTAAATTGTAAATTAACAAGACCACTATATAGAGTGAGGTTGCTTTTTTATTCAAATACATAAGTATCAAGGTAAGATCAACATATATAAATTAATTTATATTTTAAAACTTTCTTTCTTTGTTCAACCATGCTTTTTGCATATAGTCCAAAGTCTAATTAAATTTTAAGTTTGGTTGGGAGGTTGCACAATGTTATAATATTTGTTTATATTGCTCACTTACTAAAGTATGTTATTAAACATTTATTTAATTAAAATTTTAATTTTTCGATTATATTAGCTGAGGCCTGAAAATAATTATGACGTGAGAAACTCATTGGAAGTAAAATCAAAGTTAGAAAAAATAAAAAATATGGAAAGTAAATATTGTCTGATCAGCTTTGATGTAGAAAGTCTATTTACTAATATCAATATGAAGGAAGTGATAAAAATCATAGAAGCAAATTGGGAAGAAATAAAACCGCAAACTGAAATAAAAAATATGAAATTATATATAGAAGGAATAAAACTATGTAGTGAAAATAATTTCTTCACATACAAACAAAAATTGTATGAAATGGTTAATGGTATTCCTATGGGATCATCTGAGCACGAATCTGGCAGGGTTGATGATGAACCAGGTTTTGGACAAAGCAATGAAAATATACAAAAATGAAGTGCCAATGATTAGTAAGTACATTGATGATATACTAATGATAATAGCGAGAGGTGATGCAGAAATGTTTTTAAATATCTTGAATATGGTTTCAAATTTAAAATTCACTAAGGAGATGGAAAAAAATAATGTCATCAGATTTTTAGATATTAACATACATAAAGATAAAAATGGGATGTTGACCACAGAATGGACAAAAAGAGAAGATACTAGTAATAGAATATTAAATTATTACAGCAACCACCCTTTTCATCAAATTAAGAATGTACCCAGGAATCTAATGGACAGGGCCATAAAACTAACTAGCATAAAATACATTAAAAAAGTAAAAGAAATTGTATATACATTATTAAATGAAAATTGGTATCCAGAAAAAATGATAAAGAACTTATGGAGAGAAGGAACATATAAAAAACAAGAAGGCCATGCACATACCCAGTGTCAACAGCATGAAAAGAAACACCTTAGCAGTAAGGAACAAAACTATAATAAAGAGGAGAAAAATCCATAAATAACAAAAATGTATTAATTACTCATTTTTTCAAGCCAATAAACCAAAATGAAGCATCATCCAGAAGAAGTGAAGAAAGGAATGAAACTAAAAATAGAGAATCCCGGTATATAAAACAAAAAAAATTTTATTGCCTAACACAAATTGATAGTCTTACTGAGAAAATATTCAATACTTTCAAGAAATATGACTTAGCAGATTTAAGGTTCAGTAGAAAATCAAAAAACAATAAAAATAGCACATGTTACAAAACAAAAAAACTAAAAAATAGAATTAACCAACATAGAAGTAATTATAATTCCAAAATAAAAAAATATAACACAAGTACGGGATTATCAACACATAGTACCCAACAAAAACACAATTTTGATTTTAACAACACTAAAATACTGATAAGTGAAACAAACAGCTCCAAAAGAAAAGTTTTAGAATCTATTTACATTTCCAAAAATTTAGACACCGTATGTAATTTCCAATCTGATACAAAAGGATTAAACAGCACCTATGCTAATATAATCACAAAATTAAAATTTTAATTAAAGAAATGTTTAATAACAGCCTTTAATAAGTGAGCAATATACACAAATATATAACAATATGTAACCTCCCAACCAAACTTAAAATTTAATTAGACTTCGGACTACATGCAAAAAGCATGGTTGGATAAAGTAAGGAAGTTTTAAAATCTAAAATAATTTATATATGTTGATCTTACCTTGATACTTATGTATTTGAATAAAAAAGCAACCTCACTCTATCTAGTGGTATTGTTAATTTACAATTTAACTGGCTGAGTTTATTACAAATTTTTGTAAAAAATTGACTTAACCTAATTAGAGTTATAATTTATAGAATATTTAATTGAATATGACTAATACCTCCTTCATAGAGTGCAGAATTACATTATAATACAAAAGTAATGGTGTTTATATGATAGATGGCTTACCGGCCGAAACGTAGCTATGAAAATAAAAATAAATATGGTGAAAAAATAAACAGAGCCTTATTTTATAAAAAAAAAATAATACATTTTAATTATGGAACATTAAAACTTTTTTATCACACGAAATGGAGTAGAATAGAAATAATGAGGAAAAGTCATCCTACTTTTAACCAAGCCTTATTAAGATATCAAATCTATCAGAAATATACATTTTTGTGTGTAGATAATTTTCACTGAAACTAGTAACATAAGTAAAGTATAAAAACCTAGCTAGGAATGTAAAAAATCATTGCTTAACATAGAAAATTTAAAATTCCAAAAATAAGTAAATAAAATTACCAGTCTTCATGAATTCCATTTCCTGCAGCTGGCGAACTGTAGGTCTTTTTGATGGATCGGGTTGCAACATTTTATTAAGCATATAGGCTGCAGCTGCATTTAAGGACGAGGGAAGAGTGTATTCACAACGGGTAATTTTTGCATAAGTTTCTCTAAGAGAATTGGTTTCAAAAGGTGGTTTACCAACCAAAAGTGTATACCTATAAAATAATATTGATATTGATTATTGAACTCATTTCATCCTAGAAATAAAATAAAATAGATAACCTTAAAAAAAACACAGCTATTATAGCCATAATAGTTCAATATAATATGAACATTTTAAAATTTAGTATTAATATCAACAACTTTTGAGAATTATTGAAAAACAAAAATGTATGCACATATATATATATATATATATATATATATATATATATATATATATAATAGACACATAAGTATTTTTACTTTATCTTACCTGTATATGTAATATAAAGTAAGGGAGAGTACTGTGATCATGAAAATTTTCAAATCTGAGTTTTCAACGGAAATACATTTTTCGTGGTCTCTTGAGTTCAAATAACTAAGATCTACATAATGGTTTAGATGTGAACAGTTTAAGCTCAAAAACAAAAAGTCGTACACAACTGAAATTCCTGATTTAAGGTTTGTACAAGCCTGGGATTTTACAGCAACTTTTTCATCTAAATCGGTTAACTGGATGTGCCACTTTATTTCATTAATTTTACACATTTTTACCTATCAGACACAGTCGGCAAATCTAGCCATTGAAGGATTCGAATCCAAATGAATCTTTAAGAAAAAATTTATATTATATAAATTTTCACTGTGGAGTAATACTGATTTCCTTAATAACAGATTGGTAAAATTATCTGTTAAAACACTCTTGAATTATTTTTTCATTTTTTCAACACCTTTTCTATTAGAAAATTAAAAACGGCCTTGTTAAAAAACATTATTTGTAGCAAACCATATTTAACACAATGGTGTTATAATATACAATGAGTATAATGATATTCACCAGGGGTGTCTACAAGAGGATTTCTTGGCGGAATTGGCGTCATCACTATTTTTGAGGTTGATCACATTTTGATGGGATTTTGAATTTTTGAGGGAGCCACATTTTGACGGAGTTATAAATTTTTGGATTGAAAACATGGATAACTTTCATCATTATTCTCGTCTGAAAATACCACCAATACCTAGCAACTATTGATATCACCGAGAACTGGTTTCAAAGTTGTTATGAAAACTTTTTCTTCTGTCTCTTGCTCGTATGCCTTTCAGTGTCAAGCACGAGCGATCCTGCCCACGCGAGCTCTTGACCTCCCCCTCTTCCTATATTATGGGGGAATAATGACCTAAATAAAATATCCTTTCTCCCTAATATTTATCCTTACCATAATTGCTATCCTTACACCCCACCCTTCTCTTGGGGTCTTCAGGGAGCCACAAGTACTGGGCTAATCACCCGTCTGTTGTACAAATGATTCAAAGCAAAATAAGGAGCTGTTATGAAAACATTTATGTCAATATGAAAACTTTTGTATCACAGAAAAACCCGTATCTTATATTTTAGCTCAGAAGAAGATATCCTAAACAATTTTTAAATTCCCTCCCCTTTAAATGAATCTTTATTCTATTTCCCTCCTATTGTATATTACATTATTTCATAACAGAGTAGACCTTTTTTTATTTTTGATATTACCAAGATTTCCTTTCACAAGCTATCCAATTGAAATCTACCCAATTAGTCCCCAAACAGAACTATTATTTTTTTTCTTATTCCCAACTTCTAAGTGAGGAATACTTAAACATTTAAAATAGAATATTTTGTTCTTGTTTTATAAATAAATAAATTTGTTTAGGGTTTTTATTTCTACTGTTATAATTTATAAGATGAAGATGAAAATGATTATCATTATAAAATCATATCTGATTAACTCTGGTCATGATCCACATCACAGATTGAAAGAACAAAAAAAAAATATTAGTAGATGAGCTTAATTACCCATGACAAATCTGTATTCAGTTGATATCATTACATTTGAAAATCTTTTTTAACAAACTGTGTATATATAAAAAACTATAAAGAATTTATCAACTTACAAATTACTATAGATATAAACAGTTAAAAATATTCTTACATTATGCATCCTATAGACCAAACATCAACTTCATAACTATGCCCTTGTTTAGTTAAAATTTCAGGAGCAATATAATTTGGAGTTCCACATAATGTTCTGAAAAAACAAAAGTATTAGTCATAATTTCAAATTTAAAAAGATATAACTTTTTTTAAAAAAATAGCAATCAATGCAAATAGTCAAGAAAAGAGAACATAAGAAAAAGAAACAAAAAATCTTGAATAATACGCAAACAAGCACCAAGCAACAGTGTGCGGAAAAATTCTTCCTTCTTGTATGACTAATTATGAGATTATTTTATACTGATAGTAAAATCAAACTATCAAAATCCACTATTTATCTCACCAAAAAATTTAAATTATAAAAAAATTAATATTAAATTAATTAAAAATGTCTAGAAGGAAACCTGTCTCAAGGGTAAGCACATAAAAAATGAGATTATTTTTAAACACAATAGCTTAGAAATAATGGTTTAATTAATTTTATTATATCTCAGTATTAAGTTTTTTATTTTTTAATTAAAAATTATAAAGTAAATAGGCGGTAAAGGTTTCGCTCATTATTAATTTAATTATCATTCATTATCTAAAGTGATCGTTCACCCATGCTTGTTCAATGTGCAATTTCCAAAGCTCTCCTAGCAAAAGGGTTGCTATTTCAATTTCAGTAAAAACACATCTTACGTACTGTAATGTAGGACATGTGTCAAGATGTTCTTCAGTCATACTAAATAGAGAGCACAGAGAACAGATCAGGCTATATGTTATACTGATGCGGTGAAGGTGCTTCTGCCGAAAAACAATGTCCTGTAATCATTCCGAAAGCATGTGACAGATTGCTCTTTTGGGATCCTGCCACTTTCTTCTAGTAACCCACTCTCTCATCATTTTAATTTTTTGGACATATTTCTAATTAAATTAATGTAAAAACAAAATATTTCACAATTTTATTTCTATAAGGAAAAAAATAAAAGGGATAAACAAAGTTAAGGACCTAAAAAATAAGTTTGATTTCTTTGATGGAATTTTTCAAACATTTAAAACTTTTTCAAGCTAAAAACATAAGATATTTAATGCTACGAACTAAGCATTGACAGCTCCTAACCTAGCCGTATCTAGTCCCTTCTTCTTTTCTTCAAGGCTCTTTGCAAAAAAGGGGGAAAAAATAATAATAAAATAAATAAAAAATAAACAGTACTTTTTATATTTTAATGGTTATAACGTAGCCGTCTTCACCTATAAATGAAAATTCATGCAAGTACCCAAATAGATATAATATAAAACATAATGTTTTCAAATATAACAAAACATAATAATATTGATTACAAATACTAAACAGTAATAATCACAAGTTTTTTCAAAGACAGGATTGAAATAAAAAACACTTACTTTTTCCTTTGTCCATTATACTCAATTTTAGCAGCTAACCCAAAATCTCCTATTTTTACTTCTAAATCATCATTTAAAAATAGATTGCCAAGTTTGAGATCTCGATGAATAATTTGAAGACCATGTAGATACACAACTCCTTCCAATATTTGTTTCATGTAATATCTAACTTCTGGTTCAGAAAGAGCTTTTCTTCTCCTAAGAAATTAAAGGTGAGATTAGTTATATGCAGAACTTTCCCTCAAGTTTTGAGTAAAAACATTTTGAAGTTACATTACTTTTGCATTCAATAGCTTATATACAACCAAGTATGTTAACAGTGCTGGACTTAGGGTTGGGCAACCTGACCGATCATGAGGGATGATTAATTAAACAAAATTAACATAACATGTGAGAATAATTAATTTTAGGCTATTAATAAAGCCCAGGAGTGCCAAATGCCTAAGGACGACACTGTGTGTAAATACGAAACCGTAATGAACTTAAGTGGTTGAAATAGTTACTATTAAATCGATTTATTTTATTCTCTGACAGTAGGCAAAAATTTTTAACTCGCAGCAATACACGTTTCATATAACAGCATTGATTTAATGGTGTTAAACACGTCGAGTTTTGAGCCTACAAAGCATGATTTGAGTACTGTGTTAGTTGTCTAACACCATTTAAGGAAAACTGTAGGATAATCATGTTGAATAATCCATCAAATTGTGACAGGTAATGAAAAGTGGATATATTTTGAGTCTTAAGCATCGAAGATCATGGATAACTCTAAGCAAACTACCAACAATGATTGCAAAGCAAAATCGCTATGGAAAAAGCCAATGCTATGTGTTTGGAAAGATCAACACAATCTGATCCATTAAAATATTTATAAACTTTTCAATACAATAAATAGGTATTTTCCATATGAAAATATCTATTTTATATTTGTATACATAGTACTATAATATTTTTTTCTTCGTGTAATGTTTATTGAAATCCATTTCAGAATATCTTTGAAATTACTAAATTAGCTATAAATAAATGTCAAAGAATCTTCTTTTATTTTTTTTAAATCTAGACATGATTTATACTCAAGCACAATATCCTTGGATTTGGAGTAATTTCATGATTGTCTAAATAATATGAAAAATGGATTTCTAAACTTATCTACTTAAGTAATTATCTTAACTCCTATATAAAAATATTTTACATAAATCTGATGGTGCAATTAATTTTTGTTTTAAAAACCTAAATGTTTAATCATCTTTTTTTTTACCATAATTGTAAACGATAATATATGATTACTGTATATGATAAACAAACTTATTTTGGTTTTTCATTTTATTGTGGGATCTTGATAAAATTATTATATTTAATCAATAGATGACTAATAGTTTACAAAAAGACAATATTACACAAATTTTTTGTCATTAATAAAAACTATATAAAAAACAAGAAGTGTTATTGCTCTATACTCCATATTAGCTTAACCACAATTTTCAAATATTCCAAAAAGCAAAAGCAGTTAAAGCAACCAATTAAAATTGCTCTCAGTAGAATACTCTATGGTAGGAATAGTTAAATTAATAATATAAATTTAGTTATTTCATTATTGTCCTGTCCCTTCAGCATAATTTGTTTACCTTTCCCTTCCCCTCATTTTGTGCAAAATATTTTGATTAACAAAAATAAAATCTTTAGGAGTCATGTAGTATTTTTGTAATACATCAAATACAATGCCTATTTGCTGATAAAACAAAAAAAAAAAGTGCAATAATTATAATGCAATATTAAAAACTTTTTCCCCTCCAAATCATATACCATTTTGTCTCTCTAAACAGAATCTTAATTAACCTATTATTTGTTATAACACCGATCTTGAAGTTTAATAAGTTCGAAAAGTGGTCCTTTATAAGTATCAATGTCTATTAATTATTATTAAATTAGTCAATGATGTTCAGAAGTGTGCTATAAATTAAATATCAATTATCTTAATTTTTAAATAATAGTTTTGATATAACAATTAGAACAGAAAATATTTTTTTTCATGGTTCCTCAAATATTTATCATTGATGATTAGGGTTCATTTTGAAAATAAGTAACTCACTTGCTAATACTTACACATAAAAAAATTATTTCTGAACAAAAAAATTTTAATGTTTAAAATGTCTTCTTAGAACAACTAAAATGTCAGATTTGTCAGTCAAACAGCACTACATGAAACAGTGGATTTTTTGTCCACATTTAAAGCACTGATATTTTTATTGAAAGGTATTATTTTTAATAAATGCGAGATATGGATTAATTGATGAGTATTGAATAAAATATAAGACAAAGAGATCGAATCAAGACTAAGATAGCTTTCATAAACCTTCATAGATATACAGTCTAATATGTTTAGATTAAGTTTAATATAAACTTACTTGTGGAGTTCCATCATGGATCTTTTACGGCATAATTCTAGAATTATATAAACAAAGTTGGGATCATCAAAATAACTATGAATCAAAACTATATTTTTGTGTCTCAATGATTTATGGATTTGAATCTCTTGCGACATTTTTTCTTTTTCCTTTTGATTGGTAAGAAGTCGTTTGGATACAATCTTCCCAGCAAATATTCCATTGGTAGTTACTTCTCTTAATTCATAGCATTTAGCAAAACCACCCTAAAAATTAATAATGAAAATGAATCAACACTAATTTAAATATTAAAAAATAACTGAAGCAATCGAAGTTTTGAAAATATCAATAACATAAGCATTAACCTTTCCTAAAAACTGTCCCTTTTTGTAAGTAGTCTTGGAATTGGAATCAAAAACAATATCAGGAATTGGTTTATCATCTTCTGTGTTACGCTTAGACATGGTGAAACGAAATTTATAGGTACTATCACTCTCTTGGTAAAATTTTAAGTACTAATAACTATAAATAACATAAAATATGTATTGATATGCCTACACACTTCACTATACACGGACTAAAAAGTTTATAACAACACGCCTGGCACCGAGTCTCACTACAACCACCGTCAATAAGCGTTTATATAACGGACCGATTTAAACCGGCCAATAGCAAGCTAGGAAAAGCCCGCCTATGAACAAAGAGGTAATTTATTTTTTTTTTCAATAACAAAACTTATACGTTCTTAAGATTAAACTTTTCATTATCTAGGTAATATTTATATTAAAATAAATTTCAAAATGTACATATGAATTAACAATGAACCCAGTATGTATGTGTATATATATGTAAATATAATAAAATTTTCTATATCTGTAATAACTCATGAATTAGGGTACTCAGGAGAATTATGCCAAGATTGGAAACATATTATAATCCTTTTAAATATATTTCTAATAACCATGTTATTTAATTTTAAGCAGTATGTGTTTTTTCTATTAATTTTTAAGAACAAGTATTTCCTAACTGAAAATAATTGAATGTACCGAAAGAATCTTATGCATAATTTTAAGATTGGAATGATATCGAAATTTTTTTTTTTTTTTTTTTTTTGGGGGGGGGGAGGATTTATATATTAGGTTAAACTCAAATCAACTGTAGTCACCTCGAAGTAACCGATTAAAAAGTCATTTTGTAATTTCTTTTTCATAACCGAAGTTAAGGAAGTTTTGTATTCATACAGGAAATAAAAGAAATCCTCCTAATAAGATAATGTAGAATGGAAATTTTTCGCTTATGGAAAAAATAGAATGAAATTTTATACATCAACGAATATATTTGATTCCAAACCTGTCTCTAATCAACTCCGTTGACAGAGATAACATCAACTACCACATGCGGGCGCTATAGAAACAATTTTATCAAATTCCACCACCAACTTTCGCCGAAACAAGAGCAAACATATTTTCTTTAACACATAAAAATATATCTAAAAATGGCTTATTAGATTTTGCTTAAAGTTAAATGAAAGCTGCAGACCTGTCAAAGTCGAAGAAAATTTATGGACCAAAGTAAAAATAGTCCAGTATCAGTTCCATCATTTTCTTGTTCGTTGGCATATACATTTGTATTTTCTTTAGAAGCATATAGTTCAAAAAAGGTTTCATTCTCAAAAGATTTTATTAATTAACTCAATTTCAAACGAATCATTGATCTTGTGACAGGGATAGGGCAAGTTCCTAAATCCAGCTCTTAGGTAATATATGGCATCCTAAAACCACTAGGCCATTCCTAAACTTATCGATGTACACTGTTGATGAAATTCAGCACGTTCCTTCATTCATCGATTGAATTAGCGATGGTTCAGCTATTGCTTAGGCTGGATGAATCTGCAGGATGTAATCTCATTATAACGACAATGTTATTATTTCTTAATTATTTTACATGTTCAGTCCCCTTTCTATCTAAATTTATTTCTGTTTTAAAATTAAATAATCCAGTAGATAGGTATTTCTTTTTTTTTTTTTCTTTTTTTTTTTTGTACTTGTCAAGTGCTTCGTAATATTCCAGACGTGTTAACTTTCCGCCTAAATCCAGCGGATCGTTCCTAAACTTAATATAAATAGCTGTCCATCGGTGCTGGATTCAGTCGATTGATTAACGCCCAGTTTAGGAACTTTCCCATAATTATGTACCAAATAAAAAAGTAAGGATGCTATATTGTCCATTAGTTTGAAATAATAAGTAAGGGTCTGCTGGAAACATTGAAATTTGAAAAAGATCCAACAAATCCACTCCTGTCGTCGGAATAGTTCACCTTAATAGTTTCAAGTCCAACTATTTCTCTTCTTCCCTTTGCTAGTTGCAGAATTAAATGATAAGCTAATAGAGATGCTTTGGCTCAGATTTTTATCAGTTATTTTTTTAATATGATGTACATACAAATATTTAAATTGTATGTCTGAGAAAGTATTTGGAGCCATAATAATAATAATAACAACTAAAAATGTACTCATTACTGCGAAATATATTTTGATCAACCGAAGAGAAGTTGTTTAGGGTGCTGTAAAAAATAAAAAGGAAAAAAAAATAAATGATATATATTTTTTATAGTTGGGTAATTAGTCGACTAATCAATTATAAGGATGAAACAAAATTGTCAGGATTTTCAGTCAAGAATTTTTATTAGGTTAGCTGAAGTTTCGACTAACCATATGGGTCATCCTCAAAGTTATATTTTAGAAGTCAAGACAAGAACTTAATTCTTAACTATAAATCCTGAAAATTTATGTTTCATCCTGATATTTATTTTTGCCAATTTGTCGGCCCGAGTATAACAATAACAGTAATATAAATATAATAATAATATAGTAATAACAGTATAATATAATATAATAATAACAGTAACCGAGAGGAACTTGCTGTTTCTTAGTCAACGGTTGTGCAAGGAGGTGATTTGACTAAATTAAGCTCAAACGCCAGGTTTTCCCCCTCAATTAATTATTTGATAGATTTGAAAGAAAAATTAAGATACTGTAAAATCTATCAAAACATACTGACTACATAGAAGAGAATTAAAAGGTTAAAATTGAGTAAATTATGAAATAAAATGTAATGAGTTAAAGGAAGAGGGAATAAGGTATGTTTTCCTGAGAGACGTTGGAAGAGGTGTAGGAAAAATCCCAGCTGTAATTGGAGGAAAAGATGTGAATGAGGAATGGAACCATATTAGAAAAGCTATATCTGAATCCGCCGACCGACATTGTAAGAGGGATGTAAACAGAAAGTTAAAAAACTGTGGTTTGACATGAAGTGTGAAGAAGAAGTCAATGTGCGGAACGAAAAGAGGAAAAAACTTCTAAACAAGGATACTAGACAGAACAGAAAGGAGTATCAGGAAGCCAGAGCTAATGCAAAAAATGTTCTGAGGCAAAAGAAAAGATATGCTTTACAGGAAAACTGGCGTAAGGTGGAAAAGTACACCAGGAACAATGAGGCCAGAAAGTTTTTCGGTGAAATAAACAAAATAAAATCAGGTTTTATAAATAACTTTCCGATGATAAAGCGTTCTGATGGGAAAATAGTCCTCCAGGATCAAGATGTGCAAGGTAGATAGATGGGGCATTTTCAGGAATTGCTAAACTCTAGGGAAGATGACGAGTATCCTGGTAAGGATTTTTGAGACACTGAGAATGACCATGAAGTGAGCCCACCAGATTTAGAGGAGGTTGTCCTGATTTTTGACAATTTCAAGAATAACAAGGCTTCCGGTTCAGATGGCATGCCAGTGGAGTTTTTGAAGATTAGTGGGTCAGCACTGGCTGAGGAGTTGACTCATCTGATAGTTAATATCTGGGAGACTAAATAAATGCCAGATAGCTGGAAGGAATAATTCCCTTACTCGAGAAGAAGGGTGCTTCCACAGACTGTAACAATTATCGGGGAATTAGCCTCCTGAATACTGCTTACAAAATATTTTCTGTTATGTTATATAATCGAATTGTGGATTTTGTGGAACCTCGGTTGGGCGATTACCAGGGGGGTTTCAGGAGGAATAGATTAACTGTTGACCAGGTATTCTCTTTAAGACAAATAATGGAAAGAACAAAAGAATTCAACAAGATTATATGGATCCTTTTCATCGATTTTAAAGCAGCTTATGATTCCATTATCAGGAAAGAGCTCTACCTGGCAATGGAAGAGATGGAAATTCCACCAAAGCTAATCCGACTTGTATCGTGTAGTTTGAATGAGAGCGCGAGTCGAGTGAAAATAAATGGGAAGCTGGGCCAACCTTTCTCAGTGAAGTCAGGAGTTAGACAGGGTGACCCTCTTTCCCCACTTCTATTTAACATCGTCCTCCAAGTTGTGGTGAATAGAGCAGAGCATAGTCAGTTGGGCATCATTTTTAGTAAAATAATTCAAGTGCTTGGATATGCTGATGATGTGGCACTGATTGGACTGTCCCTCAAGGCGATCAAGGAGGCCTGTGAAAGGTTGCAAAGAGAAGCTGGAAGAATGGGGCTATCCATAAATGAGGAAAAAACAAAGATTATGGTGCTCAGGAAGAAAACACCTATACATTCACCTAAGTCCTATGTAGTGGGACAATATGCGTTTCAATGCGTGTCCAGTTTTAAGTACTTCGGCTCCATCGTTAATGATCAGGTTGACGAAGAAGAAGAAATTCAAAATTGGGTAATGGGTCTAACAAAGCATATTTCGCACTAAGAAGTTTCCCGGAGTAAACTACTAAGTCGAGGTACCAAAATGATTATATACAAAACAATCATCCGACCTGTACTGACCTATGCCAGTGCAACCTGGATCCTACGCAAAAGCCTGGCTGAAAAGATTGACAGTTTTGAAAGAAAAGTGTTGAGGCGCATCATGGGGCCGGTTAGAATGGTACATGGCGTTTAAGAAAGAACAAAGAGATCTACGACTTGTTCGACAATTTCCGATTTCGTGCGAATTCAATGCTTAAAATGGCTGAGACACATTATCAGAATGGATGAAGGTAGAGCCGTGAGGAAATTGTCAAGCCGTTAAATAAATAAGATAAATGAAGAAGACATATTTGATCTCAAGAAAAGTTCTCATAAGATAAGTTGTTTTGGAACAGAATCTGTAGAACTTACGTAGCGCCTGTAATGATCAGCAGAAATACATGAACTACGTAAGAAAAAGTAAGGGAGCTATATTTTGTGGTCTCCCATAAGTATTTGTTGAAATAGAACTTGAAGTAAAGTTTGTAAAACTGAATTTCTTCCTCTGATAATGAGTTATAGTATTTTTGCCAGGGCATAAAAATATTTATTGCCTGCTGTAATTCATACTTTTATTTCGGCCTGTATTTTGTTCTGATCAGCCACTATCACTCTAAGTTACAATATTTGAGTTCTGTTCATGTTGTAAAAATGTGCTGATTAATTTCTGCACAGCCATGTATTGATACATTATT